ATACCCAACCTTATACATATATCCTGTTCTTTCCCACATCTACATATATCTGATAAATTAGGCATAGTAAGAAATTAACAACAAAAATAAAACAATTATAATAACATACTGTAATATAACTTATGTGAATGTGGGCTTTATCTCTTTCAAAATATCTGATAATCAATCTGGTAACCGAGCCAGCGAATAGGTGGGTAGCTCATGCAGTCTGGAGGCGCTGGACAAAGGATGATTCAGTCCTGGGTGAAAAGAATGCAAGATCTCACTACACTACTGAGTATCTGGTGCAATTCAAAACAAAAATCTGTATTTCTGCAATGTTCCATTTAATGTTTTCAGACCGCAGTTAAAGCAGGTAACTGAAACGGAAACTGAAATTGCAAATAAAGGGTACTATGGTATAGGCATATATGTGCACAAGCGTGGGTGACTCATCCTCAGCTCAGCAGTCAGAGGGGATAGGAAAGAAGACTATCTGGGTCTGGACTACGTAACCTGCCTCTCGCTTGGGTCTATCACTGCTCCAGGCCTGCTTTTCCAAATCTCAAACAGACCAAAGCTATGAGTGCTCTCAGACTCTTCCTAGAAATCTTTGTACTGATGGCTCAAATCTTAGCTTCAGGGAAACTTCCTCTGAGGCCTCCACTAACACACAATGGAAAGTCGCCCACCCTGTCCCTTATACTCCCCTCAGGTTCAAGTTCCATCACACCACCCTATTATCAAAGCAATAACTACAATATTACTTTCTTATTTAGTGTTTCCCTCATTCGAATGTTGTCTTCCAAACGAGCAGAGATCTTGGGACCTCGTTTATCTTGTTCATAACTGTATCCCCAGGACCCAGCTTAGGACTTGGCACGTAACAGGTGAATACGTGAAAATGATTAGGGCAATTCCAAGTGTGGTAAGGATGTGGAGCAGCCAAATTCATACACTGCTGGAGGGCATGTGAATTGGCAAAACCAATTGGAAAACTGGCAGTATCTACTAAAGCTAAACATATGCGTATCCTCTGACCCAACAATTCCAATACAATTCAGCCAACAGAAAAATATACTTATCATCAAAATACATGAGCCAGGCCGGGACCGGTTTGGCTCAGTGGATAGAGCGTCAAGCCTTCGGACTGAAGGGTCCCGGGTCCAATACCAGTCAAGGGCATGTACTTTGGTTGCGGGCACATCCCCAGTGGGGGGTGTGCAAGAGGCAGCTGGTCGATGTTTCTCTCTCATTGACGTTTCTAACTCTCTGTCCCTCTCAATTCCCCTCTGTATAAAATCAATAAAATATATATTTTTTAAAAATACATGAGCCAGAATGTTCACAGCAGCATTATAAAGCAATGAAATTAAGCCAAGCACAAAGTGGGAAAACCTCACAAAATAACAATGAACTAAAGAAGTCAGACATCAAAAGCATACCATATTTAGTCCATTTATATAGCATTCAAAAACAGGTAAAGTTTTTGTTAGAAGTCTGAATAGAAGGTAACCTAGGTAACTGAAAGGAAGCATGAAAGGGTTTTTCTGGGATGCTGGACATGTTGTTTTTTGATCTAGATGCTGATTACATGGGCATGTTCACTAAGAAAACTTATTGACATGTTATTTCTTTCTTTTTTTTTAAACTACCTCGTTTTTTATTTTATTTTTTATATTTTTTATATATTTTATTGATTTTTTACAGAGAGGAAGAAAGAGGGATAGAGAGTTAGAAATATCGATGAGAGAGAATCATCTATCAGCTGCATCTTGCACCCCCCCCACTGGGGATGTGCCTTCAACCAAAGTACATGTCCTTGACCAGAATCTAACCCGGGACCTTTCAGTCCGCAAGCTGACACTATCCACTGAGCCAAACCGCTTTTGGCTGACATGTTATTTCTAAAATTTGCTGATTAGGTGAAAGAAATTATAAAATACTTGAGGCCCAGTGCACTAAATTTATGCTCGGGGGTGGGGGGTGGGGTGGGAGGGGGAAGAGGGAGGGTCCCTTAGCCCAGCCTGCACCCTCTCTAATCTGGGACCCCTCGGGGGAAGTCCGACTGCCAGTATAGGCACCAGCAGTCAGACATCCCTCTTGCAATTCTGAACAGCTGGCTCCTAATCGTTCACCTCCCTGCCTGCCTGATAGCTTCTAACACCCTCTGTCTGCCGGCCTGATCGTCCCTAGCTGCCTCTGCATCACCCCCACCACCGTGGCTTTGTCCGGAAGAATATCTTGTCTTATAAGCATATTACCCTTTCATTAGTATAGATATTCAGCCTGCCAAGTATAGCTCAGTGGTTGATTCCTGGTCAGGGCTTCATCCCCAATAGCGGATGTACAGGAGGCAACCAATTGATTATTCTCTTTCACCATTGATGTTTCTTTCTTTCTTTCTTTCTTTCTTTCTTTCTTTCTTTCTTTCTTTCTCTCTCTCTCTCTCTCCCTCCCTCCCTCCCTCTCTTTCTCTCTACCCCTCTTTCTCCTTCTTCCTCTATGAAATCAATAAAAAATAAAAATATTTTTAATACATTTTTATTGATTTTTTACAGAGAGGAAGGGAGAGGGAGAGTCAGAAACATCGATGAGAGAGAAACATCAATCAGCTGCCTCCTGCACACCTCCCACTGGGGATGTGCCCGCAACAAAGGCATCAAACCTGGGACCCTTCAGTCCGCAGGCCAACGCTCTATCCACTAAGCCAAACCGGCTTTGGCTAAAAATATTTTTAAAATATATATATTAAAAAATATATATTTATTATTCAATAAAAACTCTGTTGCACACTCATGATTTCTGCATTTTTCCGTATGTATGTTATTTTTCAATGAAAAGTTCAAAAAATTAAGGAGTCCTGAAGAGGTAGCATAAGGACATCATCGATGCCAGGCTTCTGAGCCATTACCTCACTTTCCTACCCTTGACCCAGCATTTCAACCTGCATCAACAGAGAGGTTCCACAAGAAGTAATAAATGGTAATAAATGGGGTAAATAAAATGAGAGGGCTGCCTTGGCCTAGCAACGGCTTTGGCTTCTAGAAGATAGCCACTACAGACTCCCAATGTTACAGATAGCAGAAATTTGGAACATACACACCACCCAGTCCAGGGGTCACACCCGAGGAAAACAGATAAGGGAGTTGCAGTAAAAATAATGATAGCAGATATTTACTGAGCTAATATGACAGAAGGTGGAGCCAAAACTCTTCATATATTTATCTCAATCCTCCCAATAATCCTAGAACAATGTTAGTACATAGTACCAAGTGCACAGAAGGCTCTCGATAATAAATACTTGCTGAACGATAGGTATTATTATTGCTTCAAAATGGTAACTTGCCCCCAATGTTATACAGGATGGCACAGCCTTAATTCAAACCCTGAGAGTGGGATTCTAAGGACTTCTCTTAACCACTTCACTGTTAGGTGCAAGTGAATAATGTTAAATATATGCCTCAGAGAGCTTACTTCTGATGTGCTTATTACAATAAGTCAGGTTTCCCAGACTCTGACTGAGGGGTCAGATGGGCTTTGGTTTCCTAATCCATAAAATGGAATAGTACCAGAACCTTCCTTTTATTCAACCAATATGTAGTAATTGCCCGCTGTGTGCCAGGCAGTGTTCTAGGATTACTGAGGATTAAATGGGAGAACGCAACAGGCTGAATATCTATACTAATGAAAGGGTAAATCCACTCGCTCACTTGCTTAACTCCTTGTTCTATTTGTAAGGGACAGTGGTTCTCTTTTGTTGTTGTTTTTCACTAATTTGACGTTATGGAACTCCTATACAATTCACACAAAACTTTGCACTCAATTTCAGATGATTCATCAGCCTTCTAAAGTCCACAGACGGCCCTCTGTTGTGGTTAAGAATTGTCGCAGAGGACCTTGGCACCCCACTCAGAAACCTCCAACGGCATTCACAAGTACCCATTACCGCAGGGAAGGGGGGACCATTTCTACAGACAACAGCAAACAGAAGACTGACATATTTAGTCATTGCAGTTTCACAGAGAGTAAACCAGGACAAGAATCTGTCTCATGCCTGTAAGTCCAGTGCTTTTCCAACTGTCAAGACAGAAGACCCTTCTATTGTAGGGTGAGATTACAGGAAGTAGAAGAAGGAGTCAAGCCCCGCACAACTGGGGGGGCGGGGGGGGAGGAAAGGGGTCAACTTAGACAAGTCTCTCTCTAGGAGCAATTGCTCCATCCGTAAAATGGGATAATAACTTCTGCTGATCCTATTTCCCTCCCAGTGGTGCTTGCTACACCACGGCTCAAAGGAGGAAAGATGCGCTGCTTCACAAGAGCAATGCAGACCGAAGGGAGGGTTGAGACCGTGACTGAGAGCCTCCGGGCCCTGAGGGCAGGAACGCTCACGCTTCTCCGCGGCCGGCTTCCGGCTCTGCCCGGCAAACTCTCAGCCCCCTGCGGAGCCGAAGGTGTCTCAGCCATCGGGATGCGCGAAAGGAACGCTCCTTGGGACGATGCCTGGCACGTCACAATCGCTTAGTAAATATCTGCTGAATTAATCCATGACCGAGTCTACAAAGAACAACTTCCTCAGTCCCCGCGGCTCAGGTCCCCCTGCAGCCCACAGGGGCCGCCACACGCTCCGCGGGCCGAACCTTCCTGAAGCGAGGAGCAAGCCCTCCGCTTCCCGCCGCCCCCGCTTCAGGAGCTCGTGGGGCTGCAGTAACGCTCACCTGCACCAGCTGGCCTCCTCCAGGAGCCGGGGCGCCGCGCGGCGGGGCGGACTCGGGAACCTCACTAGCAGTGGAATGAAGGCGAAGATAAAATTTCGCGCCAAACGCCGTAGCCCCGCCCCGAGGCTGTCTCCTAGTTGCGTCACCAGCCCGCCCACCCTTCCCGGGAGTTCCGCCCTCCCTTCCGGTCTAGTCCTCTTTCCCCCACCCCTACTCGGAGTCCCGCCCTCCCTTCGGTCCCGCCTACCTGAGAGAGGACGCATGACGTAGGTACGTACGCCTACGTGCGGCGGCCATCCTTGATTCTAACGCCGATAGCGTTTGCGGAAGGAGGTTTCTACGCTGCCGCACTTCCGATTTCACGCTGGTAACGTGAGCTATTTAAAGGAGACTTCCTCCATCTTTCCTCTTATGTTTTGTGTGTGTGTTTTTTTTCTAACCCGGATATGACGCACTAAAGAACCCGACGGAAATAGAACTGAAAGCGTTCTAAGATGGCGAACCGCACGGTAAAGGATGCCCATAGTATTCACGGCACCAACCCGCAGTACTTGGTGGAGAAGATCATTCGGACTCGAATCTACGAGTCCAAGTACTGGAAGGAGGAGTGCTTCGGGCTGACGGGTGAGTGGAAACGCGCCGGCCCCACTTTGCGGCCCGGTTCTCCTGACTGAGCGCCGGTAGGACTGGACCCTGGGGGTGAGGCTGCAAGGGAATCTGTCATTTAGAGAAACCGAAGCGCCTACTGTGTGCCTGGACTTGTATTGGGCTTTGGGCTCACAGATGACAGGGTCTCATTCCAAAGGGTGTCTCCGTTGGGTTCTTTGATTTTTTAAAAAATAAATCTTTATTCATATTATTACAAATGTTCCTCTTTCCCCCCCACCCCCCATTGCTCTCCTCCATCAGGTTCCCACCCCACCCTCTGTCCTTTCCCCACCCCCCATTGTCCTCATCCATAGGTGCACAGTTTATGTTCAGTCTCTTCCCACATCCCCCTCTCCCCTTTTCCCCAAGAATCGTCAGTTCACTCCCCTTCCATACCTCTGATTCTATTCTATTCAACAGTTAATATTGTTCATAAGATTTTTTTTTAAATTTCCTTGGTTTTTAGATTCACTTGTTGATAGTTACATATTTGCAGTTGCTTCTGCCTGGTGGCTAATTGTTATTCTCAGTCTCTTAATGGGTCTCAGAAACTCCACACTGGTGGGTCAGCTGTCTCCCTCTTGCCCCCCAGGCAAAACTGCCTGGATAGAAAAAGTCTGTTTGAGAAAGATGACCTCTACAGTGTGAGGGATGTAATGAAACTGGGTGGCTGCCTTCTGAACTCTAACTCCAGAGCCCCCAACCCTGTCTTCTGCTCAAACAGCTCTAGTCCATTCTGCCCGCCCTCTGCCGAAGCACAAGGCGAGTGGCTGTGCACGAAATTTTGTGTTGGCCCTTTAAGAGGGTGCCTGCATGTCGGGCCATCTCTCCCTGGCAGATGGCAACCCTGCTGCTTTTCACAACCAGATGTTACCTGGGCACCTTTCTCAGTTCTGGTGCTCTCTGCTGGGTGGCCCAGCTTGGCGATTAGACCCAAGTTCTCAGTGGCAACCCCCCACAGCTGAGATATCTCTCCGGAACTTTAACTACTGTCTGAGGGAGCCTGGTCAGCCCTTTTGTGCCTCTGCCCTTCCTTCCAGTCTTTATGTGGTCTCCACTTTCCGTCCTTGGTTATCAGGGTTCTTTCTAGCTAGCCTTCAGTTGATTATTCAGTATGTTTTTTGTGTGTTTCAGTTAAAATTCCAGTTTGTAAGTGTAGCATCCACTTACTCTGCTTTCATTTTTAATCACCTTTACTATGTTTTTTTTTTTAATATGTATTTTATTGATTTTCCACAGAGAGGGATAGAGAGTTAGAAACATTGATCAGCTGCCTCCTGCACATCCCCTACTGGGGATGTGCCCACTACCAAGGTACATGCCCTTGACCGGAATCGAACTGGGACCTTTCAGTCCACAGGCCAACGCTCTATCCACTGAGCCAAACCAGTTTTGGCTGGTTTAAAAAAAAATATATATATATACATATATACATATATATATACATACATACATATATATATTTTTTTAATATATCTTATTGATTTTTTTTTTTTTTTTTTTTTTTACAGAGAGGAAGGGAGAGAGATAGAGAGCTAGAAATGTCGATGAGAGCTGGGACCGGTTTGGCTCAATGGATAGAGCGTCGGCTTGGGGACTGAAGGGTCCTGGGTTCGATTCCGGTCAAGAGCATGTGCCTTGGTTGCGGGCACATCCCCAGTAGGGGGTGTGCAAGAGGCAGCTAATCGATGACTCTCTAATCAATGTTTCTAACTCTCTATCTCTCTCCCTTCCTCTCTGTATAAAATCAATAAAATATATTAATAAAAAAAAAAAAAAAAGAAATGTCGATGAGAGAGAAACATCGACCAGCTGCCTCTTGCACACCCCCTGCCGGGGATGTGCCTGCAACCAAGGCACATGCCCTTGACCGGAATCGAACCTGGGACCTTTCAGTCCGCAGATTGACGCTCTACCATTGAGCCAAACTGGTTTCGGCAAAATTTTTTTTTTTTTTTTTTTTTTTTTTTTTTTTATTGATTTCAGAGAGGAAGGGAGAGGGAGAGACTGAAACATCAATGACAAGAGAGAATCATTGATCAACTGCTTCCTGCACACATCCTACTGGATATTAAGCCCACAACCTGGGCCTGTGCCCTGACTGGGAATCAAACAATGATCTGGTTCATAGGTCACATCTCAAACACTGAGCCACACCAGCTGGGCATTTACTGTTAGTTTTAAAACATTTTAGCGACTAGGCCATATATTAGAAAAAAACACTGTAGTAATACCAGTGACATAAATAAATATTACATATCTACAACTATAGTCTATATATTTAAACTGAAGATTCAACTCTTGTAAGCAATGGTCAGAGAATGATTAGCACATAATCACCATATCTTGAGTGGTTATTGGTTGTTTGTTGCCTGTGGTGTGACTTTTTGTAGCAGTTTTAATGCCTGCAGGCTGATGTTCTGAGTGCTAAGCCACAACCCAGTTGTGTGCATTTGTTTGCTCATGGTGAATGATAGATCTTTTCAGTAAAAATTTAAAATTACAGTAATACAATAGAAAATTTTTTTTGTGTGAAAACTTTTCGATGAAATTAAATTTTTCATTACACAAACATGTCTACATAAGTAAAAACAGGTAAACTAATTTGTTGGTATCTTAACATGCATTTGGACACACACACACACACACACACACACACACACCCCGCTTGAATTAGTCATTATCTCGAGGGTGATCTGATCATAAAGTCTGAACTGGGCAAGTCATTGTGGGTAGTCAAGCCCCTGTAACTTTTTTAGTAAAAGGCTTAACTTTGCCTTAAGCAAGCCCTGCCCTTTGTTCTTGTGCATCTAGGTTATTAATACACCTTTGAAATGTCAGAGTAATCTTTTTTGGGAGCAATTAATTTTGTTAACTATCCTATCATGTAATTTTAGTTCTCTTCTTAATTCCAATGTATAAAAAGAAATGCAAAATTGTCATTCTCTGGAGCATTTGAGATCTTGCTTCCTGACATATCATCAGTTTGGCTCAGATAAACTCTGATAAACTTATCTACAGGATTGGACATTTTTACATCTCTTTATTAACTCCAAATATGGTTATTTCCCCCCTAACATGATGGTGACATGCGTGGACTCTGAAGTTAGATGGCTCAGATTTAATTCCAGGCCTTGCTACATTCTAGCTATGGACCTTGAGCAAGTCAGTTAACCTTTGTTAAATCTAATTTTCCTTAGCTGAAAACAGGGGCAGTGCTAATACTTGACCTCAGGGTTTGTTGTGAAAATTACCGTATTTTTCGGACCATAAGACGCACATTTTTTCCCCCAGAAGTGGGGGGAAAAAGTCCCTGCGTCTTATGGTCCAAATATAGCCTACACATATACTTAAAAAAAAAAGTTTTTTTACTTGCCCGGCTCTGTGTGGTCTCTGTGTGTTTGCCCGGCTCTAAAATGGTTCTAAATGCTGCTGTTTACTTTACAGGGTTGATTACATGTGTTTATGACTGTGATTTTGGGTTTTAATGCACATAAAATATTTTAGGACACTTTGTTTCAGAATCTTTTTTTCTTCATTTCCCTTCTCTAAAAACTGGTGCGACTTATGGTCCGGAGCATCTTATGGTCCGAAAAATACGGTAAATGAAATGCTTAGCTAATAGCCTTATATATTAGTAATGATAATAGTAATTCATCAGTGTATGTTAGCTGCTATCATTATCACCTATTACTATTATTAAATGCACATTTGTTTTCCTAATATTAACTTTTTTTTTTTAAATAATTTTTTTTAATATATTTTATTGATTTTGTACAGAGAGGAAGGGAGAGAGATAGAGAGTTAGAAACATCGATGAGAGAGAATCATCGATCAGTTGCCTCTTGCACACCCCCTACTGGGGATATGCCCGCAACCAAGGTACAATACATGCCCTTGACCGGAATCGAACCCGGGTCCCTTCAGTCCCCAAGCCGACGCTCTATCCATTGAGCTAAACCAGTCCCGGCCTAATATTAACTTTTGATGAGTGTTCAAGAGGACCAAACCTTGAACTTCGAATCGGGAAAAATCTAAGCCCTATTTAATATGTCTGAAATGTGTGTATGTGTTTATTTTTTAGCTGAACTTGTAGTTGATAAAGCCATGGAGTTAAGGTTTGTCGGTGGCGTCTATGGTGGCAACATAAAGCCAACTCCCTTTCTGTGTTTGACCTTGAAGATGCTTCAGATTCAACCAGAGAAAGATATCATTGTTGAGTTTATAAAAAATGAAGACTTCAAGTGAGTAAAATGTTGACTAATATACAATAAAAGCTTCAATTTCAATAGTCCAGAAATTGGTTTTGGTTAAGAGGAGTGTTAACATATCTCATTTCTACAGAGTCCCACTTTAGGATTTTTCTTTTGAACTCTTAAATTTATATTTTGATAGATATTTACTTTTCCAGCATTGGTAACTTATCCCCCCCAAAAAAGTATTTCATAAAATCACTGATGCTCAGGGGTAAAGAAAACAACATGCTGTAGAAGATAAGATGGAAGACTTTGGTGTTAGATATAGGGAGCATGTGACAAAAGGCTGGGATGTCCAGACTCTGTTACTTATTAACTGTGACCTTAGAAAAGTTTCTTAATTTCTAAGCTTTATTTTCTTTACTTGAAAAATGAAGACAGAAATATCAACTCAGGAGAGATGTGAGGGTTACAGAATATAGTGCTATAAATTTCACTGTACAGTGTATGTTGCATAGTAAACATCCCAAAATGTGAGCTGCTCTTCTTATCCATTCTCAAGGAGCTCACAGATAAGAGACATACATAATAATAGTTCACAGACAGGTAAAAAGAGGCAAAGCTGGTTGCAGATATATATTCTTTGCTACCATATTATTTAAGTGGAGATTCAATGAGTAGTGGGTTATAAAGGAAAGGGAAAAGGAAAGAATCTTACAAAACATTAACAGCTAGGAAATAGCTAATTTTTATTAGGTACTTACTGTGGGCTGTGTGCTATGCTTAGCATTGTATACGTATTTTGTCGTGCTAGTATATCAAACCAGCAAATTAGGTGCTATCTTCTGCATTTTACAAGAATTAAGAAAGCAAATAACTAAGTCATTTGAACCCAGATTATTTTTATTTATTATTTTTATTTATTTATTTATTTTTTTTTTAATCAATCTTTATTGTTCATATTATTACAAAGGTTCCTCATTTCTTCCCCCCTCCACCAGGTTCCCACCCCACTCTCCGCCCCCTTCTCCTCCCCCATTGTCCTCATCCATAGGTGCACAGTTTATGTTCAGTCTCTTCCTCCCTCCCTTTCCCCGATAGTAAATCCCTTTTCAGATAGTAAATCAGTTACTTAGCATTTTCTCATATCAATAATACCTCCACATGCCCAAAGATACACTTCACACAAAAGACATTTCCAAATAGGTCAACCAACCTCATCCAGGCCCCGCACAAGGCACTCACAGATGAACACCCCAGCGCTATACTAACTCCACATATGCATATCTAAGCCTTCATCACTTGATTCAGCAGACCCTCAAGTTCCCGCAAAAGTTTCCAGCCATGTCTAAGAGGCAGCCTTGGGCGGGGGCAGGCGAGGAGTGAGCTGTTCCGGGCCTGGCTGCTCCAGGCCTGGTCTCTGTTGCTCTGGTCCGTTCCACAACCAGCTGCTCCGGGTCTGGCCACTGCCGCTCCCGACCTGGTTGCTCCGGGCTTGGATGCTGCTGCTCCGGGCCTGGCCACATCCAACCTGGCTGCTCTGGGCCCGGCTGCTCCGGGCCCGGCTGCTCCAGGCCCGGCCGCTCCGGGCCCGGCCGCTCCCAGCCTGGCAGCCGCTGCTCCGGGCCTGGCCACTCCCAGCCTGGCAGCTGCTGCTCCGGGCCTGGCTGCACCCGACCGGCTGCTCCAGGCCCGGCCGCTCCGGGCCTGGCTGCTCCCAGCCCGGCAGCTGCTGCTCCGGGCCTGAACCCAGATTATTTTTTAAAAATATATATTTTATTAATTTTTTTCAGAGAGGAAGAGAGAGGGATAGAGAGTTAGAAACATCAATGAGAGAGAATCATCAATCAGCTGCCTCTTGCACACCCCCTACTGGGGATGTGCCCGCAACCAAGGTACATGCCCTTGACCAGAATCTAACCTGGGACCTTTCAGTCCGCAGGCCGACGCTCTATCCATGAGCCAAACTAGTTTCGGCTGAATCCAGATGATTTTGAAATTCTTTCTAAATCAGCGTTCTGCTGCCTAGCAACAATTTATATATTTATGTCTATGTGTATTAGTTCTTGTTAGTAAATATATCCTATGCTTTCATTTTTAATCACTCATTAGACTATTTATCGGTGAGGTAAATAGGTTATATCTTTTGCAGGTGATTTAATAGATTCTGAAAGTTAAACAAAACATCCCAAATTCCCACAACTAGTAAGTGGTAGAGTGGGGACTTGAACCCAGGACTCCATATTTTAGTTCTTCCTACTGCGCCATGCTGCCTCTAAAATTGCAGCTTTCTCATTTGCCAAAGAAAAAGAACTTGTTTATCCAATACTGTCATAAGAAAAGCCAGTTGTAAAACTCAGGAACTTTTAAGGATGAACTTTTAGAATCTTTTAGAACTTCTTAAGAACTGTTGTTCCACTGTCATTGATCTGTCAGGTATGTCCGCATGTTGGGAGCACTTTATATGAGGCTGACAGGCACTGCAATTGATTGCTACAAATACTTGGAGCCCCTGTACAATGACTATAGAAAAATTAAGAGCCAGAACCGAAATGGAGGTAAGTATGGTGCCATATGATTGAACCTTCATTCCTGAGCCAGTTATTTCACCAGTATCTCTGCCCTCATAATCACATAGTGAGTGCTCCCCTTTATCTCCTCCATTAGACTATTAGGTTGGCCTTCACCAGCCTACCCTATCTGCCCACCTTTCTGACTGCCTATTATTTTATAACATGGAGCGTTGTATCAGTTTGTGTGCCATCCTTGCGCAGGGGCCATGCTAATCTTCTCTGTAGTGTTCCAGTTTTAGTATATGCGCTGCTGAAGTGAGCATCTTACTTTAATCCCAGCCTTGTGTCACATGCTCCCTCCACATGCGCTCCATTCCATAATATTTAGCTCTAGAATGACCACCATAAAAGCCTTTCCCAAACCTCCCAAAGTTAGTTTTCCAGGTTACATCTTCACAGTTCTTTCTGCTGGCCTCTTCAGCACTAGATGTCACACTACAGTGTACGTATAGATTAAGTGTACTTACTCATACTGAGGTAGGAGTCCACTGGAAAATAGTAAGTATGTCCAAGAGGTGCAGCTCCATGCCTCTTACAGAGACACTTTAGTGATAAAGTGGGTTAGTGCAATCATAACCTTTTCTCACTTAGTGCAATAAAAAATTGGTAACTGTTTTTGCCTTTCCCTTCTACATGTATCATTAAGCAGTAGAAGGTTAGGGTTTTATTATATGGGGTTATGTTAACTAAGGTAAGATAGGGTTTCTCAATCTATTGGCAGCTGGGAGCTGGCCTGTGCATTGTAGGATATTTAACAATACCTCTGGCCTCCACCCATTAGCAGCCAATAGCACTCCCCACCTTAGATATGAGGGCAAAATTACCCGTGGATGTGAACTACTGAACTAAAGTAATGTTTACTATAGAAATTCTGAAATTTTTCCATTTACCATATAAGACATACATTCTGTATTCAGAAATTGCACTTTAGTTGTATGATCTATTTAAGAACATTACCTCTGTGCAATTTCCAACTATTTGTGCTTGCGTTTGTCTCTTCTGCTAATTGGGACAGCTCCATTTATCCTTTTGTCCCCAGCTCCTAAATGAGGCCTGGCACATAGATGCTTTCAATAATGTGAGTTGAATGGATGAAGACAGGTGGTAAAGGCTTCAAGGGCTTAGTTTAAGCCCAGCTTCACTAGTGGAAAGGAAGCTGCAGAGAATTCACAACTACTTTTTTGGCTATTTAAATTTATTTCTAAATTGTTGAGCTTATGATTTTTCTTTTATTAGAGTTTGAATTGATGCATGTAGATGAGTTCATTGATGAACTACTACACAGCGAGAGAGTCTGTGATATCATCCTGCCCCGGCTACAGGTAAGGGATAAAAGTCTCATATGAGTCACTCCCTCCCTAATCCAGCCTTCATATAAAATTCAGGATATTAAACAAATATAAGGATTGTCAGGAGTAGGAGCAGACTTTAATCCCTAAAATAGCGCTGTAACCATCTGTTTCCCTTTTCCAAAGGTAAATTGTTGTCCATGAAATGCCTTTCAGGAACAGCTTATACAGAGTACGATTTTAAAACTTGAAAATACAAAGGAAAAACAGATACAGTAGGTAGCTAAAGAGAAAGGGAATAGAGATTTCTAAAGAGAATAGAGAGATGACTGAACAGGGAACTAGAAGACCTAAGTTTCTGGGTAATTATTACAGCTGACTTGCTGTGGGACCTGGTTTTATTTTACTTTCTATGAAATAAAAAATTAGATTAACTAGTGGTCTGCCCCATGGGACTATTTTAAGGCTATTGGAAGGAATAAGAGGAGATAGCCCCACATTTGCCAATCAGAGCAGCTCCTTTTTCTCTTAAGTAACATATTGGGCTTGAGAGAGATATTTCATTTGAGCATAGGCTTTCTTTTAAATGGCTTTATTAAGATATAATTGACATAGAATAAACTATGTACATTTAAAGTATACAGTTTGGTAAGTTTTAACATGTGTATATATGCCCTTGAAACTCATCACAATTAAGAATAGTGAAAATGTCCATCACCCCAAAAGTTTCCCTCTGTATAATCCCACCCACCTTCCTATTCAACCATATATATATATATATATATATATATATATATATATATGCTACTTGTCATGATAGATTAGTTGCATTTTGGGATTAGTACAGTACATTATAATTTTAGTCTGTCTTCTCCCCAACATAATTATTTTTAAATTCATCTATGTTGTTACATGTATTAATAGTTTATTTCCTTTTATTGCTGAATGAGTGTCTCCTGTTCCAACCTGGATACTATAGTCCATGTGGTGAAGAGAATGAGATTTCAAATCTGAAAACTGGCTTTTAGGATCCAATTCTCTTACTAAGCATTGTGGATTACTTTTATTATTATTATATTGTCTGCTATTGTTATTTTTAGAAATATGCAAAAGAACTGAAGTACTTAGAATTGCAATCAGATTTTAGCTAAGGGTTCCAAAGTCTAGTCAACTTGAAGCAAACCCACTGATATGAGGTGGTTTGCATGGAGACTAGAAGCCTCACTGAGGACAGAGAAACTGAAATTTTTTTTTTCAATTTTGGTTACATGTTATGTCAGCAAGAGGTGTGGGCCTCTTATATGTCTTGGGTTAAGTGACACTTAAGTGATGCTCTTGCTCTGATTCTGTCCTTATTAGGCAACCCATAGATCATCAGTTTAGCTTTTGCTTGTCCTGACATATTAGCAAGGAGCTTCTGTGGAATGAATTCTAATTTCATCAAACACAAATGCTACGAATTACATATTGATTTTATTCACTGCCAAATCTGGTGAGCATTAGGGATTCTGGATACCCTATCTGATGTGATCCTAGATCCCAAACTGTGGTGATCCTGAGTGGAGAGCATTTTTCTGAGAGATTGACTTAACTGAGTGGCATCTTTGTCTCATTTCTACCAACTTTTATAGAATATTTTTAGGGATGAATGAGAGTTAAGTAACATACAAATGTTACTATTTATTCTAGGGCTATCCAACATTCTTTATACACTTAGTACTTATAAAGTGGTAAGGGATCTTATGACCCAGCCAGACCGTTTGGCAGTTTTGAATTCACCTTTACCCATCAGATCCTTTGTCACTCAGTAAACACTGCTAAGCCACGTCTCAGAAGCAAATGGAACCAGATGAATTTCCTGTGCCTTGTTAAAAAGTGCATGACTCTCAGTCTTGGGTTTCGTAGAGATTTGGTGCTCTTCTGAAGCAAGACCCAGGACACTCTTCAGCCCCCAAACTGGACTGAGCCTTAGTGGATCTCTTGGGGCAATTCTGATCTGAGCCGCTTCTGGCAGAACTTCCAGCCAACACGGTCCCAGCCATGAGCTTATGGCCCTTATATATGAAGTCCACATTTTTTTTTTTAATTTGAGGCTATGCCTATCTTGATTGATATCCCAGTGACCTTAGAATATAAGATCACAGAGAATAGAACCAACAGGAAATGGAGATGTCCCTTCAGCTTTGTATCTGTTTACAGGGGAATTTAAAGACTATATAGATTTCTGGTATATTAAACACCTTATGAGCATTTTAAACTGTCAAGGATGTCTTTGAAATGAATCTCAGGAATCCAGTATTGGGACTTCTGGTCACAGATATCAAGGCCCCTCACACTCTCCGTGTTTTCTGTAGAAACGCTATGTGCTAGAGGAAGCGGAGCAGTTGGAGCCTCGGGTTAGTGCTCTTGAGGAGGACATGGATGATGTGGAGTCCAGTGAAGAGGAGGAGGAAGAGGATGAGAAGGTCAGGTACCTGGGAGCTTACGGGGGAAGAAGGGATAATTACAGGGAAGGGGAATGGTGTTTTGTTATTTTTAACTTTCTTTAACCAAAGAGTGCAGTATTTAGTCAATAAGAATATGGGCTTTAAAATAGACCTTGGTTCATATTCTCAACTCTGCTGTATATAGTAGTATAACCTTTTGCAAATTACATAATCTCAGTTTTCTCTGTATAATGTGGATATGCTTATGGTAAGTTTAAAAAGGACCTAAAACATTTGTGATTAAAATTCAAGTAACAATATACATATGGAAAGAGGTTAGCGGAACATACAAGAAATACTACTAGCTCATGGAGTCTGAGACTTTATAAATGGAAGTTATCTGTGAGCCATCAGGCTCCCTTAAACTTGAGTGCAGAGGGAAGCACAGTCATTCATGAATTCAAAGCCATGTAAAGCTGAGGTGCTTTTCTGTGGTGAGTGAGCCAAAAGTAGGCTTATTTTTTTAAATAGGAAATCCAAAGTGGAGAGATTGTACTTCAATTTACCCATCAGCCTAGCTTCAATGTTGATCAACTCATAGCCAGTTTGTTTCCTCTACATCTCTACCCATTTGCCCCCCCACCGATTACCTTGAAGCATCTTAATATTTCATTTATCAGTTTTAAAATTAGTTGATTCTAGAATAGCCTCCCAAGATGAATGTCCTTGGTAGGATTGTAAACTCATGGATTTAAGCATTTTTTAAATGCTTTGAACCATTATTGTTTCTCTTGATGCTCACAGTGTCCCATCTTTGGCCAGTGGAGTCCCTCAACTTGACTTTGATATAATCATAGTAGTCTCATCAGCTCCTTGCTTTCTGATATACTTTCCAGTCATCTTTTACTGGCTTCTGCCCCCAACTGGAATTAGCCATTTTCCAAGGAGCCTTTGATTCCATTTACTGAGCTCCGATATTTAGATAACATAAGTTGGGTACTGTACGTGGTTATTGCTCTAGGTTTGGTCAGTGTTACTAGCTAGGCCTTTGTAGTTGGCTGAACTTAAAGGAAATTTTTTTTTAAGATTAAAGCACACCATGAGTTTGTATTTAACCTTAATGATTTTACATTTACATGCTTTCTTTTCCATTGGAAACTCAACTTCTTAAGGAGATAAACATGATTAGTAATCTCTCACTACTCTCAGTAAGTCCCAGAATAATGATACCAACACTAGAACAATAATGGAATTATTGGAAAGTTTTTTTAATTGGAGTTTTTTCCTCCAAGTTATCCCTCCATGTTTTCCAAATTACTGTTTTTAAAACCACTTGAAGGAAGCCCAGTTGGTGTGGCTCAGCGGTTGGGTGTCACCCTATGAGCCAGGAGGTCACAGTTTGATTAAAGCACATGCTGAGGTTGCGGGCTTGATCCCCCTGGAGGGCATCCAGGAGGCAGCCGACAGAGGATTCTCTCTCACCACTGATGTTCATCACTGCTGCTTCTGTCTCTCTTCCTCTCCCTCTGAAATAAAAGAATCACTTAAAGGTAGAATGTGGGACAGGACAGGGAGGGCAGTGTAGCAGTGTTTCTAAATGGCTCTCTATAAGCCTGTGCTCATCACTGAGCCATCTATCTCATTTACCGCATTTACAGCTGGAGAGGGTACCATCGCCTGATCACCGCCGGAGAAGTTACCGAGACCTGGACAAGCCCCGTCGCTCTCCCACACTGCGCTACAGGAGAAGTAGGAGCAGGTCTCCTAGAAGGTAAGGCCCTAGTCATTTGCCTCTTCCAGCAAAATTTTAAGCACCGGAGACTCAGAGTGTGGACTTCAGGGAAGGAAAGATGCCAGTCATGGAAGATGTTTGCTTGCCCAATGTGTTAATTGCTGGAAAATAATCACCCACAAAACCTCAGTGGCAGACAATATAATCATTTATTTAAGTTCACAAGTCTGCAGTCAGTGATATAAGCCTGGGCTTGGCTAGGCAGTTTTTTTAGTATGTTATGTTCACTCACCTGATTACAGTACGAGATGGCCTTAGTTAGCTAGGATGACTGGGGCAATTCATCTCTTCTCTATGTACGTCTCATTCTAGGCTAGGTTAGGCACATTCTCATGGTAATGGCAGAATTCAAGAGCAAACAAGCCCAATCATGCAAGTTTCTCTCCTTTATACAGCTGTATCACATCTGTAAATATCCCATTGGCCAAAGCAAGTCACTGGGGTGGGAGGGTGCTATAAGTACATGACAAAAGAGATGGGTTAAAAATTGGGGCAATTTTTTACAATGTATAACATCCAAGGCCCCTACCTACTAAGGCTCTTCTTCATCTGTTTTCTTTTCATTCAGGAGGAGTCGGTCTCCAAAAAGGAGGAGGTAGGCCTTTGTGGGTTGTTGTAATGAAGGACAGGAATTGGGTCAATGCGGGTGGAGGGGATACTGTTTTTGAGATAAAATTGTCAGGCAGATATGGGAGTCTGACCAGTGATTTCCACAGCCCTTCCCCTCGCCGAGAGAGGCATCGGAGCAAAAGTCCAAGGCGTCACCGCAGCAGGTCCCGAGATAGACGACACAGATCCCGCTCCAAGTCCCCAGGTACCACGTTTGGGCCTTTTGCTATTGGTTGTATTAACAAAGAAATGTAACAGGAACAATTAACCTCTTGCAATACTGGAGTGCTTATGTTATTGCTTAGAAGAAAAGGAAATGGACTTAGAATTTAAAAATTAAGAGTTGACATCCTGACTCATTTATAGGCTTTGCTGTTAAGAGGAGGAGCCTCAGTTTTTTCATCATCTGAAATTTTAGGACTGAGATTTAATAGAGTAATGGTACTGAATGTGGCGTTTGTGTGATGAGCCATAAAGCCCTGGATGCATATGAAGTGGGTTCATTTTTCCTCCTCACCCTACACAAGCCATTTCAGAGAGCTGCTATCAAACAGAGATGTCCCTGGCATAGACCAATAAAGCAATAAGCCAATGGAAGGTTTGGGGGGAGATGAAAATGACTTCGGAGAAATAGGAGGGTAGAATCTCATTCATTTATTGGCCTTTTCTTTCCCAGGTCATCACCGTAGTCACAGACACAGGAGCCACTCAAAATCTCCTGAAAGGTATGGATTGACCTCTATTTTGACTTGAGAATTTCACTCTTTATTCAGAAATTAAAGCACAATCACAATTAAATTTGGCCTTAAATTTTGCTTTGATGGGGATATTTAGGAATTCTCCTTCAGTACAGGAGAAAATTGGCCTGTTGCCCTGAGAATTAACTAGAATTATATATGTTTATGTTGTTTTGTTTTTCTTTGTAGGTAATAGGGTTATGTGCTTTGCATAGTGATAGGGGTATGAGTTTTGGTCTCAGGAGGCCTGCACTTAATCCCAACTTTTAACACTTTTAAGAGTGACAGTGGACAAGTCTCTTTTATTTGATAAGCTTTCAATAGAAATGTCTATATTGCTATACTGTTACATTCATTCTTAATCTCTCAGAGGTCATTTTCCTCAATGGTAAATTTTGGACAGTAATACTAGCTAGACTCATTGTGTTACTCTGAGACATAAAATACCAGGTCATTTAATGAATATTATGTGTCACCTCAGTTCCCATCAGTGTCACCATACCCATTTTCCTCAAAAGTCCTTGCCCAGCTCCTTGAACAGGTGTTAAATTTAATCATGTGTATGTGTTGCCATTTCAGATCTAAGAAGAGCCACAAGAAGAGCCGGAGAGGGAATGAGTAATGGACTCGGTTTAGGTTTAGTCCAAATAGCCTCCTGCAAATATGAAGCCACCTCTCTTTGTGGAAGGACTGAGATCTGCTCCCAAGGCAGCTACAAGAATATTTTAGGGTGTTTTTGTTTTTTTTTAACCTGAAAGTCTCTCTACTTTTTCTTTCTTGGGGGGAGGGAGGGTGTAATAAAAGAGGTGCTTAGTTTTGTATCTCTTTTTGAATCCTAGTCCATATTTGAGGGATAATGCTCCCCAAGGGCTGCTTTTGATCCCTTGTACAACAAACATTGAGGATTTGGGAAGTGGAGGGTATATATGTCAAGGAGGAGATATGGTGGCCTAGTAATCCTTTTGTTATTAAATTTAACATTCCATCTTTCTTTGGTTTCATTTTTAGTTTGCCCCCTAATTAGAACTGTTTTGAGAATCCTAAGATTTGTGCTACTGCTGTTATTAAAAAATCAAGTTGGTAAAACATTAGTACTTTTTTTAAAATATATATTTTTATTGATTTTTTTACAGAGAGGAAGAGAGAGGGATAGAGTTAGAAACATCGATGAGAGAGTTATCGATCAGCTGTCTCTTGCACACCCCCTACTGGGGATGTGCACGCAACCAAGGTACACGCCCTTGACAGGAATCGAACTCGGAACATTTCAGTCCGCAGGCCAACGCTCTATCCACTGAGCCAAACCAGTTTCGGCAAAACATTAGTGCTTTTTCCCCCCAGCAGAAGCAAAGGATAATAAACATGAGAATTAACTGATGAATAGCAGTTTTGTAACAAAAGGATGCAATGCAAGGCTTCTTCTGGATCATCTAATCCAGCTGCACTGAACAGTTCAACAAACAGTAAAACTTAATACCTTTTATATAGCATTTTTATATATGGTTTCTCCTTCCACAAGGTTAAGATGCCCAGTCTTTATTAAACAAGAATTGACATTATCCAAGTCTAATCAGTAGGAGTTGGGCAATAAGATTGAAAAGGTTTGTTGGAAAGAAAAGTAATGTCTCTCAGGGTTTTGACTTGAATTGTTGGACAATAATGCCATTCACAAAGCCAGAAAATATAGCAGGAAGAGACCAGGATTTACAGGGCAGGTAGTGGGAGTTGTAGTGAAAATGATGCAATCAGTTTAACTAGACAGCGATAGTATGTGTAGGCAAAGCTCAGGAAGTTGGAACTAGGAACTGGAATTGAACTTAGGGATCTAGCCTTGAATTGACAATGTTTGGGTAATTGTGGATGTGCAGAATTAAACAGATTGCCCCAGGAGTATTTGTATATGTAGGAGCAGCCAATAAAAGAATCATAGGCAACAGCACTGGTCAGAGGAAGAAGTGCAGTAATGGGAGCAGAATGACTGAAAAATGTTCCTTTGGTCCCTGGCTGGTGTGTCCCAATGGTTAAAACAAAGGGTTGTGGGTTCAAATCCCAGTCAAGGGCATGTACTTGAGTTGCAGGTTCCCATCCACCCCAGTCTGGATGCATCCGTGAGGCATACAATTCATGTGTCTCTTTAGCATTGATGCTTCCCTCGAAAAAAAGCAATGGGGTGGAGGAGGGGCATCATCTGGTGAGGATTAACAACAAACAACAAAAATGTTCATGGGTATTGCTAATCAAGAGAAGAGAATGTTGGGATCTTTGCTAGCAAAGTTCCATTTACCTGTACTTACCTTTCCTCCTTTAAAAATGAAAAAGTGATTGACTTCCTGCAGCTCTGGTCCCAGCAAGAATTGTGAATACCAACTGCCTCACAGGATGGATCCAGTTTCTTGGAAAGCCATACACATCTGGCCATAGGATTCACATTCTATTGCTTGCTATTGAACTGAAGGATTATTGTAGCAATATTAAAGCATTTGGACATCATTTTCATGATTTCAAATTCTTCAGTGATTCTTCTTTTGAAGATACTTCAGCTAATAAGAGTTGTCCATCAGAGCTATTTTATCATTCAACTATATATGACTGCCTTTAAAAATTAAATATAATCACCTCTGTTTACATCTGTTACAGAGTCCTAGCAGTTTACTTCTTGTGATCTAAGCAGAAAGAAATGTCTTTTGGCTAAATAACTTATGGACCAACCAAATCATCCAGTACATTAAAATATTTAAATGTCTTAAAACTCCCCTGCAATTTTTAATAACAAAGAAAGCTCCCAAAGCATACTTACTAGGCTTATGGTGAAATCTGGACCAAATTGGAGCAGTATAGCCAACCTATAGCAGGAAGCTGATTGTCCTTATTCTCATTAGTACAAAAATAACAGTAAGACATGATGAGCATCTCTTCGGAAACTGTTTTTGATAAATTACAGAGGAGGTGGAGCCTAAGGATAAATCCTGCTGAAGGGCCATTTCTGTCATGTATGTGCTAGCCAGTCTAGTAAATGAGGACTTGGAACTGTAGCTTTATAACTTTTTTGTTTTTGTTTTTACTTTGGCCTGTACAACAAATTTTATTCCTTATGCAAAATGCATTCTGATGTTTCCTAATTAGTAACAGTTTTTAATGTTGGGTACAAATCACTAAATTGATTTCACTTCCCAATCTGAATTACAGTGCCTTAAAAATTTTGCCATAGAGCACAATGACTTCTTAATACTAAAAAAAAAAGGAGAAATGTGTTCTCTGAAACAAGTTCAAAGAAGAGATGAAAGGAAATAGAAATTAGGTTGAAGAGAGTAAATGAAGATGAAAAACTAGAAAAATGAAACCTTAGAAAACAAAATACAAGATAAAGGTATTGAGAAAACGGGTTGGAGGAAAAAATGAAAAAAACTAAAGAGATAATAAAACAGCTCTAGGAATTATGGCTCATTGGGTAGAGCCAGCGGGCCTGTAGATTCCGGTCAAGGGCACATGCCCAGTTTACACTCATCCCTAGTAGGGGGCAAATTAAAGGGTAATTATAAGACTCAAACATTTGAACATTGCCTATATAGAAACAATATAACCAGGAAATAGAGGGACTCTTAAGTGTGCTAGTTTCATTTTTCAAAACAGGAGTCATACTGTCTTTAATTAAAATATACATGACACTAGAAATAAATGATTCCAGCCTCTTGAATGTTTTCTATAATTGTCCTCAATTTTCAAGGGAAACTCAGAATTAGATTCTCGTAGAAAATTTTCAATTTTGGCATTTCTTCACTTTCACATTTTTTCATCTTGTTAAACCCAAGTAAAATTTGCTATATTTACTAACTACAGCATATGAGCCCATTTTTGTAAAATTGTATGTACACATATGTCCATAAGAGATGGTTGGAATGAATAAAGTTCACAAGATAACTGTTTCTGGTTGATGGGCTTTTGAATAATACTTTTTTTTTAAATAGACATTTAAATTCTTTACAAGGAAAATGTGAATTCTTTGGAGAAAGCTTTTTTATAAGCTTACCAACATATTTCATATACAATAGTTTGCCAGAAATGCAAGTTGGTAATCACTTCTCTGGGTGGTAATTTGGCAGTATGTCAGAGGAACCTTAGAATTTTTATCCTTCTTACCTAATCCCATTTATATTTATATTAATAATCCCATTCACCATAATATAGAAACATACACAAAAACATTATTCCAGAAATGAAACTAGACCACTTATATCACATACAAAAAATAAAAAATATGTTAAAAGACAAGTTGGAAATGTAAAGCCTGAAATAAAACTGCTAAAACAGGCAATAAATTTTGTACGCTGGTCTTAGCAATATTTTTTGGATAAGTCTCCTAGGGCAAAGATAACAAAAGGAAAAATGAACAGATGGAACTATATCAAACTTAAAAGCTTTTGTACCACAGAGAAAGCTATCAACAAAAAAGCAACCTACTGGAGAACTTATTTGCAACTATTATACGCAATAAGAGGTTAATATCCAAAATATGTAAAGAATTCATACAGCTTAGCATCAAAGAAACAATTAGATGAAAAATGGACAGCGGACATAAATACAGATATTTCTCCAAAGAGGACATAGAGGTGGTTGGCCAACACATGGAAAGATGCACTGATCATTAGGGAAATGCAGATCAAAACCACTAGAGAGATGACCTCACACTAGTCAGAATGACTTAACAAATCAGCCATGCAGGTGTGCCTCAGTGGTTGAGCGTCAATCCACGAACCAGGTCATGGTGCAATCCTTTGTCAAAGACACATGATGGAGCTGCGGACTCAATCCCTAACGGGTTTGTGCAGGAGGCAGCTCGTCACTGAATCTCTTATCATTGATATTTCTACCTCTCCCCCTTCCTCTCTGAAATTAACTCAGCATTAATTTTTTTAAATAGTAAAAATCAAATTTATTTTAAAATATTACTTAAAAATAAATCAACAAATGTTGAAGGATGTGGAGAAAAGGGTACTCTTGTGTACTACGTTGGTGGGATTGTATATTGGTGCACCCATTATGAATACAGTATGAAAGTTCCTCAAAAAATTAAAAATACATCTACCATATGACCCAGTAATTCTTTCACTTGTGGGTATTTGAAGAAATCCAAAATACTAACTAAAAAAGATATTATATATGCACCCCTATATTCATTGCAGTATTATTTATAACTAGAGGCCTGGTGCACGAAAATCGTGCATGGGTGGGGGGTTGTCCCTCATCCCAGCCTGCACCTTCTCCAATCTGGGATATCCAGCTCATAATCCAGGACTTCTGGCTCCCAACCAATCGCTTGCCTGCCTTCCCGATTGCTCCTAACCACTCCCATACAGCCTGATTGATGTCTAACTGATCCCCTGCTAGCCTGTTTACCCCCAACTTCCCTCCTCTGCCAGCCTGGACACCCCTAACTGCCCTCTAGTACAGGGTTGATCACCTCCAACTGCCCTCCCTTGCAGGCCTGGTGCCTCCCAACTGTCCTCCCCTGCTGGCCATCTTCTGTCCACATAGGGGTAGGATCTTTGGGGACAGCCATCTTGAGGTTGGAGTGATGGTCAATCTGCATATTACTCTTATTAGATAGGATAGAGGCCTGGTGCATGGGTGGGGGCCAGCTGGTTTGCCCTGAAGGGTGTCCCGGATCAGGGTGGGGGTTCCCTTGGGGTGTGGGTGGCCTGGGTGAGGGGCCTGTGGTGGTTTGCAGGCTGGTCACACCCCTAGTGACCCAAGCAGAGACCCTGGTATCTGGAATTTATTTACCTTCTACAATTAAAATTTTGTAGCCTGGAGTAGAGCCAAGCCTCCTGCTTACTCAATGGCGGCAGCCATTTCTTTTTTTCTTCTTTTTTTTTTCTGTTGTTCTTTTTTTTTTTTTAATCAATCTTTGTTTATATTATTACAAATATTCCTCATTTCTTCCCCCCTCCACCAGGTTCCCACCCCACCCTCTGCCCTTTCCCCACCCCCATCGTCCTCATCCATAGGTGCAGTTTATGTTCAGTCTCTTGCCGCATCCATCACTCCCCTTTTCCTCCCTTTTCCCCGAGAATTGTCAGTCCACTCCCCTCCCGTATCTCTGATTCTATTATAATCAAGTTAATATTGTTCATCAGGTTTTTTAATTTCCTTGTTTTTTAAAAAAATTAATAAACATATTTTTAAGAATAAATTTTTTAAAATCTAATAATTTTAAACCTTGTTTTTAATGCCCTGGAAACTGAGAAGCAAACTTGTTTACATGTAAACTTGCCCTTGGGCTATCAAAAAGCGTAGCCATTCAATGTTTAAAGATAGCTGCTGGCTGGAATTGGATTACCTGTTCTGGGTGGGAATGGCTTGTCTTCCCCTTTCTCCATTAAAAGTAAGGTGTTAGCTTTAAAACCTCTTTTTGGCAACAGACCTAGAACTTTCAGAACTTTAAATTTTTCAGGTAATAAATCAATTACTTAGCATTTTCTCAAATCAATAATACCTCCACATGCCCAAGGATACACTTCACACAAAAGACACATCCAAATAGATCAACCAACCTCATCCAGGCCCCACCCAAGGCACTCACAGATCAACACCCCAGCGCCACAACTCAACACATCCAGATCTAAGCCCTCACCACTTGATTCAGCAGACCCTCAAGTTCCCCCAAAAGTTTCCAGCCATGTCTGGGAGGCAGGCCTGGGGCATGGGCAGGTGAGGAGCTTGGGGCCCGGTTGCTGCCTGGCCTCTGCTGCAAGCCCGGCTGCTGAAGGCAGCCATTCTGTTTGAATTTGTTTACATTCTATAATATAATTGAAACTTTGTATCCTTGAGTGGAGGTCTAGGCCGGCCAGGGCAAGTGAAAAGCTTTGCTTCCTCTGTTGCTGGGGGCAACACTATCCTGCTCTCTCCAGCTCCGTGGTTGCCGCCATTTTTCTTGGGATTTATCTTCTATAATTGAAACTTTGTAGCCTTCAGTGGAGGCCTAGGCCAGCCAGGGTGTGTGGAAAGCTTGGCCTCCTCTATTGCTGGGGAAACCCAAGCCTCTCAACTGCCCTTTGTGGCTGCAGCCCTCTTGGTTGGGGTTAATTTGCACACTCACTCTGATTGGCTGGTGGGCGTGGCTTGAGCGGAGTGATGGTTAATTTGCATATTACTCTTTTATAAGGTAGGATAGCCAGAAATGGAAGCAACCTAGGTGTCCATTGATAGATGAATGGATAAAGCTGTAGTACCTATATACAATGTAATATTTCTAAAAATATATATTTTATTGATTTTTTACAGAGAGGAAGGGAGAGGGACAGAGGGAAACATCGATGAGACAGAAACATCGATCAGCTGCCTTCTGCACACCCCCCACTGGGGATGTGCCTGCAATCAAGGTACATGCCCTTGTCAGGAATTGAACCAGGGACTCTTGAGTCCACAGCCAATGAATGCTCTATCCACTGAGCCAAACCGGTTAGGGCACAATAGAATATTTTACTCAGCCATAAAAAATAATGAAATCTTGCCATTTGGGACAACACGGATGAACCTAGAAGATATTACTGCAAATTGAAAGAAGTCAGAAGAGAAAGACAAATACTGTATAATTTCACTTACGTGTGGAATCTAAAAAAACATAAACTCAAAAACAAACTCATAGATACAGAGAACAAATTCAGGGTTGTCAGATAGCACTGAAGGGGGATGGACAAAAAAAGTGAAAGGAATTAAGAAATATAAATTGCCAATTATAAAAACTGTCATGGGATATAAAATACAGGATAGGGAATACAGTCAATAATATAGTAACTACCGTGTTTCCCCGAAAATAAGACATCCTCCGGAAATAAGACCTACTTACAGGTTTCCTTCTGAGTGAAATATAAGGCATCCCCCGAAAATAAGGCCCCCACCTAGGTTAAACGTGAGAGATTTGGTCCACTGATTCTGAAAGAAATGGAGTCACAAAATATTCACCAGGAAATTCAGGAATTGGATTGTTATGATGATGTTCCAGAAGATGATGACATGATTGTCATTGAATAAATGAGTAAATTCTTGATACTGTAGGATTCACAGTTTGTCTGATTTGTGTTGACAACCACCGTACTACTGTACCGTATACAGGAAATAAATTTCCTTTATTTTCATTTAACAATAAATGTGTACCGTATTCTTCATGGAAAAATAAGACATCCTCTGAAAATAAGACCTAGCGCATTTTTGGGAGCAAAAATTAATATAAGACACGGTCTTATTTTCGGGGAAACAGGGTATGTATGGTGCCAGATGGGTACTAGACTTATCATTGTGATCACTTCATAAGGTATATAAATGTCTACTCACTACATTTTACACCTGAAACTAATACTGTATGTCAACTATAATTGAAAAGCAAATTTTCAGTTATCCCATCATTTTTATTTTTTTAATATATGAGAAAAAATAGCAAAAATTTCTGTCTTAGGGACTGAACAAATAAATCACATAGTTCATGATTGACATATCTTTGAATTACATTTAATGGCAAGGGAAAATGTTAATGTCTCCATGTCACTAATTATACAAAAAAAATTTCAAAACTATATGAACTTAAGTGTATGTGTGTTCCTTACATAAGGTTGAATAATTTGCCCTTCTCAATTGCTCTACAATAAATTTGAATAAAAATGTTTTAAGGTTACAACTTCCATTAAATGTTTGCAAACTTACAAATTGTATAAATTATAAAATTGTATAAATTATAAAATAAGTATCCAACTACAAAAGTTTTTCCAGTTATTGAACACTGACAATTACTGAAGAGAGAGAAATGAGATGCTGAAAATTACTCTACATATACAACTTTCATATAGAGAAAACCTAGGTTACTGGGTTTTACAGACCTTACATATTTTTTGCCAGGCCATACCCTCCAGTTCCTTTAGGAGGGTAGGCTAAGCTGGGGGAAGTCTCTTGTTGCATATTATTTTATTGATGAAAATTTCAAATATATACAAAAGTAGAACAAGCTGAACACCTTGTACACCTCATAACCTGTTCTCTAAGACCTGAAAAGGAGGTAAAATACTTGAACACAAAAACATTTTTTTTATTTTAAAAAATATATTTTATTGATTTTTTTTTTTTTACAGAGAGGAAGGGAGAGATAGTTAGAAACATCGATGAGAGAGAAACATCGATCAGCTGCCTTCTGCACATGCCCCACTGGGTATGCGCCCGCAACCAAGGTACATGCCCTTGACCGGGATCGAACCTGGGACCCTTGAGTCTGCAGGCCGATACTTTATCCACTGAGCAAACCGGTTTGGGCGAACACTAACACTTTAACGAAAATCTTGAATATTCCAAGTAACATTTTTAACACAAAAGCATTTTGTTGGCCAGGTATCTCATTGACAAATGCGTTAAGTCCACCACTTAGTAGGATTCTGAGGGATGCCGAAGCTTTAATATGAAAAAGTAACAGTAAATACACCTGATCTTAACATTTAATAAATACCTTTTCAGGGCTGTAAATATGGCAGGAAAGCCCTCAACCTCCTGCAATAGATTTCAAGCATCTTCCATGTTGGAAAATATGGCAAAAGCCCAGGTAGTCTCTCCTATTTTAAGTAATGCATATCTGAGGAAGCAGAACAAAGATAACACACTCACTGTCCATAAAATAATTTTTTTTTACTTACTCTGTACATTTCCAAAGAAATCTATAGCATCATTTAGCAAATTTGGCAAATTTCTATGCGGGATTTAAACAAAATGACCTTACCTGAATGTATTAGTATCAAAAACAGCTTAAAAAAAAAAAAAAATCTACCACCAATGACACAAGTTTGAATTCCTGCTATAATTACTGACCACAAATATTATTGGGAAACACCACCCTGGCAGGCGTGCTTTCCAGGCAGTAAGTAGTACAGGACTCAAAACGGGTAGTCTGACTAGTGTTCCTCAGTAAAGAATTACCTTCCTTTCACTCTCATTGCCAGTATCAGTCTGTGTTTAAAAATTCTCCTTCAAAAGATGTTTCAATTTTATTTCCAACATGTTTAAATGTGTTACCTTTGAAACTCACTTTATTGTTTTGCACCTAAATTTTCCCAATGATAAAATAGGAGACAGCATTTGCTTCTATCTACAGCATATAGGTGTGAGGGTCCAATAAAATAAGGACCATGAAAACAAATCCTTGGATTTCTAATGTCTGTGAGTTACAATACTCGATTCTCTGAAAATAAAACAAGTCTCTGAATTCTTACATTATACTTCCATCATCTAAACAACCAGATGAATTAACCAAATTTGACTCTTGTCAAAAAGATTTATTAACTTAAAATAGAATTACTTCAAATACAGACAAAAGCAATTTTCTGTTCAAGTTTGAATATTTTCAATATACTGTACAAGACTGTAAAAGAAAAAATTCTGAATCTTCATGTTGTAGTTTTTATTTTTATTTTTTTTTTTACCTTTTAAAAAGTTTTTGGCACTACAAGGTTCTGTAAAGAATAGAAGTGACAAATTTAAAACACATGAAAGTCTTTCTAATTCTTAAGAACAATATATATAAAGTCTGAAGCAACCAAAGTATGAATACAGCTAATAGAAAATAAAGAATGTAATTTTTTAAATTCTCTCTTTATACAATTCATCAAGGTTAAACAAAACATAAAATTCCCTTAAAAATAGGGTAATAAAATAGATGAAATTTGTATCACTCAATGTGGTGATACTAGTAAAAACTATAGTTCATATTTATATACAAATAATACAGTTCTTAAAAACAGTTTTAGAATTTAAATAAGCTATCTAAACGTGTTAAAATTTTAAATCAGGACCTGATTTGTTTTGCTTTCCATTAAATGTCACTTTTTCTGCTGAATGTAACTGACATTGAGGTACGGATACCCTTGAGACAGCAGGATTGGCTGGTTGCTGTGCATCGGTAGACCAGCTGAAAGAAAATGGACTCGCATTACTCCGACACGTTTCCTCTTGGTGGGTGGGGACAACGCTCTCTACACCGACGGGTGGCACATCTGTCTGTTGGACACAACACAGACAGGAAACTGAAAGGCTTGTGCCTACTTATCTGATAACCCCCTACAATTAACTTCAGCTATTTTTTTTTTTCTATTTATACAGTGAAGATGTGATTAAGCATGTCAAAATATTTGGTAGGGGGAGGAGGAAGAGGAAAAGGAAATGTAGGTATATAAAAGCAAAAAGGAAGGCAAAAGAGAGAGATGGAGCGGTGGAATCACGGGGATCAGACCTACCAGGGAAGAACGTCAAACTCGCTTCCTAAAAAGGCTTGCATGACCAATGTAACTTCCCGCAGCCCTAGTTCTTTGCTTGGAAGATAAAAAGCAGTCACCGTCAAGGTTCTGCCAATCTGTAATACTGGGATGCCCCAACAAACATGGATAGTTTAAGAAGCCTGACAGACATACCAGTGGCTTCCCCTTAAAATTATCACTAAGTCAACATTTCCTGAGTATATTTCTTTAATTTCTTGAACTGCTAAGTTTAACTGTAATAACTCTGATTCTAGTTTTTTAAATTAGGTTAACCAAGAGCTGAACATTCCCTATTAGAATTGAGATACCTCTGAGGCAAGTAGGCTAGATAAAATCATCCAAGTTCCTTGGCATTCTCCTTAGTTTGTAATATTCATTACTTAGATAAAAGCCATTATTGGTACATTAATACCAACAGAATATAGTGAATTCTAATGTCATTCAAATCTTAGTTTTACTAATCAAATCTGACCCTGTCACTACTCAACTCAAAACTTCTATTAGAGCCCAGCCGGTGTGGCTCAGTGGTTGAGCACTGACCTATGAACCAGAAAGGTCATGGTTCAATTCCCAGTCAGGGCGAATGCCTGGGTTGCAGGCTCGATCCCCAGTGGGGAGCGTGCAGGAGGCAGTCCATCATTGATTTTCTCTCACCATTGATGTTTCTATCTCTTTCTTGCTCTCCCTTCCTCTCTGAAATCAATAAAAACACATTTTTAAAAACAAAAAACTTCTATTAGATCCTGACTTCATAATAAACTGAGTACAAACTCTCATGAGATTGCCCAGCCTACCTTCTCTAGTCTCTTCACCTACACGTCTTTCCCACTAACCTCTTCCTACCTGGACTCAGAAATTTTGCATATATTAATTCCCTCAGCTAAAAACACTCCTCCTCTCTAATCTCTAGAAAATATTTTTTGGGAAAAAGTCCTGTACTTCTTTTAAGATCCAGTTCAAATGTAAAAATCTTGTGTGATTTGATCCCTGGTGTCCACATTCTGCTCTCACTGCTAGGACATTAACTGATTCCTCTAAGCTCCTAATCTCTTCTATTTTACATGTCTGGCTCTCCTAATAAAACATTCATTAAGTATGGGAGTCTTACTTTATTCTTGCTTGAGCAATAAGCACCTATCATAGTCTGACAAACCGTATGTTTTCTCAATAAATGCTTCCTGAATGCATGAATTCTCACTCCCAGGTCCTGGTCCTCACAAAGGCTCCCGGTCCCAGAACCCACCCAGCACATTAATACATTTGTAAGCAATGGTACCTTGAGTATAGAAAGGTTTGTTGGGCTGAAATCTGGCATTTCCCTGATGCATGAAGTTTTGATGCAAACCATAAGGCCACGAAGCTGGGACAAGAGGAAAATGGGGGCGTGGTGCATGTTCCCAAGGAATTGGAGGGTTTAGTCCTGGAAAGCCTGGCTCTGCAATAAATAAGAAAAGACATTTAAAACCAGTTTGTTCACTCATATAGTTCTTCATTCCACAAATACCTATGACTGGCAAGAACTGTGCTAAATGCAAAGGATACCAAAACGTTAAAAAAAAAAAAAATCAAACACTACCATTGTGTTCAATTTACTCACACAGGAGACGTATAGAACTATATATGCAATAATATGTTGTAATTGCTATAACATCAGAAGGTGTTCCAAAGGGGCTAACTAAGTTGTTCACGGATAAAGTTTTCCCTAAGATAACTGACTAAAACTGAGTTTTAAACTACAAGGAACACGTTATGCAAAATGGAGCACGGATGGCATTTTAGACAAAAGGATGGCATTTAAAAGACAGACTGCAGAAAAGCACAGTAATTTGGAAGCTTCAAAATAACTGACAAAATAGAAATAGGGGTAAAGGGAGGAAGTGGTAACAGAAGAGGCTGTATAGGGCCGAAACCAGTTTGGCTCAGTGGATAGAGCGTCGATCTGAGGACTGAAAGGTCCCGGGTTCGATTCCGGTCAAGGGCATGTACATTGGTTGCGGGCACATCCCCGGTAGGGGGTGTGCAGGAGGCAGCTGGTCGATGTTCTCTCTCATCGATGTTTCTAACTCTCTATCCCTCTCCCTTCCTCTCTATGAAAAACCAATAAAATATATTTTAAATATATAAATATATATGTGTTTTATTGATTTTTTTACAGAGAGGAAGAAAGAGAACTAACTCTCTATCCCTCTCCCTTCCTCTCTATGAAAAACCAATAAAATATATTTTAAATATATAAATATATATGTGTTTTATTGATTTTTTTACAGAGAGGAAGAGAGAGAAGGGATAGAGAGCTAGAAACATCGATGAGAGAGAACATCGACCAGCTGCCTCCTGCACACCCCCTACCGGGGATGTGCCCGCAACCAATGTACATGCCCTTGACCGGAATCGAACCCGGGACCTTTCAGTCCGCAGACCGACGCTCTATCCACTGAGCCAAACTGGTTTTGGCAATAAAATATATTTTAAAAAAAGAAAGAAAAGGCTGTATAGGTAGGTAGGATCTGTATTTCAATAAAATCTTAGTACATTATTGAGAAGTTTACATTTTATCTAAAGACAATACCAACTATCCTAGAATTAATTATATCTTGGCTTGAAAAGAGATTTTATTTATTAGAAGCTGAGGCACTGTTGTATAATACTTGAGAACTAGGGTTTTAGAGCCAAACAGGTCTAATAAGTTCAAATCATAAAAGGCTCAATTATGAACCTCAGGTTGTTATAAAGATTAAATTAGATAACAAAAATAAAAGTGGCTTGTACAGTTTCTGGTATATAAGTAGGCACTCAAAAAAATATGACTCCTATACTTTCTCTGGCAAACTACACCCACCAATCTACTTCCCTTTGAGATGATCTTTAATTGTATTACCCCCTCTATCTTCTGGATTATTCTTGGTGGTTTTTCTCATTTAGGGTCACAATGAGGCGAGAAATAATTAAAAGACACTACCCTTATTCATTAAATATCCTATCAGGAACTCAAATGAGAAGGTATTAGCTATGGATGAGTAGGGAGCAAGAAAACTAAAGCCCATACTAGCTGCATACAATGAATGGGCTTTGTTTGAATCTTGATTTACATAAATAAAAAATAATATTTTAGAGAAATAGGAGGAAAGGAACCAGGATTAGATAATCCTCTATATGATCTTGATTATTTTTAAGAGATACAGTTTACAAGCAAATTTGAAACAATGTCTCATATTTGATGAAATAATCAAGCCCCCCCAAATTTTTTAATGGCATGAAAGGGACAGATAAAAGAACAGCAAATGTAGATTACTATTAAAGCTGGCTAACAGGGGTAGGGAGAGGTCATTGTATTTTACTCTCTCCTTTTGTGTGTATTTCAAATTTTCCATAATAGTTTTAAAAATAAAAGTTATTATTAATAAAAAACTGGATACAAAACTAGTATTTATGGCATATATGAACTATTTATAAATATGTAAATACTAGAAAATGAATGGTGGCAATAAACCAAAATGTTACTTAGCAATTATGTATAGGAATTAAGATTATGATTTTCTCTTTCAAATGTCCTATAATGAATATCTATTTCTTAAATACCAGAAAAAAATATTTTAATGCTACAAAAATGCTACCAATATCTTTTTCTTTCCAAAGAATTGCTTTTTATTGGGAGATAGTAAAAATCTAGGGCAGCCGAAGCCGGTTTGGCTCAGTGGTAGAGTGTCGGTCTGCGGACTGAAAGGTCCCGGGATCAATTCCGGTCAAGGGCATGTACATTGGTTGCGGGCACATCCCTGTTAGGGGGTGTGCAGGAGGCAGCTGGTCGATGTATCTCTCTCATCGATGTTTCTAGCTCTCTATCCCTCTCCCTTCCTCTCTGTAAAAAATCAATAAAATATATTAAAAAAAAAAAATCTAGGGCAGCCAAAACCGGTTTGGCTCAGTGGATAGAGCATCGGCCTATGGACTGAAGGGTCCCAGGTTCGATACCAGTTCAGGGCATATAACTTGGTTGTGGGCACATAACCAGTGGGGGGGGGGGTGCAGGAGGCAGCTGATCGATGTTTCTCTCTCATTGATGCTTCTAACTCTCTATCCTTCTCCCTTCCTCTCTGAATATTAAAAAAAAAAAAAAAATTTAGGAGAAACACGGGTTTTGAAGAAAAATTGGATTAAATCTTGGATCTACAATAAGTTATTATGATAGTTAAATTACTTAACCCTTCAATTTCCTCAACTGTAAAATGAGTGCTAATAATACACACAAAGCAGTGTTGCAGTTAAAATTTCAAATATTAAAAAATAATATTTATGTATATTACATTTAGTATTCATAACATTTCTGTGAGTTAGATACTATTAAATCCCTATTTTACAGATGAAATCAATGAACAAAGAAATTAAGCAACTGCCCCATGCCATATAATAAATGTTCCCTCCACAGACATTGTTTGTCATCCTTTTCTTCACACTTATTTTCCCAAGTTGGACCAGTAATACTGAGCACCCAAACTTTCCTACAGACAGGCACAAAAGAAAAAAAGGGGCTTACCAGAGTTCCCCACTGCGCCGTTGTTCACCAGGGAATTTGGAGCCACAGTACGAGGCCAGTGTCCATCGTGAGAGGCGTTAGGGATTGCCACAGGTCTGGCAGCAGGCTGTGCAAAGATGATGCTGGGATCGTTCAGGCCAATATTGCTGGGGGCACTGCCTGGTGCAGAGTGGATCACTGGGCCATGGAGAGGCCAGGAGGGGGCAGGGATCTGGAGGGGGTGCATTGGCAACAGTCCCATATTGTGCATGGGAGAATACTGAGTTGGCGGTGACTGGGGAAAGTTATATATAGGCATCTGGACCTGGTGGGGGGGCTGGGCTCCCTGCTGAGGTGGGCCAAGTTTGGGTTGGGATCCTGGCTGGGGTGAAGCCTGGGTAATGGCAGCTGATGGGGAAGAGTTCTGTGGGAATGGTTGGGGCTGGGGAGAATAAGATGGTGAATCAGACTGCAGAGGAAAAAAGAGATACATTTTTAAATTCATTTATAAACATCTTATTTTATAAAAGCAGAGATTATCAAAACAGAAAATTATGGAGTTATTTAATTAGAACATTAAAAACAGAGCTCTATGATGTACATAACAAATAGCAGAATCCCATATTACATGAAAGTAGAATTTTTTTGCAAGGTTCTCAAACCCACCCTCATATAGGTATCACTTCATAAACCTTTTCACAGCCCAAAGGAGAACCCAGAAACCATTCTCATCATGTAGAACCCACATTTCCAATTGTAATTAGAAACTTATATCTAAATATCTCACAGTCACTTTCATTCAGTCCTTCAACAAGTATTTACTAAGCACTGTTTAGAAATTAAAAATACTACACTCATATGTATGCTTTCATAGAGCTTGAAGATTGTGGGGGAAAGGAGAAGGAGCAGATCATGATTACATAAGCAATCACAATAAAGTACAATTATTGCTATGAAAAGGAATGTAACAGTGTACAGTGTATACTGAAATCACAGAGTGAACACCTAAACCAACTTTGGAAGAATAGGGAAGGTAAGATGAAAGAAAGAGGAAACCAAGGAAAGCTTCCCAGAGAAAATGACCCTTAAGTTGAGACTCAAGGGTAAATAGAAACCCATCTGACTTTAAAAAGGGTAGGAATAAGGAGGAGAGAGTTTTAGGCAGAGGGAACAACATGACTGAAAATCTATAGGCACAAAAACATGTGGCTCTTAAAGTAACAGGAACCTAAAAGAAGTTTATTATTAAGGGAAGAGGAATGGCAGATCTGAGACTGAAGAACTAATAGGGTAAGATAATGAAGGTCCCTATAGGCGCCATAGTTTAGACTATCCTGAGGGCTCTGGGAAACCACCAAAGGGTTTTAAACACATCACAAACATGATCAATCTGCATTTTAGAAAACATGTTCTGGCTCAATGGGAATGAAATAGAGACTATTTTAAGTAAAAGACTGTTGGCCCTGTTTAAAAGGCTGCTATCATACAGAGGTCCTGAGATGATGGCAGCCTACGCCAAGGAAATACAACACAGGAACAGAGGGAAGCAAATGGTTATGAGCTAGTTTTTTGGTTTTTTTAAATTCTCAAACGAGGATATTGAATTGATTTTGAGAGAGAGGGGGAGAAAGGGAGAAGGGAAGAAGGAAAGAGGGAGAAAGGGAAAGAGGGGTAAGAGTAGAGGGAGGAAGAGCTAGAAAGGAGGAGGGAAGGAAGAGGAGGGGGAGAGGGAGGGAGGGAGGGAGAGAGAGAGAGAGAATGTGAGAGAGAAATATTGATCAGTTACTTCCCACATGTGCCCCAACTGAGAATCCAACCCACAACCTAAGCACATGCCCTGACAGGCAATTAAACCTGCTATCTTTTCGGTGCACACTGCAGTGTTTCCCAAACTTTTGACATATGTGTCCCCCTTCTATAATTTTCATAACGCTGAGTACCCCTCATACTCATGAGAACGTAGAATTAGGCGCAGCTAAGCACGGCGCAGTGCATATCCCCACCAAACTCCGGTGCAACACGTACCCCCACCAAACTCTTCCCGTACCCATGGGGGTACGCGCACCGCACTTTGGGAAACACTGGTGTACAGGATTACGCTCCAACCCACGGAGCCACCTGGCCAGGGAGAGCTGGTTATTTTTTATACGCACAAATACTAGGACTTGATGGCTGACTGGATGTAAGGGTTCAGTAGCAGGGAGTAGTTCTGGAAACTAATATGGCGATCATGTAAAGAAATGAAGAACATAAGAGAAAGAGGGGAGCTGGAGAGAACATAAGCTACATTCTAGACATGTTGAGGTTGAAGTGCTTTGTGAGACACCACAATAGTAACATCCATTAGACTCTTCCCAAATCTTAGCTGACAGAAAGGTAAGTGCTAGAAGCAGAGAATGAAAGAGACTGTAGAGGAAAGTGGTTCAGAGTATAGGTTTTGGAGACAGCTTGAGGGTTCAAGTTCTGGTTCCAAGTATCTGTTGACCTCAGGCAAGAAACTCAAACCTCAGTTTCTTCACCTTTAAAATATACGTAATAATAACCTACCTCATAAGTTTTTGTGAAGATTAAACAATACATGGGAAAAACATAAACACCAAATTCAGGATAGTAGATACATTTTAGTGGGCTCCTAAATGTTTTTCCAAGACTCTCTGTTACTAGTTTTCAAATGGTCTGTTTTTTTGGTTTTTTTTCTAAAATGCAGATCACATCAGATTTAATATGTTTAAGAGTTAACAGCTTTGAAACTACATATACCTGGGTTTGAATTTTTAATTTCTTGTTCTCAGCTTCCCAATTTGATACTAATTATCTACCATTTCACATAGCCACTAAAATTATTATATTTGATAAGTGTGAAGCACTAAAGCACATTGTCAGGTTTATAATAAGCATTCAATTAATATTGAATTAATATAAAAGGTGAATACAGATTCAGATAAAGGTTAAGAGTAACTCAAAGTTAATATGAAACCTGTGAATCTGAATTCTAATTCAATACTCTGTCTTTTACAGGGTATATTTCACTAGGTATCCATAACAGCTAAAAGAAGACAAACAGAAGTTTCAAGCAAGTGAAATGCCTTGTGTGTATTGCCCCAACATACCAAACCCTTAATATAGCTCAATTTTTGTGTCTATTTTTGTTAATGGTACAGTTATCTTTATACTGGGCAAAACATGCAACTTCAAAGTCATTACCTTATTTTAATCTAACCAATAACATTATAAAGTAGTTATCTTATTTTACAAATAAGGAAGTAGGCTCAATGAAGTTAAGGAGCTTGCTCATAGGTATAAACACAGATCTACATTACCCCCAAACAATCCTCTTTTCTACCTCATATGCTTAGCAAGGACATTTCTAAAGAGCACTATGTAATCTGGAAGATTGCATTTACCAGTCTGAAAGATCAACCCTGCTACCCAGCCCAAATAGTACTATCTTCTGGCCAAGACTAACCCCTTTGCAGGTAGAGTACTTACACATTCTGAGGACTGTCTAGTCCTTATGGACTGATCGCCCTGTTGCTGGGATGAATTAGCCACTTGTTGGGCGTTTACAAGGTTGCGAACCAGCTGGGCTGCTAAGAGAAAACATTAGAAAGGAAATCAAAAGAAAGAAATGACAATCTATAAGCGTCTCAAGTCTCTCTAAGTCTCTTTTATAAACTTGGACTTTTAAACTATGAAATGTTAGCGAAGGACTTATAACAACTATTTTTTAAAGCCATTTTTCAATCCTGACCATTAGAAAATACACTGGTCCTAGAAACCAAAACAAATGTCACACTGCTTTTCTTAAGAAGACAATATATTTATTTGAGAAATTACCTTCTGTACTAAGAATCCGAATAACTGAAAATCATCAGTTCTAAAATATTTTATTCTTTTCTTTCAATACACTCTCATTTGGGATATATCCCCAGAAGAAAACGTCTCATTAACTTGATGGCAGTGGGGACTGGAGGGAGTTAACTTGTTAACTTTTTTTAAATTCAGAGGGAGGAAGGGAGAGGGAAAGATAGAAACATCAGTGATGAGAGATACCAACTGGCTGCCTCCTGCATGCTCCCCTACAAGGGATCAAGCTCACAGCACAGGCTTTCGTTCTGACAGGAATCAAACAGTAACCACCTGGTTCATGGGTCAACACTCAACCACTGAGCCACACCAGCTGGGCTGTTAATTTTTATATTGAGAGAAGTAGAGTGTGACTAAAATCTAAAGAATACTTAGAGGGAATTGGCTGAATCCAACAGACTGCTAAGACCTAGAAAGTGAACATATCCAAATACTGTTGAAGATAAAAGCCTGTCTAAACTTTATCTTTTTAAGAAATCACAAGGTCCAAAATCATACAGCTAGGTTTGGAGCAGAGAAGAATTTGAGTCCTTAGAATGACATCAATATAAATTACTTCGTTTTCACCAGAGACGATTAATCTTTTCTATTTACCTGCCACACTGCTATTCCTCTGACGTGCCAGCTTGACCTCTGGGCACTCCCTTCGCACGTGCCCCGCATCTCCACAGATAAAGCATCTGAGGTCTCGTGGTTCTCTGAAGTCTCGAGTCTCAGGGTCAAGGTCTCGAGAGTCTTTCTCTTCTTCATTCCCTTCCTTCTCTTCTTCACTGTCTTTCTTCTTTACTCTAAACAGTAAACTGCTGATACCAATAATGTGGGGCTAGGGACTTGTAAACTGAGGGAGTCACAGAACAACTAAACTATACAGGAGTCTCACAATTAAAGAACCAACATGCCCATGTTTCATGCATCGTTTTGAAGGCAAAGGAACTCACATTTATAGCACACCTACTCATATGACAAAAACTGGATATTCCAGTACTTTTATAATAAAACATCAAATTAAAAACATCTAAGTTTAATCTTATAACAATCCTTAGAGATTGGTATTATCTTCTTTAATAGGAAAAGAAACTGGGGTTAAGTATCTTGCCTAAACTTAGAAAATAAAATAGCAGTGAAAAAAAATGAGGGAGCCTGTTCTGCCTGAAAAGTGCTAAGACTTTATAATTAGGAAAGATATGATAACTAAAGGGATTTTCCTGGCCTATTAAACATAGTGTGTGTGTGTGTGTGTGTGTATAAATAAATATAATGCAGAAAAGTATTTTTCATAGATATATATATTTAGGGGGTATGTAAAATGCATATTCCTCAAGGTAAATGTTATATATTTCACAGGATATACCTCAAAAATTCAGTTAATTATATTTTAATATTGGTTTGTAAGTTTGAGGTCCTCAGCTAGAATCCCATGACTTGTTTGTTTTTTTTTTCTTGGCTCCTAGCACAGTGCTCAGCATACAATAGGTGTCAATAAATGCTTCTTTAATTAAAAAAAAACCACATTTAATAAATGAATGAATATTATGAGACACCACAGTGCCACAAATAAAGCCCTGAACTTTTTTACTTGAAGATATCTGAACACAGTTATAGCTACAATTGACCTTATCTTTAATTTCCCTGTAACACTGACACAAAATCATTTGCCAACCTTCTCCTTTTAGGACAGTCTTTCATGTAGTGGCCTATTTTTCCACAAACACGGCAACATCGATCATTGGGAGCCAGTTCTCCATCTGTTAATACTCTGGAATCAAAGAAGTACTCCTAGGGAGAAAATACAACTTTATTAGAAAAAAAAATCACTTAAACACTTTTTAAAACAAATGGAAAGGAGACCAAGATGCAAAAGTGTGTTTGTTTTTTTTTAAAAAAAGAAAATAATACCAAATATTTCACTGCAATTAAAATGATGATATGAAAATGAGATTCACAGGAAACAAAATGAACAAAACACAAACACACACACACACACACACACACACACACACACACGAGAGAGAGAGAAAGAGGGGGGGGGGGGAAGTAACAAAACAAAAAGAAATGAGATTCTGAATTATCACCATCACTATCTCAGTTTTAACAGTTCTAAACACTTTACATCCACACTGTTCTCTCATTCATCTGTAGCGTCTCTGTATACTATCTCAATATAGTAAAAACTACATTCATCTTTATTTCCTACTTGAGGAAACTTAGCTTCAGAAAAGTCATTTGCCCATAGTAAAAAAGCTGGTAAGTAGCAGACAAAGAAAGGATTTAAAGCTAAGTCTATTTGACTCCAAAGCTCCTGCTTATTGCTATAGCAGGCTACTTCTGGAAAGGAATTATTCTGTATAAAAGAGCTCTATGCAAATAAGAACATATTTTGATGTTTTTAGTATGTTCTTTATAAATTGATTTTAGAGAGAGAGGAAGGGACAAAGGAGAGAGAGAAACATCAATGAGAGAAAATATCAACATCAATCTGCTGCCTCCTGCATGCCCCCTGTTGGGGATCAAGCCCATAACCCAAGTCATGTGCCCCGACCAGGAATCATCGAACTGGTGACCTCTTGGTGCATGGGTTGATGCTCACCAGCTCACTTTTGCTTTACGAAAGCACCTTGTAAGTTTTAGCTCCATTTAGCACTATCACAAATACTAGTTTGTTCTGACAGTACACATATCTCTGGAAAGCAAGAAAAGATATCTCCTTAGTGTTCTTCAAATCTATCTAAAGTCAAGGATAAAAGTAGGAGACACTCATAATTGTAAGTATTGGTGAGGATGCAGAAAAACTAGAACACACATATATTGATGATGGGAACATAAAATAGCACAGCTGCTTTATAAAACAGTTTGGCAGTTCCTAAGAAAAATTAACAAATTTGTCAAAACGGCTCAGCAATTCCGTTAGGTATATTCACAACCCCAAAATGAAAACATCCATCCAAAAATTTGTACAGGAATATTCACAGCAGCATTACTCACAAGAGCCAAAAACTATAAAATACACAAATGGCCAACAAGTGACTGGATGGATAAAATGCGATATATATCCATTCAATCATAAAAAGAAATGAAATTTTGATACATGCTATAACATGAAGAGATTACACTAAATGAAAGAAGTCAGTTACAAAAGTCTACCGGTACAAATTCTATGATTCCATTTACATGAAATATGCACAATAAACAAATTTACAGAACCAAAAAGTAGATTAGTGGTTTGGAGAGTGGGAGAGAGGAGGAATGGGGATTGACTGCTGATGGGAACAGGAGTTTCCTTAAGAGAGGATGAAAATGTTTTAACATTGGACTGTGATGGCAGCTGCACAATCCTGCAAATATACCAAAAACACTGTACTGGTCACTTTATATGGGTGAATTGTACAGAATGTGAATTATATTTCAATAAAGCAGTTTTTGTTTTTTTTAATTCTTTACATTTACTACTGATGAAAACAATGTAGCTAAATAAAATCATCACAAAATTTTTTTCCAGGACAAAATGTAGGCCTTTCTCAATTCACTCAGTTGCCTAAGGCAGAAATCTAGGAGTCATCCTCAACTTCTCCTGCACCATAACCTGTAGTTAATCACCAAACTGCATCCATTCAATTTCTGAATCTCTTTAATCCATCGAGTTAAGGTGACCTAGACCTGGGGGTCAGCAACTTTTTTTATAAAGAGCCAGATGGTAAATATTTTAGGTGTTGTGACAAAATTGAAGATAGTAGGTAGGTTAGGTGCTTATATAACAAGAGAGAAAGCAAATTTCCACAAAAATTTGTATTAAAGAATAGCAAAATATAGAAAACAACTCCGAGACTATGTGGATTCTGGCAACAGAGAGGAATTGACAGGACTACTCCAGCCATGAAGACAGAAGAGAAGCAGCCCAGAGATGGAAGACCCTGATGTCCACTTGCCATAATAGCAGTCAGCAGCTGTGTGTCACTGCAGGTTGCCCAGGACCAAACCAGAGAGGGTGAGACCTGTATTACCACCATTTGTCCACCATCCAGAACTGAAATATCATTGCTGACATGTACACATAAGGAACTGTTTGACATTGAAATTGGGTGTCAAAAGAACTGTTGGCCCAGAAAGAAACTCACTACAGACTATTTCATATGCCTTTCAGCATAACCATTATTGCTTGTCTCATTTTTGGTTCTTATAAGTGTATTTCTAGTAGGACATGATCTTACTCATCTGGGGGAAATGATGAACAATGTAGACTAATGAACAAGAACAGACCCAGAGATAAGGAGGCATGGATAAGACTGTTGGACCTCTGAGGGAGGGTAGGGGAGAGTGGGGATAAAAGGGAGAGATCAACCAAAGAACTTGTGTGCATACATATGAGCCTAACCAGTGGTCAAGAACAAAAGGAGGGTGGGGGTATGCATGGGGAGGGTTCTGGGATGGGAATGGGGGGATGAGGACAAATATGTGATACCTTAATCATTAAAGAAATTTAAACAACAAAAAAAAGAATTGCAAAATACACTAATAATTGAATAGAATTTTTTTGTAATACAAGTTTACTAATTAAAAATGTCCCTCAGAAAGAGACATTTCTCTTAGTTGAAGTTTAAAAGTTAGTATTTCCTGTAACTAAAATCAATGGCAAATGTTCATCTATTAAATCAGGGGTGGGGAATGTCTGGCTCATAGGCCATATAAAGCCCGGGGAATAATTTGGTCAGGCCCTGTTAAGGCATTAGGGGTGAGTTGATTAAATGTTTGACAAAATATAGCAGGATAATTTTTAAGTTGAAAATTTTGTATGGCCCTGGAATCATGTTATAAATATGCAAACGGCCCTTGGCAGCAAAAAGGTTGCCCACCCCCCTGTAAAATGCTAATCTGCAATTATATTTTATGTATTTCATCTCTGAAAATATTTTCACAGATGAAGAGGTTGAAGACTCAAGAGAATAATAAATGGATGTAGAATGCATATGGAAGAACCAGTCTCTGATAAAGGAGAGAGATTTGTAGATGCAGTCAGAATTATAGATCTGGTAGCAGACTATTGAAAGAATTGCTCTCTCATATTTTTTGTCTCTGAGGGAAAATATCTAAGAGTGAGAATGGCAGAGGTGAAAGATGGGACAAAATGCAATGGGTATTGACTTTTGAGTAAAATAAATGAAATATCAAATAGTACTTATTGAATAGGAAATACAGGTAACTAAAGAAATCTAATAAGAATGTCAGATAATGCAAAAAATAAAAATAAAATCTTACCATTTGCGACAGCATGGATGGACCTGGAAGATATTAGGCTAAGTGAAATAAGTCAGAGAAAGACACGATTTCACTTATATGTGGAATCTAAAGAACAAAATAAACTAACAAAGCAGAAACAGACTCATAGACACAGAAAACAGAAAGATGGCTGCCAGAGGGAAAGGAGATTGGGAAACTGGGTAAGAATGTGGATGGATTAAGTATAAATTGGCAGTTACAAAATGGTTGTGGGGATGTAAAAGTACAGCAGAGGAATATAGTCAATAATACTGTAATAACTACAGATGGTGCCAGTTGAGTACTTGAAATACTGGGGGGATCATTTTGTAAAGTATGTGATTGTCTAACCACTATGCTGTACACTTGAAACTAACACAAGATAACACTGAATGTCAAATGTACTTAAAATATGAAATAAAATTTAAAAGTCAGATAATATCAGAAGTCCAGGTGAGACTGGTGAACATTAATTTATAATTGTACTATGTAAGTTTATAAGTTTATGACTTTTTCCCACTAGTGCTTAGCAGTCCAAGCAAAGACAGATGGTGGATGCTTAAATTCATGTCAGGTTGAACACATCAGTGTGCAAAAGGACAATGAAACAAAGAAATTTAAAGTATTGACAAAAAGTAGACCAGAAATATAAATTAAAAGGGAGAGGGGGGAAGGAGGGAAATGAAGACAGAAGGTAACTGACAGAATGAGAGAAGTCAATATATCGGAGGACCTAATGTCATAGAATAGTTGAAGTGGAAATATTTGAGTGAGCAAGAAAGGTGAAAGAAAATATACTTGTCGTCATTTTCACTAGTGTCTAAAGGAAGGAGATGCATCTATTTTGTATGCTGTTATAATTCCCATACATAGCAGAAAAACAGTTACAAAGTAGGAATTCAACCAATATCTATTGAAAGATAAACTTTACTATGGAAAATAGAAGCATGAAATACTATTAAACAAGGATATTTGTTATAATATCTGCTATAATACTGATATAATAAAAACAACTTCATATCCGTCAAAGAAAAATACTAAACTGATAGATCCAAGCTATTGGATCTATCAGTTTAGTATGTATTGTCCTTTAAAACAGAATAAAGAAGATAAAAAAATGGTTAGCAGTCCAGGCCACTGGGTGTTGCTTAATGGTTAGAGCATCGGCCCCTAGACGAAAGGGCTGTGGGTTCGATTCCCAGTCATAGCACAAACCTGGGTTGCAGTTTCAATCCCCAGCCCCAGTTGGGGTGCAACCAGTCGATGTATCTCTCTCACATAGATCTTTCTCTTTCTCTCTCCCATTTCTTCCCTCCATTCCACTCTCTAAAAATCAATGGAAAAAATATCCCCGGGTGAGAATTAACAACAACAACAAAATGGTTAACAGATCCATAGGCCTCTTTTTTTTTTTTTTTTTTTTTTTTTTTTTTTTTTTTTTTTTAATAAGTTTTTATTGTTCATATTATTACAAATGTTCCTTTCCCCCCACCCACCATTGCTCTCCTCCACCAGGTTCCCATCCCACCCTCTGCCCTTTCCCCTCTCCCCATTGTCCTCATCCATAGGTGCACAGTTTATGTTCAGTCTCTTCCCACGCCCCCCTCTCCCCTTTACCCCAAGAATCGTCAGTTCACTCCCCTTCCATACCTCTGATTCTATTATATTCAACAGTTAATATTGTTCATCAGATTTTTTTAATTTCCTTGGTTTTAGATTCACTTGTTGATAGTTATGTATTTGTTGTTCATAATTTTTATCTTTGTTTACTTTCTCTTCTGAAAGAACCCCCTTCAGCAATTCATATAATTCTGGTTTGGTGGTGATGAACTCCTTTAGCTTTTTTTTATTAGTGAAGCTCTTTATCTGGCCTTCGATTCTGAGTGATAGCTTTGCTGGGTAGATTATTTTTGGCTGTAGGTTCTTGCTATTCATCACCTTGAATATTTCTTGCCATTCCCTTCTGGCCTGCATGGTTTCTGTTGAGAAGTCAGCTGACAATCGTATAGGTGCTCCTTTGTAGGTTACTACCTTCTTTGCTCTTGCTTCTTTTAATATTCTCTCTTTGTCTTTTGCTCTTGGAATTTTAATAATGATGTGTCTCGGTGTGGTCCTCTTTGGATTCCTTTTGTTTGGAGTTCTGTGCGCTTCCTGGACTTGTAAGTCTAATTCTTTCACCAGGTAGGGGAAGTTTTCTGTCACTATTTCTTTCAGTATGTTTTCCATATCTTGCTCTCTCTCATCTTCTGGGACCCCCATAATTCTGATGTTGGTTCGCTTGAAGTTGTCCCAGAGGTTTCTTACATTATCTTCAATTTTCTGGATTCTCTTGCCTTCTAGCTTCTGTGGAGGAGTGTCTTCTGGCTCTTTATGTTCCAAATCTTTGACTTGATTCTTGCGATCTTCCCTTCTGTTTTTAGGACTCAGTAAAATATTTTTTATTTCAGACAATGTATTCTTTATTTCTTGTTGATCCCTTATCATTTCTTGTTGACTCCTTATTAATTCTAGTTGATCTCTTTTCATATCCTCGTAGCCCTTATCCATCTTTTCTAAGAAATTCTTGAAAAAACTTATAAGCGTAGATTTGAACTCTATATCCAGACGCTTTTTGTCCTCCATTTCTTTCGTTTGTGATCTATTTTGTTGTCGCATTTCGCAGTTACAGATGGGACGGGGTTTCAGGGTGGAGCCTGCAGCTTTGGCTTCTGTCAGCCCCGCCCTATGCGGGTCCTTCAGTGCTCGCTGCTGCCGGTGCCTCTGAGAGAAAGGTGCCCTCGATTTTCGCCTGCTGCCAAACAGTCTATGCTCTCCCACAATGAGCCCGGTATTGGGGTTCAGTTCAGTTGGAAATGGAGTTGGAGGTGGCGTTCAGAGCAGTCTGGAGCCCCAGTCTCCTTCCCGTCAGGGCAATCCCGCGGTACAGCCGACCGTCCCTTCTCTGCGCGCAATGTGCGTGCCTCCGGGACCTCCTTTCGCCTCTCCCCCGGGTTCCGCCTTACAGCCCGGCTCCCTATGGCTGAGCCTGAGTCCCGGGGGTCTGGCCCAGAACCGGGGTTCAGAGCAGTTGGGGGCCCAGAACAGTCGGAGCTTTTCTCTCCTTTCCGCTCAGGAACGCCCGCCAGGCACTCCGCCTCCCTCCTCTCCGGCTCCGTCCTCTCCGCGCGCCACGTCTCCGTACCTTGGGCTTTTCCAGCTCCTCCGCGCCTCCTTCTGGTTTTCTCCTTGCTTCTCGCTGTAGAGTTTCCAGTCAGTCAACCTTCCTGTAGTTCTGGGCAATGTCCGTTTTATATTTTAGTTGTATTTTATTGAAATTGTTGTGTGCGGCTGCGGCTAGGTGTTCACCTGGGCGCAGCCATCTTGGATCCTCCATAGGCCTCTTTTGATAAGCCCCAAATGATGTCTAGCTCTTACACCAAATGAGAATCAAGACCACAGTTGCTGATATTTATTAGAACTACTTATATTGAGTTATTAAGAGTTACTGACACTTTGTTATCATAGACTAGCATGAGCACATTTCCAGTTTACTAAGGACTTTTATTTATCTATTTAATTATTCTATTAAAAAGTCTGCATGAAATTGCTAGGTTCCCACTAAACATATGTATGTGTTTACACTAACAGTTAGAATTCCCATAATTTTCAGATTTCCCAAATGCTTTATCAGATTTGTTTTAACTATGCTTTTCATTTATTGCTTTTTTAATTTTTTAACAAACTTACTGAATTTCCTTTTTATTAGACATTTTGTTCATGCATGACTTTTGTATTCTTTCAAACTTTACTGTCATTTTTGTCTCTCTCTTGTAATCATTTCCCCCAAGAGGAAACACACACAAAAATGTCTGAGCCCTAGCTTGTTTGGTTCAATGGATGGAGTATTAGCCTGCAGACTGATGGGTCCCGGGTTTGATTCCAGTCAAAGGCGCATGCCCAGATTGCAGGCTCAATCCCTAGTGTGGGGTATGCTGGAAACAGCCGATCAATTATTCTCTTCATCATTGATGTTCTTTCTCTCTCTCCCCCTAACTCTCTGAGAAAACAAAACAAACAAAAAACAAAAAGAAACAAACAAACTTGTCTAAGAACCAGAGCCCTAGGGGAAAAAAAGCTCTAGACTTCTCTGCTTTTCTCATCCCATATCCCTAAGGAAAAGTCTTAAAAGTGGACTGAACATATCAAGGATAGTCATTATGAATAGTAGAAACATGGTTTCTCTTGAGATTACTTCTCTTGGAGTTTCTTTCTCTGTGAAACTAAGATCTCTCCCATTGGAAAACAAACAAAAACAATGGTGAGACTGCCCTGGCCAGTGTGGCTCAGTTGGTTGGAACACTTTCCTGTATACCAAAAGGTGGTAGGTTCAATTCCCAGTTAGGGCACATACCCATTTCGATCCCTACTCAGAGCCCTATAGTGGGTAACTGATTGATGTTTCTCACTCACACTGATGTTTCTCTTTCTTTATTTTTCTCCTTCCCACAGGCCCCCTTCCCTTCCTCTTTTTAAAATAAATTTTTAAAAAATGAATTGGAAGTACTCTGATCTCTCTTAAAAAAAAAAAAAAAAGCCAGAGTGAGCTCAAAAAGAATGGCGGACACTATGCTACCCAGTACAGGCAAAAGAAACCTCTTAGCCCATCTATCTAATTCAGCGTACTAATGCTGCATCCAAATTAGAGGTGCCTCAGCAGATAAAGTGTTTCTTGGTTTGTCATCTCTGTTCATATTTTCATAAATATTTCAAGAGATAGATGAGGTACAGTGAGCAGCACCTCAAATTCAAAATTTAAGGATTCTGAGTCTTGACTCTCCTCCCTAATCATTCAACAAATGCTTATTTGATACATGTTTTTTGTTAGACACTATGATAGGCATTGGAGATATGATGGTAGAGAGCTTTTTTTATGGATATGGACTGTCCTCATGGAAATATAATCTAGTGGGGAAGATACAATTTAACAAACAAACAAATAGATAAACAAAATTTAGCAAATGGATATCTCATATGGACTATGATAAATGCAATTGTCTCTGTCCCTATTTCTAACATCAACTTAGAAATAAGAGTACCGTATTTTTCGGACCATAAGACGCTCCGGACCATAAGATGCACCAGTTTTTAGAGAAGGGAAATGAAGAAAAAAAGATTCTGAAACAAATAGTGTCCTAAAATATTTTATGTGCATTAAAACCCAACATCACAGTCATAAACACATGTAATCAACCCTGTAAAGTAAACAGCAGCATTTAGAACCATTTTAGAGCCGGGCAAGCACACAGAGACCACACAGAGCCGGGCAAGTAAAAAAACTTTTTTTTTAAAGTATATGTGTAGGCTATATTTGGACCATAAGACGCAGGGACTTCCCCCCCCACACTTCTGGGAGGAAAAAAGTGCGTCTTATGGTCCGAAAAATACGGTAGGTTCTTGTAATGTAAAAAAACTTATATAAGAAAATAGAAAAGACTCATAATTCAAATTATGTAAACTTACAGCTTCTCTGCCAATGAGTGGATAAAAGGGAGTACCGAAAAGTTTCCTTCCATTGATAAATGCCTTCATGATGAAATTGGTCACTATTAAAGAAAGAAACAACAATAAAGACACATCTTAATGTGTAAGAGTTTTAAGAAGAGAAAATTTCTATATTTAAAACTTACTTTTTCTAGAAACTCCAGCACCAAGATTATGATTCAAGTCAAAAGGATCTAGAAAAGAAAAAAATTTATTTTTTAATTACGAATGTTATTATAACATTATATATACTTAGTAGTCATGAGTCAACTTAATACTATGTAAATCAAGACCACCCAAGCAGCAAGTTATTTTTTAAATTATAAATTAAAGGATGGAAACTGATAAAAATTTTAAAATCTTCCAAAATGTAATGTGTTTCAGTTTTCCCCTCAATTCCCTTGGCCACATGAAACTGGCTTTTCATTTTATTTTATTTCTTAATGAATATCAGTTAAATGATCACCTTCTATTGCAATGCATTTGGATGTCCACTGCTTCTCAAAAGTTGTTAACAGCTTTTTCTGCCGAATGCTAATTACATATTCCTTGAAATCAAACTCTTCAGTATAGAAACGAAGCAGTCCCAACCAAAGCTCTCCTAATGTTTCTGTATTCTTTCCAAGTGAAGGTAAACGTTTTTTCTACAGGTGAGATAAAGAGAGAGAAATTTCTCAACTATCCAAAATATAGACTCTAGATCCAAGTAAAATTATTAAATTAAATTATGCCAACCCTAACATTTATCAGTAAGCATTCCATAACATAAAGATTTATTTAAAAATTACCAGTTCTTCTGTTTTATCAAAGAAAAAAGCATTCCATCCATCAACCATTCTCTGTGGAATCTGTTTTCCATCAAAGATCTGCATAAAAAATTAATTTTATTATTAGATTTTAAGTCATCTAACCAAACACCCTAAATACCCTCACCTCGTTTTAAAATTTAGCTATAATAGACATACTGAAATATTTCTTCCAAAATAAGTATGTTAGGATGGTACAATCTGATGTCAAGTTATTAATGAATAAAATGTATCTGAAAGACCAAAACTGGGAAACAATATCTTAAGCACATCAGACCCTCCAAATGACACATTTGATATTATTTGATGTTACCTATTTGACCTGTCAAAACACATCCAGTACAAGATTAATAAAATAAAACTAAAGTAAATCAAATGAAAATAGCATTTTCATCCAAGAATCATGGATGAAGAAATACATAATATCTATTGATTGTGCTCCCAAAGGAAATCAATGGAATTACTTATTTTGGAGAAGGGTAAAGTACCTTTCAATTTTTCCACATGAGGCTGAAAAGCCCCCTGGACATTGATTTTAAAAAACACACACCAAAAACACGAAAATTAGGAAGCTATCAACATATCTGACATGTTGATAAAGATTATAAAATCTTCATAATTAATTATAATAATTACTCACTGTCCTAAAGAGGGAGGAGGGGTAATTCTACTTCACTAGAAGAAAACTACCCCAGGCGATGATTGTATAGGCACAACTAACACAACCTCTACAAGCGGTTTTGAGACTCATTCTCTAAAGGCATTTTAACAGATACAATCAATTAGAAAGTTACAATGAGTTCAGAGTCAGCAGACCTTATTTCTAGTCTTACTCTTGCCAAGTAGTGATTCTGAGCAATATAATTATGTACCTAAATCCTCAGTTTTAACCAGTGAAAAAATAGAGATGAGATTAATTAGGTTAGTTGTTTTCAAATTTTATCTTTCTGTTAAGCTGTAAAACTCTCCTAAAATGCAACCTTCCTTGAAGTGTAAAACAGATAAAAGCAAAGGTACTCTGATAGAAGCCAGAATGAAAAAAAAATACCCCGTTTTTCTTTACCACACTCTTCATACATACACTAATGAGCTCCCAAGAGTTTACTAGAACGCATACTTTAAAACCACTAGATAAGGTGGTCCCCAAGGCTCCTTTCATCTCACATGAGACAATGAGTTATAAAATTAACTACATGCCTGGTACCTCTAATTCACTCTCAGGTTTAAGTTCTTTCTGGGTATAATTATCTCTGGATAAATAAAATTCCTACTATTACATCAAAGCCTGCCATATAGAAAATACTTAACATATGTTTACTGAATGAATATTTCTACTTTGTAAGCACATTTACATAAAGATAATTTCAAGGGACTTAAGCTAATAAATTGTTTTTTATATTTACATATAACATAAACAAATATAGTTACCAAGAATCATCATCATTCAGACATTTTATAGGAAAAAGGTAGAAATTATAGCTATTAATATCTAAAACAAAATATATGGGATCCTTCCCTCAAAAAAGAAATGCAGGTTTTAAAGAGGCCAAAATATCTGATGCTTTTATATTATAGGGGAATACACAAGACACCTCTTTAGACTTTGACTCTTTTTAAGAAAATTCTTATTTTTTGAGTAACAACTATGATCTAAACCCAACTATGTTGGCTGATAACACAGTAAAGTGGACCTGTAGGCCTTAAAGGGTACTTAATGACTGACTTGTCTGTTTTTATAAACTATCTTATTTCACAATGCCTAACTTTCCACTCTGACTCAGCCCTTAGAAGCACTAATGGAATCTTCTCACTCTTCACACACACACACTCTTTCTCTCTTATCTTTTAACACCAATTATTCTCCATTCAAGTACTCAAACTTCCCTCTGAAACCTTACCAAACAATTCAATCATATTTGTGTAAAGAGTAACCCTGTACATTTCCATATTTATTTTCTTGTTATAATAATTTAGTATTTACTGCTATTTTTAAATTACAATTTCTTAGTTGTGGTAAAATACACATAAAATAAAATTAACCATCTTAAACATTTTAAATGTACAGTTCAGTGGCGTTAAATGCATTCCCATTGTTGTGCTCACCTATCCACAGAATTATTTTCATCTTGCAAAAATAAAACTCTGAACCTATTAAACAATAATTACCCATTCCTGTCTCCCCACAGCCTCTGGCAACCAGCATTCTATTTTCTGTCTATGAAGATGACTACCCTAAGTACTTCCTATAAGTGAAATGATATGGTATTTGTCCTTTTGTGACTGGTTTGTTTCATTTAGCACAAGCTCAACCATTCAACAGCAATTTTTAAGCTGATATAAACTATGAAAACATAGCATTCATAATATCATGTTTGAACAACACTCCTCCTGTTTTTAAGTGAAAATTTACTTTTACTTAAGATGATCTGCTAAAATACAGCAAAATCATTCTACTTAGAAAAGCTCCTTTTGACCTAAAGAATTTTGTATTGACCAGTAAAAACAGTCTTTGCAGGGCCATATTTATATCCAGTCACTTAAAAGTCTAGGTTCAATCACAAATGGAGTCAAAGATCATCAGCTTCATTAAACATATCCTTACCCTTAAAAGTTGATCGATGCCAATGACCAATACTTAAATGATGCCAGAGCAATGGACAATGGGGTCCCATATGACAAGCAAAAAAGGCCAGAAGCAAAAATCCATATATCATCAGTTCATATGTATCACAAAGCCCCCCACAATCACAGCTCATTATGATGGAAAACATTCCATGGACTGTCTCATTTCATCAATCATTGTCTGTTAAGCAGATAATGGGAGAGTTCTTGAAGTTGGCTATGGCAATCCTACCTACATTTTCCCAATAATAATATTAGTAAAGCTGCTAATGATAACAGTTAATAATAATAAAAACAACCACCACTTATGAAGACCTATTTTATTAGCACCTACAACATTCAAAAGAATTCATTGTCTCTGTTCCCTATATTAACATCAAAATATCATTATTACATTTTCACTCAAGACTAGTGGTGCTCAGACACCTTTTTGAAGGCCACAATGTCAGAATTAGGAGTCAAACCAGTTATTTCTGGCTCTAAAATCATGCCCTGCTCTTTTCATTGTATCATGCTACCTCAGTGGCTCCTCAACCATGGGTATTGTAATGAGAACACAGATAGACCACCATAATTTGTATTCCACTTTAGTTTAGTATTCTGTCATGGTCACAGCAAATCATAGCAAATAGCTGCACTGGGCAATTATGCAAAATATCCCCAAATATAAGGCTTTAATAACAATTATACTAATACAGAAAATGATCTTGACCCTGGCAGGCCTAATAAATTCATGATAAATTTTAAATATCCTTCAGAGAACAATCTTGTTTAAAATAAACACTCATTACTCAACATAGATTTAGCAACTTAAAATTTTCTGCTAGAAAATGACATTTAAAAATCTTTATTTCTCTCCCACTATTTGTTTAAGAGGGAAGGAAATGCTTCTAAAACCGGGACGTTCATTAGAACTTTTAAAAGCTTACTAAGACCATCTGACACCCACCATATGGCATGCTAATTTGTGATTTTCTTCTTTGACATGACTATCAAAGTTCATGTGAAATTAGAATATGTGATTTGCCAGGCAATTCTGAAGCTTCTCTCTTCCCTCAAAATAATGACCTTTCTAAGAAATGTTTGCAAATCTACTTTGTGCCCAAAAGGAGGAGGAACAGATGGGTGATTAAGAACTCTCAGTCAGTGTGGCTCAGTTGAGCATTGTCCCATGCACTGAGAAGATGCCACTAAATTCCCAATCAGGACACATGCCCAGGGTTGTGGGCTCAATCCCTAGTAGGGAGTGTGCAGGAGGCAGCTGATCATTGTTTCTCTCTTTCTCCCTTTCCCTTCCTCTATCTCTAAAATTAATAAAAACATTTCTTTTTAAAAAGAACTCCTTTGTACCTATTTCAGAGAATATAAATTGGCTACAAAAAGGGACTCTGAGTCACCAAGTCTGAGTGAATATGAGTAAAATCTGTTGCTTCTGATGCATATTCTTATGTTTAATACGATTAACATGACCCTAAAGAGATGAGGAAGAATTTCCTTGGGTTTTCTCTCAAACAAAATTCACAAAGTTGACCAAAACATAAAAAGGAATAAATTAAGCTTCCTTGCCAAGCAAAAGGAGAGAGACTACTCTGAACAGAAAAAACTTATGTATTTGCATCCGAGAGACTAATTTATGAGTTCATAGATGGCTATATAAATTTCATAATGATCTGCAGCATTCTGACTGTAAAATACAAAGACTTTGCAAAAGATATTCAATAGTACTGTTCATCTATTATTCTTTTGGTACTCTATATTCTCCCATAAAAACTTTTTTAAAAGATTCATTGTTTGATTATACCATTAATAGAAGAAAACTTAGGATGTCATGATGAAAAAAATCCTTCATAATCTCATAAACTGAGCTTCTGTGTGTTTAGATAGTTTTCACAAGAAACCCCTTTACAATTTTCTTAAACACCTACCTCTTGTAGAACTGGGATAACAGGTGGTTTTCTTTGCTGCAGAAAGTACAGCACCATAAGGATATAAGCATATGAAGATAAACTTCCCCTGGAAGCATCTCCAATATCACATCGCTAAAGAAACAACAATGATTGAAAAAACTTCAGGATCTTATTCCATGCAAAATACTGACTAGTTTAAGACACAATTTTTTCTCAACTCATCAAACTGGCAAATATCCAAAAGTTCAATAACAAACTGTCATAAAGAGTGTGGGTAAACAGGTACTTATGTATAAGTTAGCATAAATCCTATGAAGAATAATTTGGCAATATCAAAATTATAAGAGCAATTTCGTTTAACTTAGTAGTTCCATTCTAATAATTTATCCAAATATGCGATAAAATCCCCATGTAAAATGACTAAATAAGAAGTGTTTTCATTGTGACACTGTTTTAATAGTAAAACATCAGAAACAGCTTAAGGTATCAGTACAGTACATATTTTAAAAATTAATGGGTATTCACACAATGGAATAATATATAGTCATTAAAAAAGAACAAAGAAACTATTTTATACTCATAAAAATAATCTCCAATACCTATTGCTCAGTAAAAAAAACCAATGTCTTTATACCTGTAATAAGAATGAGGTAGGAAATTTCAGTACTGGTATATTTCTGGAAGAACTTTTGATCATGGGTGCCTCCAGCAAGAGGTACTGATAGGCTAGGAGACAGCTGTGGAAGGTAGATTTTCCACCATAAACTCCTTTATTTACTTTTTAAAAATATATTTGTATTGATTTCAGAGAGGAAGGGAGAGGGAGAGATAGAAACAGCAATGATGAGAGAAAACCATTAATTGGCTGCCTCCTGCATGCCCCTTAATGGGGATCGAGCCCGAAACCCAGGCATGTGCCCTTGACTGGAATCGAACCTGGAACCCTTCAGTCCAGAGGTCAAAGCTCTATCCACTGAACCAAACTGGCTAGGGCTCCACCATAAACCCCTTTAGATGTTTTGAATTCTGCACCACATGGTTATTTTAAAAAATTAATAGAAACACACAAAATGAGCCCTAAGAGACTTCCCTTGAGTAAAGCTTTAGCTAATATTATTTTAAGGGAGAGGAATGATTTCCTTGACATGAATCACTTGGTTTCATTACTAAAACTGAACTGGGAGTACTGAACTGTCATGTTGGAGATAGTTTATGAGGTGAACCCAGAAAAGCCGCACTATCAAATACGATTTGTAGGCATGGGAGTTGGCTTGCCATCCTAGTTAGTTAAGAATCCTTGGGTTGCCAGGACCGGTTTGGCTCAATGGATAGAGCATCGGCTTGGGGGCTGAAAGGTCCCGGGTTCGATTCCGGTCAAGGGCATGTACCTTGGTTGCGGGCATATCCCCAGTAGGGGGTGTGCAAGAGGCAGCTGATTGATGACTCTCTCTCATCGATGTTTCTGACTATCTCTCTCCCTTCCTCTCTGTACAAAATCAATAAAATATATATTAAAAAAAAAAAAAAAAAAAAAAAGAATCCTTGGGTTAGGAAATCTGATGTTAGGGTTGAAAATCATTATCACATTGAGAAATTTTGCCAATGACAAATTTTCTAGTTACATATGGAACTGGAGCACACACAGGAAAAAAACAAAGAATCACCCTACTCAAATAAGTATAATTTAAAGCCCTCACCAGTTTAGCTCAGTGGCTAGAGTGTCGGCCTGCAGACTGAAGTATAATTTAAACCATTTAACATTGAGTGCTTCTTTTTAAAAGTTCAGGTAAACAATGGACACAAAACTTTGGGGAGCGAGGGCATGCATGGGGGAGGGGGGGAGGGAGCCCAATGGTAAGATATGTACACAGATAATAATTTAATAAATAAATAAAATAAATAAAAGTTCAGGTAAACAAAATTCAGAAATGATTTTTCACAAGTGTGACATCAGTACCTTTCACTTGAATTATCATGAGTCTTATAACAAAGAAGATCATTAATTTTTTAAATACATACCTTAGCAAACACTTTCATAGTATATCCCAAGTACTGCACTCTAGGATCAATAGCTGCATAAGTAGCTAGCATTCTTGTGTTATGTTGAGCCTGAAAAATAATTACGTATTTGAAATCATTTCGAATTTATTAAAAATTAGATAAAACAAGAGAATACACTCCAAATGGAACATATAAATGTAAACTTAAAATACCTATAAGTAAGTCTAAAACTAATTTTCAATCAGAAGAAAATATCAAGATGATTAATTTTTTCCCTTAAACCACTCACATTTGAAAGCTTTAAATATAAACATATAGTCAACAATTTATAAACTTTTTTATTGACAAGTGTAAACATACCTGGGTCTATAAAGAAAAACTTACCAATGTATTATACAAACTGATATCACCTTCTAAACCACTTCGTCTGTGTTCAAATTTTACTATAGGCACTTTGGCAGTAGTTATAGGCAAAATATTTCTTAAACCTGATTAAAAAATAAAACTTCACTAAGTTAAATAATTTTCACAAAGCTAAAAAATATTTTCTGTTGTTTTAAAGTTATAAGTTAAAATTCATACCTGGATGTTTCTTAAGAATTTTTGCCAAATTTTCTATTATTTCCTTACAATTTAATTTCTACAAAAAAAAAAAAGGAAGAAAATAAAATAAAATGTGTCTGACTCAATTAGGCGTTGTACAAATTCTACTTCAATCTAGGCATTTAATACTAGCATTTAAAATCTCTAATCATAAGCTCTATGTAACCTTCTACTTAAGTATATGGGTCTTTGGACCCACATACTTGAATTATCATGAGTCTTACAACAAAGAAGCTGATCCTGCATCATCTAGAAAGAAAAGAAATGCAGAATCTCAGGCCCACCTCAAGCTACTAAATATAATTCACATTTTATCAAGATCCCCAAGTAATTCACGTCCACATTAAAGTTTGAGAAGCACAAAGACAAGAGGATAATGTTTTCAAATATGTGAAGAAACAACTACAGGTAGGCTTGGTGAAGGCAAAACAATTTAGTGATTAAGAACATAGGCTCTGAACTTTAGACAAATTTGAATTCAAATCTTAAATTAAGTACTGACTAGCCATGTGATTTTGTCCAGATTCTTAACCCATCTGAGCTTCATGCTACTATTCTATAAAATTGAGATTATTATAATCTCTCATGTAATTAGAGAGATTATATGAGACATGTATGTAAAGCATTTAGCAGCATGCTTGGCACAAAATAAGCACTTTAAGTCTGTAAGCTTTTTATTAGTATGTTGATCAATAAAAGAAAAATAATCCTACTGTAACCAGCATCTACTTCTTCAAGGAAATTCTTATCTCTGCATATTTAAATGTTAACTTTTTAAAAACTAGACAGCAGCCGAGACCGGTTTGGCTCAGTGGATAGAGCGTCGGCCTGCGGACTGAAAGGTCCCAGGTTCGATTCCGGTCAAGGGCATGTACCTTGGTTGCGGGCACATCCCCAGTAGGGGGTGTGCAAGAGGCAGCTGATCAATGATTCTCTCACATCGATGTTTCTAACTCTCTCTCTCTCTTCCTCTCTGTAAAAAAGCAATAATATTTATATATATATATATATATATATATATATATATATACACACACATACATATATATATATATTTTTTTAAAAAAACTAGACAGCAGAGTTGATATGGTAATGCTATCCATGATATAAGAAACAGGGAAGATAATGGGATTACACATTAATTGCACTGAGTTAAAGGGTATTTACATCAATGCCCACACTTACTATTAAATTCACTTTTGCATAACCCCAACATGCTCTTTTTAGCTTCAGGAAAGCAGTAGCTTTTGCAGCTTAACTAGAGGATTTCAAGGGAAACTTTATTTACTAATTAACACACAAATAGAATAAGAGGTTATTTTCCTCGTTATGCAAGACTGTCAATGTATGATAAATTCTAAATTTTCAATTATGGCCCATCTGAAAAAAATTATTCTTTTCACTGTTTCAACCTTCCACAGATTACATGTAATACATAAACCCTTACTAATTAAAAGTCTAACTATTAAATTTCATAGAGGAGATACCTAAAACTCTAACCTCTTCCCTGGATAAAAAATTTTCTATTCCCTCAATTCTTGATCTTCAAAATAGAAAGGGGCATCTCTCCAGGTAGATGGCACATGAATAGTAGTTAGTTAAAAAGTACTAAAATACTTTACAACTTTTCAGTTTCTTTACAAAATAAGATATTAATAAACACCAGAAGCAATTTCTTAGAGCCAGAAATAAGAATATATCAGACATCCCTGCCATCTCTACTCTGGTTCTAATAATTCTAAAACCACTTTTTTGAAAAAACTATTTCAGAAACACATAGGTTTACTATTCTGCTGAGTTCTTTTATAAATACAACAGAGGCTATACTGACAACACTACAGATGGCCAGAAGCTTGGCCTCACCCCAATCTTGCAAGTAATAACTAAAAATAGCAATAACTGCCAAAACCGGTTTGGCTCAGTGGATAGAGCGTTGGGCTGCGGACTGGAAGGTCCCGAGTTCGATTCTAGTCAAGGGCATGTACCTTGGTTGCGGGCACATCCCCAGTAGGGGGTGTGCAAGAGGCAGCTGATGGATGATTGTGCAAGAGGCAGCTGATGGATGATTCTCTCTCATCAATGATTCTAACTCTCTATGCCTCTCTCTTCTCTCTATGAAAAATCAATATAATAAAAAAAAAACTAAAAATAGCAATAACTATGCTAATAAGGGAATGAGCAACTAGAGCACATGTGTCAACACAAGGCCCGAGGGCCAAATCCGTCCCACCAGGCCTTGCAATGTGGCCCGCACCGTGCTGTCATCACTGCACTCCGCTGCGTTTCCATCACAATGACAGTTTATGACTGTTCAGTAAACCATTCAGCCCGCGATTTAGGCTGGATTTTAGATTTTGGCCCCTTCTCTGATTGAGTTCGACACCCCTAAACTAGAGGAATCCCCTCCTTTTCTAGTTGCTGCTAGGAAGGCCTGAGATACTTTTCCTTGTTCAATCAGCCCTTTCTTTACTGGAACTTGGACAACCTTGTTCCCACTGTTGAGGCCGGTACACAAAGAAGAAAGGCCTAGCTACCCATTCCCACTGATGAAAGTGCTCTGGGGGAAGGTCTGCTCCTGGCATCTCATGGTGGAACTCAGAAAACTTTCAATTTCAGAAAGTAGTGGTTAAGGTCTACTGGACCATTAGTACTATATTTCAGCTACATTTTGGGTTAAATAAATGACAGAGAAGCTGTGAGATACAATGAAAAGAACATGAACTCTGGAGTCAGACAGACCTGGGTATGAATCCCGGCTCCATCATTTACTAGCTGTGAACATGGGCAAGTTAATTTATCTTTCAAAGCCCCGGTTTCCTCATCTGTAAAATGGGGGAAATTTCCTACCTCAGATGTGGTTGTAAGAGTGAAATGAGATAATGTATGTAAAAGTATATACAAGGGCCTCAACAAATTCCAATTTCCCTCCTCACTCAAATGAGTTTCTAAAAGCTATCCTACAAATTACATGCTATTAAATTGGCTCCAAATCCTGGAGACCCTATGAATGTCCACAATGTTCTGACCTCAATAGCCCTTCTCAGCTCCTGTAGGCTCATGCCTGTGAGTTTCTTCTATAAAGTCAATCCTTCCTCTTCTCCTGCTGACTTTTTTTTTTTGGCTATATTTTTATTATTATTTTTAAATTTCTTTATTGATTAAGGTATCATACATTTGTCTTCAACCCCCCATTCCAATCCCCACCCCTCCCCACTCATGCCCTCACCCCCCTATTGTCCTTGACCACTGGTTAGGCTCATACGTATGCACACAGGTCCTTTGGTTGATCTCTCCCTTTTATCCCCACCCTCCCTCTGAGGTCCAACAGTCTGACCCATGGCTCCTTATCTCTGGGTCTGTTCCTGTTCACCAGTCTATGTTGTTCACCATTTCCCCTAGATGAGTAAGATCATGTCCTAGTGGAAATATACTTATAAGAACCAAAAATGAGACAAGCAATAATGGTTACACTGAAAGGCATATGAATCAGTCTGTAGTGAGTTTCTTTCTGGGCCAACAGTTCTTTTGAGACCAAATTTCAATGTCAGTTTCTTATGTGTATATGTCAGCAATGATATTTCTGTTCTCGTGCTGACTTTTATTTCTCACAGCATTTTTGACATTTCTTTTTTTTTTTTTAATATGTTTTTATTGATTTTTTACAGAGAGAGGAAGAGAGAGGGATAGAGAGTTAGAAACATCGATGAGAGAGAATCATCGATCAGCTGCCTCTTGTGCACCTCCTACTGGGGATATGCCCGCAACCAAGGTACATGCCCTTGACCAGAATCGAACCTGGGCCCCTTCAGTCCGCAGGCTGACGCTTTATCCACTGAGTCAAACTGGTTTCGGCCATTTTTGACATTTCTAAAGAACCCTGACTTTCTCATGATATGTCAAAATAGGAAAACTTCAGTTTTATCATTTTTGCCTCCAGCAATGTTTTAGGTTTTATTTGTTCTAGGACTCCCTTTTGTCTTTCTGGTGGTCCAAAGATATTCATAGAGCTATTTAACACCACATTTCGAATCCATTTTTTTCCTATCAGCCTTTTTCACTGTAAAGCTGTATTAGTACAAATAACTTATAACATTGCTTCTGTAGGAAAAAAATGTGTTCCAACTACCCAAAAATTGCAATGAACTTGTAGAATACAAGCAATTTATAAATTATACGAGAGGCCCATTGTAGGAAGATTCCTGCAAGAATAGGGCTTCCGGCGGGCTTCCCTCCCGCCACCACAACCTTTCCCGCCCCTCACCTTCCCTGCAGCCTCTGCCCCCCAAGCCCCACTCCACACTTTTCCGCGCCCACCAAAGCTGCCCACACTTTCCCTCCTGCAGCTGCCTTGCTTTCTGCTTTCCCTCTCTCTTCCTTCTATGCCACATGTGTCAAACACAAGGCCCGCGGGCCAAATCCATCCTGCCAGGCCTTGCAATGTGGCCCGCACCGCGCTGTCATCACTGCACTCCGCTGCGTTTCCATCACAATGACAGTTTATGTCTGTTCAGTAAACCATTCGGCCCGTGATTTAGGCTGGATTTTAGATTTTGGCCCCTTCTCTGATTGAGTTCGACACCCCTATTCTATGCTGTCTTCAGTCTTCACTCCTCCCTCCCTCAGCATATGCAAATTAACTGACATCTTTGTTGGGTTAATTTGCATACTCGGTCTGATTGGCTGTGGGCATAGCAAAGGTAGGGTCAATTAGCATTTTTCTCTTTTATTAGTGTAGATGTCTCCCTTCCTTTTCTATGTCTAGTAATACAAAAACATGACCTAATGGAAGAGATATGAAAAGATAGTGAGATCAATGTTCACTATCAAACTGAAGCACCAACTTCTCATTGGTTCTAAAGAAAAAAATTCCAAATCTATGGTACATTAACTTTTTCCAACAATTTATTACAAACACCTGTAACTCAGTGACATGCTTTTTACATTATAAAATTACTCAAACAGTAAATTTACTTATTTAAATGTTTTAATGTCTCTTAAAATGATAATATGACCTTACATTTCAAAGACTGCTATTGCTAATATATTTACACAAAGAATGACACAATATATTTTTATCAATACTACAGACAAAATTAAAATTAATCACTAGAAGAAAATAAACTTCCACATCTCTTTCCAAACACTAACTCTTACCTCTGCATTTTCGTGGCCTTCCAGGGTCATACAAATATCCAGATCACTATCACGAAATCCAAATCCATTCTTAGAAGAGCCAAATAAGCACAATCTTGCCTTTTCTAAGGGGGAAAAAAAAGTCAAAAGTTATATAATTAGCAAGAAAGAGGAGTCTTCTATTACCTACCTATAGCCTAATACAAATGATCTTGTCCATATTTTATGCCCTAAATTACCTACCATTGACAGATATACTGATAATTTCCAAAACCACTCTCATCTAAAGTGCAGATCTTTTGCTCAAGTTCCCACACCCATGTATCTAACTGCTTCTTTCATTTTTTCTGACATCATAAATTCAACAAGTCAAAACTAAACTATCACTTCATCTCAAATCTACTATTAATTCTATAATCCTTCTCAGAAAATAGTATCATCGTACACTCAGTTGCTCAAGTTAGAAATATACGATTCTTAACTCCTCCACATCCAAAAAAGCCAAGTCGTTTAGCTTCTTCCAACTTAACTATCTCATAAATTCATCCACTTTTATTGATTATCAGCATCACTACCAATAGTTAAGACAATACTTAAAGATTTATGTCTTGGAAATAAACTAGTTTTTTGTTTTTTTTTAAGGCACAATTCAAGTAGTCCTATAAATATCACCTTAGTAAATAAAATTAATTCTCCTCCAAAAGTGAGACATTAATCCAATAGATATAAATTTTGATAGGACTATCTTCTTATTCTTAGTATCATTCATTATAGATGCGACTTCAAAAAAGTTGTGACTTAACTGGATCAGGTTTTCCTCCCTAGTAATTCTTACAGACTATACATTTAGATAACAAACTCTATTATTTTCAAAACTTAATCCCCCCTTTCAGTTCTGATACTCTAACTTTAAATTTCAGCGATAACTGAGATATAAAAGAAGTTATGTTCATGAGCAAATAAAAATGTGCATCAGTTTAATATAACAGGGATTTTAGAATGAGTCAATATTTTACATAATAGCAAATGTAATTCAAATATGGAATTTTATAGCACATAACAGATCTTTTAAAAATACTTCATTCTGATTATAAATCAACTCATTCTTTTCTAAAATACTTGGCTACAGAACTTTTGATTCTTCACCCCTATACTCAAAACCTTCTCCTTCTGCTATTTTTATCATCTCAGTTAAATAGCACCACCCAACTATTGAGGTAAACACCTTGAAACCATCCTTGACTCTTTTTCCTTACATCTAACATGCAATGCATCAGCAAATCCTGTTGATTCTACAGAATTCAAGATATATCTTAAATCTGATCACTTCTCATCTACTCTTTCAAATCACTGTTATATCTCATCTGAATCTATGCAGCAGCCTCTTAAATATTCTGTTTCCGTTCTTATGAATCTGTACTCTGTTCTCTCAGATTATGTCACTTCAGTGTTAAAATCCTCCAGAAGCTTCTCACTAATCAAAATAAAATTCAGTCTTTCTATCAACATCTCTAAGGCCCTAATGAACCAGTCTCTAGGCTGCCTTTCTAACCTCATCTTTCTAGTACAGTCACTTCATTCACTCCACTCCAGCCACACTGACTTCCTGCTGACCTTCAAACATAACACACATAATCCAATCTTGAGGTATTTCTATTTGTTACTCTTTCTTTCTAGAATGTTATCTCCTTAGAGTAGGGGTGTCGAACTCAATCAGAGAAGGGGCCAAAATCTAAAATCCAGCCTAAATCGAGGGCCGAATGGTTTACTGAACAGTCATAAACTGTCATTGTGATGGAAACGCAGCGGAGTGCAGTGATGACAGCGCGGTGCCGGCCACATTGCAAGGCCTGGCAGGACGGATTTGGCCCGCGGGCCTTGTGTTTGACACATGTGCCTTAGAGAATCATATTACTTGCTTTTTCATATTATTTATGGCTCTGCTCAAATGTCACTTTATCAGGAAAGAACTACCATAACACCCCATTACTATCCTTTTGACTCCTGAACTTTAATAGCATTTATTTCCTGGTCTTATATTATTGATACATACATATTTTTTCACTTGACTATGTCTCCCCCTCTTAATATAAACTTCATGAGAGCAGGTTTCACCTCTTTATTAGCACTGAATCCCCAGCACCTAGAATAGTATCTAACACATAACATTCAATAAACAATTTAAAAAAAATGAAACTCAGATCAAGTGACTATAGTAACAAAAGCATCAATTTTTAACATATGACATACCATCATATTCTTTTTGAATAAATTTTTCCAAGCCCATTAAAATTTGTTCCCTATTGTGTTGTTCAGAGAAAGGTGGTGACAACTCATCTAAATTGAAAAAAGAAAAAGGAAAAGTAAGAAAAATAAAATCTGAAAATAGCTTCTATTTTTTTACCCTAAAAACTTTACTTAAAATTTCTTTATTACTTGTTAACTTCTATGAATATAAAGTTATAAATGTTACTAGGGAAGGAAGGGGCAGAAAACAGCAAAAAGATAATATTTATAGATCTATGTTCATTTCACGTGATCATTTTCCTTATGAAATATCTGTAAAATATATTTACTCATACAAATTATTTAAAATCATTTTCTTCCCATACACATCCTTGTTCTTCCCTCATGGTAAGACTACATTCCTGCTGTTACACTAGGTACCTGACCTTCAAATCTTATAGTTGCCACTAATGCCTGGTTCAAGATTCACATCTTCCCTATAAGTTGCTTTACTCAATGAGTCTTCAAAGACATTCCCTTAACTAAATTTCCTTAGTTCTCCAAACTACTTATCAGTTTAATTTACAACTGTTTTCTAGTTGTTTCATTTATATTCACCTTATTTTTTAAAATAAGACCATATATAGGATGGGGCAAAAGTAGGTTTATAGTTGTTCGTATGGAAAATAATAATAAAGAATGATATAAGTATAAACTCTGTGTTTCGAGAATTCTCAATTGTAAGCCTACTTTTGCCCCACCTTGAATTCCTTAAGGATAGTTTTTTCTCCTATCTCCTCCTCCAGATGTATCCCCAGGAGTTAATGGCTAATGGGAACAAACAGTAATTAACAATAATGAATTAAACTAATATTCAGTGTTTGTAAAACAAACGTATCAGCACTTGCAACTTGATTAACTGAAATACATGTGATTATTCTTTTCTTAGAGTAGTGAACTATTTTGTAGGATATTCTAATGGTAACACACAATATGATACACTTGTCAAGACCCATAAAACTCTGTAGCACAAAAAGTGAACTTTATAATATGCAAATTTTAAAAACTTATCTGGGAGGTCAGGCAATCTCAGGATGGAATGCAGGCTATAACTAAAAAATCTAATGGTATTATAAATGTACTAGAGGCCCGGTGCATGAATTCATGCACTAGTAGGGGGCTTGACGTGTAGGGATCAGCCTGCTGTGGGAGTGCCATTCATCCTGGTCAGCCAAGCGGTGCTCCTGCTGTGGGAGTACACTGACCACCAGGGGGCAGCTCAAGGTGGTCGTTTTGGTCGTTCTGCCATTCGGTCACTGGGCTTTTTTATATACTGAGTGGCCAGATTATTATGATCTCTGAATGCTTAGTAATCTGGCCACTCAGTGTATATCCTATATAATAAAAGGCTAATATGCAAACTGTCCCCTAAACCAGGAGTTTGACCAGCAGGCAGGCCGGCCAACCACCCATGTCCCCTCCCCCTGACCAGGCTGGCTGGGCCCACCCACGCACGAATTCATGCACTGGACCTGTTTTATATATACATACACACATACTGAGTGGCCAGATTATTATGCGTTCGGAGATCATAATAATCTGGCCATTCAGTGTAGATAGATAGGACAACTTCACTCAAGGGAGTGGAGGAAAAGGTGCTAACCTAAGTAACTTAAAAATTAGTGGAACCGAAACCAGTTTGGCTCAGTGGTAGAGCGTCGGTCTGCGGACTGAAAGGTCCCAGGTTTGATTCCGGTCAAGGGCATGTACATTAGTTGCGGGCACATCCCTGCTAGGGGGTATGCAAGAGGCAGCTGGTGGATGTTTCTCTCTCATCGACGTTTCTAGTTCTCTAGCTCTCTCCCTTCCTCTCTGTAAAAAATCAACAAAATATATATTTTTTAAAAATTAGTGGAGTCTATAAGACTAAAAGCAAAAGCAACTGCATATAAGAACAGTACTCTAATTGATAAAGTTGTTTTCCACAGGGGTACAGGATAACAGTTCCAATAATGCGATAGATATGTACTTAAATGGAAAAACTAAATAAATATGTGGCAGATGGTGGGAGCCAGATTTCTCACTATTAGAGTGGAAATTTACAGATAAGAGTCCATATTGAGATAAGCAACTAAATAAATACAAACAAATGTAATATATTTTGTTACATTATAAAAAATGTGCAATGATTGAACCATTCAACTCTTAGGTATTTACCAAGAGAAAGTAAGGCATATGTATATACCTAGACTTATACATGAAAGTATATTGCAGATTTTTTTGTAGTAAATTGTGGTACATCCATATAATGGAACATAACTCATCAATAAAAAGGAATAAATCATCATTGATATACACAATATGGATGAATCTCAAAATAATTATGCTAAGTTAAAGAAGTCAGACCTTTTCCCCTCCCCTCACACACACCAAAAAAGAGAGTACATTTTTTGTGATTCTATTTATATAGAACTCTAGAAAATGCAAACTGCTCTGCCACAGTGGCTCAGTGGTTGAGAGTCAACCTACGAACCAGGAAGTCACACTTTCATTCCCAGTCAGGGCACATGCTCTGGTGGCGGACTACATCCCCAACTATGCAGGAGGCAGCCAGTCAATCATTCTCTCTCATTATTGATATTTCTATCTCTCTCTATCCCTCTCCCTCTCTACAATTAGTAAAAATAAATTTAAAAAATCATATAAAACAGAATATACAAACTAATATATAGTAACAAAAAGCAGGTAAGTAGTTGTCTGGTAGGAAATGAAGATAGATATGGAAGGATAAAATGTTACATCAGAAATTTATCTTACCTGGACACAGCAAATAATTTAGAAATATTTGCTATGTATCCCAATAACTTTAATTAAAAAAAATTAATTTCTAAAAAATTTTCACTCAGTAAACATTTACTATATATGTGTGTTAAATAAGGTATAGGGGTAGGCAAAAGGTGTACAGTTGTGAGCATGCAAAACGGCATTATTTTTCTTTTATTACATATTTTTCCACACAAAAAACTGTAAACCTTCTTTTGTCCACCCCTATATGTAAGGATTTCCTCAAAACATCTTTATCCTTATCTCCCTCTATTTATCACAGGACACTGTGATAAATGCCAAGGGAAATACAGAGACCCTATGTGTTGCTTTTAAGAAGACCCTATGTGTTGCCTTTCTTATATTTTACCAAACCTAAGGTAATTATTCTCTGAGACAAATTAAACACCCTTTGGTTTTATGCATAATCTCCTATATCTCAAGTTCCAACTCAAATGTCACATTATTAATTCCAATTCCTCTGATCCATCCCAGTTAAAATTATGTTTGCATTGCAGTTTCAAACTCATAGCAAGTAATGCATTATGCTTCCAGAGTGCACTTGCATAAACCTAGATGCTATACCCATTACACATGAAGGCTATATGGCATAGCCCAGTAGTTGGCAAACTACTATAGCAAATAATGCATTATGCTTCCAGCTATGGCAATGTTCATGCGTGTCTGATATATTCATCTAGAGCAGCTCTGTGCAAGAACATTGCAATGATAAAAATGTTCTCTATCTAGCCGTGGCCAGTGTTTCTCAGTGGTTTTAGTGTCAGCCTGCACACCAAAGAGCCTCAGATTTGATCTCAGTCAAGGGCATGTACCTGGGTTGCAGATTTGAACCACAGCCCCAGTCGGGGCGCATGGGTGAAGCAACCAATTGATGTGCCCCTCTCACATTGATGTTTCTTTCTCCCGCACCCCTTGCTCCCTTGCACTCTCTCTAAAAATCAATGGGGGGGAAATCCTCAGGTGAGGATTAAAAAAGAAGTTCTCTATTTAGACTGTCCAATACAGTAGTTATTAGACACATGTAGCTATTCAGTACTTGAGATGTGGCTGGTATAACTGAGGAACTTAATTGTTCCTTTCAGTTCATTTTAATTAGTTTAAATTTAAATAGCCACATTTAGCCATATGAAATAGCACAGATCCAGAGTCTAAGCTTCTTAAAAGCAACACATAGGGTCTCTGTATTTCCCTTGGCATTTATCACAGTGTCCTGCACACAATAGACATTTAGTAAATATTTGTAGATGGGTCTCTAAACTATTCAAACCTTTACCAAAACAAATGTAAGCAAATGGTTTTTAAATAATAAAACAAATAAATATCAAAATCTGAGAAAGAAATTAGTCTCAGTTCTAATAATAAAAGACTTACCAAAACATCTTTTACACACTAGATCAAGTATTTCCCGAAATCGATTTGTCATTGGTGGCAGAGGTTTTAGGTCAATTTTCCTGAAATCCTCTGGGCAATCATTCTTTGAATGGCCATCCTTTTTGCAGATGCTGCATACTATCGTTGGTGGCTAAACAAAGGCAAAACAAACAAACAAACAAACAAACAAATATAATAATCTAATAAACTATTGAGGAGCTTCATCATTACTTAGAAAGCAGATCTAAACAGAATATTTTATGTAACTCAGTTCTGATAACCTGTGCTTTCAGAAGACTGGGGCTGAGGGAAAAGCATGTTAATGAAATGCATTGTTAAATGTAAAGAACATATTTTGAGCCAACCACTTTGACTTTCTTCCCCACTGAAATGGTATTATCAAGGTTTAGCTTTACCTGATGATGTAAAATAAAATACCAGGAGATGAAAAAAGACATAGGTTAATTCCAATAGTTTTATCAGTCCCCAAATGAAATACATGCATCACTGTTCAAACTACTAAGATCTTTAAGTAGATTACAGTTGTATATCACTTAACAGAAGGGGATATGTTCTGAAAAATGCATCATCAGGTGATTTTGCAGTTTTGCGAACATCACAGAGTGCACTTACATAAACCTAGATGGTACAGCCTACTACCGTGTTTCCCCGAAAATAAGACATCCTCCAAAAATAAGACCTAGCGCATGGAAAGATAAGACATCCCCTGAAAATAAGACCTAGCGCAACTTTGGGAGAAAAAAACTAATATAAGACACTGTCTTATTTTCGGGGAAACAGGGTATACATGTATGGTATAACCCAGTAGTTGGCAAACTCATTAGTCAACAGAGCCAAATATCAACAGTACAACAATTGAAATTTCTTTTGAGAGCCAAATTTATTAAACTTATACTTCTTCTAATGCCACTTCTTCAAAATAGACTGCCCCAAGCAGTGGTATTTTGTGGAAGGGCCACACTCAAGGGGCCAAAGAGCCGCATGTGGCTCACAAGCCGAGGTTTGCCGACCACTGGTATAGCCTCTTGTTTCTAGGCTACAAGCCTATACGATAGGTTACTATACTGAATACTGCAGGCAACTATAACATTTTGCTAAGTACTTGTATATATAATCAGAGAAAAAATACAGCAAAAATATGGTATAAAAGTGTGCGTGTACATTTGCAGGGCAAAGTAAGGGCTGTGGATGGGACAACATTGGAGGGCGAGTAGACATCAGGAGGAGGCAGGAAGGAAGGGATAGAGAGAAGGGGGAAAAAAGAGAGCAGAGATCAAAAGAGAACAACAGAGAACAACAGAGATAAAGACTGATATGAGAAATAATAAAAGTGGGAGGAGGAGGAGGAGAGGGAAAGAGAGAAAGAGAAGGGAGGAAACAAACTGTGAGGGAAGAGATAGAGAAACAGAGGGAAAGGGAAGTGAGTGTGTGCAGGATAGTGTGTGTGTGTGCGCGTGTGTGTGCGTGTGTGGGCGCGTGAACATGCGTACACACACACACGCACCCACACACACGCTCTTGCTCCGTCAACTCCAGACCCAGGAGTGGCTAGGCACATAGCTGGTGAACAGCAAGCTGAGCCTCATCTAAATCACCCAGAGCAGTAAGTTCACGCTATAGTCAGGTCCAACCATTTCTTTTCACATCAAAAACAAACTTTTTTGTTTATTACTTATTATAATCTTACTAGAGGCCCGCTGGCCTTCCTTCCCTTGGCTTCCAGCACTGGCTTTCCTCCGGCACCCAGGGCCCTGGCCTTCGCTCCGGCCAGAGTCTGCAGCCTTGTGTTTGCTGTGGCACTCCACTCCTGTAGATCCCTTGGCACCCTGCCCCCCCTTCCCGCTCTCCCTCTCAGAGCCGGCATCCTACCTGGACACTCCGTGCCTGGAGCAGCTGGGCAGCTGCCATCTTTTGTTTTTTAATTTGCATACTCACTCTGATTGGCTGTAGGCATAGCCAAGGTACAGTCATTTTACATGTTTGTCTATTATTAGGTAAGATGGGATCACCATTGTAGATGCAGTCCATTGTTGACCAAAAATATCGCTATGCAGGGCATATTACCTAATAATAGACAAACATGTAAAGTGATACCTCTGCTATGCCCACCAGCCAATCAGGAGTGATATGCAAATTAACCAAACATGGTGGTTAATTTGCATACACAGGTGCCCAGCAACCTGGGGCAGATGGGTTGCTTGTGTCATCGCCATGGCAATGATGCAGGCATTCCATCCCAGGCTCTCAGGGCTCCTGGGCAGCAGGGGAAGGCAGGGCCGGAGTGGAAAGAGGTGGCTCTGAAAGGCGGTGCTGGCAGCCAGGGAAAGGAAGGCCCATTCTAGCACGAATCTTCGTGCATCAGGCTTCTAGTGATTGTATAAAAAATTTCAAGTGGCACCTTTCATTTTACTCTAAACATTTTCTATCTTCAGAACTAATCAATCCTAGAACCCTTGCTTGTTTAGCTGGTTCAATTTATTACATTAGCAAGGTATTCAAGAAACCAAATTGTAGAACTGAACTCTAAAAATAATCTGCTTCATACAAGGAACAACTCTTATGTTATAGCCACAAATGTATCTTCAAACCCTATGTCACAATTTAAAATTTATTCCAACACACTATCAGGTAGCTAAAACAGTGAAAATTTCCCCAACTATTTAAAAAAAAAAAAACACACCCACATATGGTAAAGGAAAAGCACAACTTTTTCCTTTATAATAATATTAGAGGCCTAGTGCACGAATTCATGCACTGGTGGGGTCCAGCCAGCCCACCCTGATGGGGACCATAGGAGGTGGCTGGCTGGATGAGGGGCTGTGGGTGGTTTGCCAGCTGACCCCGCCCCCAATTGGAGTGGGGTGCCTGCTTGGGTGAGGGGCCAGCTGGGACAAGGGACCATGGACAATTTGCCGACCTGATTGGGTGCCCTCAGAGGTGGGCCAAGGAGCCACAGGAGTTCCAGTCATTCCACTGTTCGGTCAATTTGCATATTATCCTTTTATTATATAGGATGCCTACGTCCTAGAGTTAGCTTCTTCCTCCAGGATTAGCCTGGATATTTACCTAGCTATGAACTCTGATGAAAATTATATACAGGAACCTCTATTTGTAGGAATGCTGTGCTGTGGGGTAATTAACAGTGGTACAATAGGAATTTCTATCAGCTTTGCAAAGCTTTCTTTTTTTAACAATTCTTTTTTGTTGAAAGTATTACATATGTCCCTTTTCACCCCTATTGGCTCTCTTTAGCCCACCCCCGAGCCCTCCTCCCCCACAAAGCTTTTTAAAATGAAACATTTATCAGAAAATTCTAGAAATATGTTATAATTAGAAAAAAATTAAAATTGGAGAAACAGCTACTTTAATATAAGTTTCCAGGTAGAAAAATCTATAAAGTAGAAGAAATATAAACTACAGCTATATAATTGAGTCTTATTAAAACTCTGCCATTTATCTCATCCTTTCAACAGTCCATATACCCTAAATACTGCAATCTAAAAAAATCAATAGATGTATCCTTACAAAAAATGAAGAAACACAGCTTAGTAATTACAAATTTAAGCTGTGAGTAATTATTGATAAACAATAAAACTGATGACATTCCAGTTGTTTTTATAATATTCCACCTGGCTGACACATAATTATACAATAGCACCTTGGGTGCTAATAATATTTCAATTGTATATAGTGTACTTGAAGCAATATGACTTAGCTAAAACTTTTTTTTATTAACAAAGTAATTTCTTTTATTTTCTGTCCATTGGGATATTTTATTTTCTGCAATTTATCAAGTTAAAGTTCAGAATATGCCTCTTTAAAAGCAGGAAAGTTAATGCCCTGGCCGGTGTGGCTCATTGGTTCGAGTATTGGCCCAGGCACCAAAGGGTCTCAGGTTGCAGGTTCAATCCCCAGCACCATTTGAGATGAGTGCTGGAGGCAACCAATCAATGTCTCTCTGTCACACTGATGTTTCTGTCTGTCTGTCCCCCACTCTTCAACTCTCTATAAAAATCAATAGAAAAAAATAGCCTCAGGTAAGTATTAATAAAACAAAAAAACCTTTAAAGTAGAATACCATTATAGTTCACAAACCTTGTATTCTCATTTGTGGAAGAAAAAATAATCATTGTGTATAAAAAAAATAAGGAAAAACTAAAATATATGTGCCTTTGCCAAACTGATTTTCATAAAATATCTGGTAACTGATTTTCATATATAAGTGAAGCAAATCAATTAACAATAGAGTGCTGAAACCTTTTGGGATTTTATATACATTCTTTAAAGGCAACTTATTAGCAAAAATGCAGTAAGTAAAATTAAAATATACACTAAAATATTCCAAAACAACTATTTTAATATTTCTGTATCTAAGAACTGTAAGTACACCACCACAACATCTTACAGATTGTTTACAAACTGTATCCTACCTTGCCAGAGGTTAAAATAAACTTATCAAACACATAATGGAATTCCTGGGTGGGGTGGTTATCATCATCAAGGTCAGAAGCATCTTCTGTAGCTTTGCAGTTGCAAGAGGTAGCAGATGTGTCGGTGCACACACTCTGACGTGAACTCTCTGTTTCTAAATTTGACCTGCAGTCTGTACCAACAGACTCATTTGGGTCAGAGGATTTACTATCAGTGCAATTACATTGGCTAAGTTCCTTTTTTAAACAAGTTTCTGAATGAACTAAATCATCTTGTTTCTTAATTGATTTTGGTTCTACTTCTCTGCTTTCACTGGTAGAAAGAGATGAAGATTCCGGTCCATCTTCAGCCAAAACTAGTTCAGTTACCAACAAACTGTCATCTTCAGTAGTACATTTCTGTGATGTACATTTCATTTCATCATATTTACCAGGTTGACCCCTTTCTGCATTTATTTTTTCTGTGCTTTTCCCAAGTTGAATGCAACAATTAGATGTCTTATTGTCAGTCTTGACTGGTTTCTTGTTGCTTATTTTCCCTTTTTCTTTTTTCATGGAATCCACAGATTTTTCTGCATCCTTTCTCTGAGGACAGGCAAAATATCGATAAGCTGCCCTGAATCTCTCCACAACATATTCATAAACAAGCTGGCTGTTTAAGCTCCGTGCAACATTCCTCTTGATTGAAAATGGATCTAATAAAAAGAAAATGGTCAGTTGCTAAGTATTTACTAACAAACGACGTTTTCAAGATTACACAAACAGTTCTTAACTGCTGGATTGTAAGCAAGAATACATTTTCCCAAAGCTTTTCTAAACTAAAGTCCCAGTGAGAGTCCTTAAAAACTTAGTAGGTAAATACAATAGAAACTTTGTTTCCTTTGTTTCTATCTTAACATTAAAAAAAAAAAAACTTTTAGAAAATAATAATAATAAGGCAATTAATGAGAGAATGGCTAAGGAGCCCAATTCAGTAATTACAAAGTTTCAATGATGAAATTGCTGAAAACAACTATATCAATATGCCTCCCAATAGTGTCATTGAATAAAAAATTTCAAGCTCTGGGAGGCAATAATAATTTTCATTTTCATAGTATTCTTTAGTTACATACTCCTTGCAATTTAAACAAATAAAATATAAACTAAACTCTCAAAGCTTCAAGTTAAAAAAAATACTGACTCTAAGATTTAACTTTAGTGAGATTAGAAAATTAAAGAGAGAAAGAGGAGAAACAGAAAAGTAGGAAGAGACCTAAGTAAAAATTAAAACAAAATTTAAATGTTGATCCCATCTAAAATGGCTATGTTGAAAAGGCTTGCAGCAACTCATACTTCTGAAAACGTTTATGGGCTTTTGGATTTTATAAGCCTTAAATACAAATGTCAAGGAAAAAAGAACAGTACCACCCCAAAAACACAATACATATTTTCTCCACAATTAAAGATCATTGAGGGTGTGCTATGGTTGAAGCATCTATTACTTTTTTGCTGTTATCTAAATAAAGGGCTTAAAAAGCTTTCCTAACCTCTTTTCCCTTCCAGAAAAAAAAAGGAAGAGAAATTATGATGGCTGCAGGTTTCAGAGCTCATTTATTTACTGTATGTAAGAGAGTATAAGATGTGAGGACATGCTTGAGGGTATAAGAATATGTGTAGGTTCAAGTCACACTAGAAGGCTAAAAGTGGGTTGAGGGAACAGAAGAATGTTAAACAAACTAAAGGCTAAACTAGGGGTGTCGAACTCAATCAGAGAAGGGGCCAAAATCTAAAATCCAGCCTAAATCGCGGGCCGAATGGTTTACTGAACAGTCATAAACTGTCATTGTGATGGAAACGCAGCGGAGTGCAGTGATGACAGCGCGGTGCGGGCCACATTGCAAGGCCTGGCGGGACGGATTTGGCCCGCGGGCCTTGTGTTTGACACATGTAGGCTAAACAAACTGAAATGATGCACAGAAACTCAATTTCCTACCTATAAAAAGTAAGTGAAATATTGTGAATTGGAAGTTTGTATTAAGAATTTAGAAGCGAGTGCACTCTCTCTCCAGGGAGCACACCCTCCCCTTCCCTTCCCTCTCTTCTCCCCCACAGGCATGCAGTTCCTAACTCTAAGGGACTCCCACAAGCAACAGGCCCTGACCTGCCCCAAAGGCCCCCTTTTTTCTGACTTCTTAGTGAGCCAAAGCAGCCTAGCCTAGACTCATTTCACTGTCTGGTCTCTCCTAGTGCTTCTTCTATCCTAAACCCTTCCTAGTTTCACTGTCCCCAGTATTCGCAAACATCCTCTAAAAATCACCTGGACTTGTGCTGTGAAATCCTTCCTGTACAAAGTCAAGAATCCACACACTACCAGCTGGTCCAAGGCAGGCAAGCTCAGGGCCAAGTCCCCTTTCCAGTAACAAAACTGCTCCCTACCAAATCATGTCCTGCCCCGTGAAACCCTATTCTCCACTTATTTTTTTAAATGATAGAATTAAAATTTTACAAGCAGATGGCAGTGGAATATATAGTCTCTATGCTTGATCTTTCTTTTATGTAAATAAAAAAATTACAAGAACTGATAGCTGGTTTTTTTTCAGAAAACATGATTAAACTAATTCATTGATGGTGGCATCAAGTTTTTCCTTATTAGCTCCAGAAAATTCACGTTTTTGTCTTATTGTAGCCCTAGCAGGTTTGGCTCAGTGGCCTGCAGACTGAAGAGTTTTGGGTTCAATTCTGGTCATGGGCATAAGCCCAGTATGTGGGATCGATCCCTAGTTAGAGGGCATGCAGGATGCAGCCAATCAATGATTCTCTGTCATCATTGATGTTTCTATCTCTCTACCTCTCCCTTCCTCTCTGAAATAAAAAAATATATATTTAAAAAAAAATTTAGAAGCCATTCTATTAATTTCTGTACCTCTAACTATCTTAATGTTCTTAGATTTGATGTGAAACCTGAGCTGTCAATATCAACTGTTTTTTTCTTTAGTGTAGTAACATTTAACAGATGAGATCATTTAGAAAACAATAAAACTTGATTTTAAAATTAATACTTCAACAAGTTTATGACACACTTCATAGAATTAATATAACCATTCTATTTTTCTATATTTTTGAAAATTTTTATAATTAAAAATTAAATAAAGACATGTAAAGTAAGCTACTATCCCTAACCAATCTAATATTTACAGATTAGAAATATTTAAATGAGTATTAATCCTATAAACTATAATGAACTTGACAAAGAATTTATATAAAATATATGAAACCTCATGGCATAGATAGTGCTACAGTCAAGGGGTAAAATTTATAACATTGAATTAGACAGAGATGATGAGTGGCACACAAAAATTATTCTCCAAATTAAATATATCGTACCTTCAATGGCTACTCGCCTTTTAGGCCAGTTTTTGTTTTCTCTTGTTAAAATATCTTTTATCCGTACACATATGACATACTCCTCCAAAGCAAATTCCAGTGTGTAAAATTTTAGCAGCTCTAACCATAACTGTCCCAGGGGTATCTGGTTAGGTGTTTCCAATGTTAAAGGAGACTGGAAAAGAAAACACTTCATTTACGCTTCATGAACTAATGAATCATTTACTTTTCACTTTAAAAAATCCTTAAGGATCACTTTTTCAAAAACTAAGCATAAAGGAGCAACGTGCCAAAAAGCAGTTTGTTGCATAGCTGGGAAGAGAGTGCCAAGTTTACTAACTCCTAGGATTTTGTGTTCTTTCCACAGACTAGAAATTCTCAACCTTCGCTGCACATTAGAATCACAGTGGAAATACAAAAACACACTAATACCTGAGTTACACACCACTCCCACCTCCCATACCCTTCCCAAAATTCCGATTTAACTGACCTGAACTGGGTACTGAAATTTTTAAAGCTCCCTAAGTGATTTCCATGTGCAGTCAAGGTTGAAACCACTGTATAATAATCACCACAGCTCCTCACTGCAGTGATTATTTTTAAAATCTAAATAAATGTCCTGAGCTTGCAAGAGCTAAATCCTTCATTTGGCAAACATTTATTTAGAACTTACTATGTCCCTGGCATTGTGCTGGGGATATAAAAAAAATGAGAGCTCACACTTACACATAATGCTCACCATGCATCATTCACTCTTCTAAATGCTGTGCATATAATTAATAATTCTAACAACTCCATGGAGTAGATACTATAGGGCAGTAGTCGGCAAACTCATTAGTCAACAGAGCCAAATATCAACAGTACAACAATTGAAATTTCTTTTGAGAGCCAAATTTTTTAAACTTATACTTCTTCTAACAACACTTCTTCAAAATAGACTCGCCCAGGCCCTGGTATTTTGTGGAAGAGCCACACTCAAGGGGCCAAAGAGCTGCATGTGGCTCACAAGCCACAGTTTGCCGACCACTGCCATAGGGCAAAAACCTAACTCAGCACCACATCGTTACTGGGTTCATGTTGCTAATCACTATAACATGCTGCCACTCAAATAAGGTATTGGACCACTTCATGGACTTCTAGGAAAGGAAGAAACAATTCAGCAATGTTAAAATGGGCCTCTAATGGGGAGGGGATGTGTAACAGAAGAGGTAATGACTTCTAAGGGAATTAGCTAAAGACTGGCAGCTAAAAGTGACCACTAAGAGCATAAAGACATGAAGCAGTCATTCATTCATTCATTCATTCATTCATTCATTCATTTATTCAATTCTACAACCATTCATTGGTTACCTACTATGTACCAAGCACTTGGAATAGATCCATGGGAAAAAAACAAAACGAAGATCCTTGCCTTAGTGGAACTCACTTTTCAGGGGAAGAACACAGTGAACAACAAACTTAATAAGTAAATTACATAGCAAGTCAGAAAAAGAAAAGTGCTGTGGTGCCCAGCTAGGGTAACTCAGTGGTTGACTGTCAATCCATGAATCAGGAAGTCATGGTTTGATTCCCAGTCAGGGCACATACCCAGGTTTCGGGCTCCATCCCCATTAGGGGCGTGCAGGAGGCAGCCAATTGATGATTCTCTCATCACTGATGTTTCTATCCCTCTCTCCCTCTCCCTTCCTCTCGCTGAAATCAAATTAAATAAAAATAAAAATAAACATTTTAAAAGAAAAGTTCTGTGGAAATTTTAAAAAGTTGTGTAGGTTTAATAAAGAGGATGGGAAAATGGGAGCAGGTTTCAATGGTGAATAGAATAGTCAGGATAAAACTTGTTGAGAAGGTATAATCTGGAGAAAAAGGAAATGTGTTCTAGGGATAGAAAATGGAACAAACACACTAAAGTAGGAGTGTGACTAGCTTTAAAAAGAAAACCAAGAAACCTAGTGTGGTAGAGAGAGGGGAGAAAAAAAAGAGGAAAACAAAAAGCTTCCCAGTGAGAACTCCTTGGCTTTTATCCTAAAGTAAGTGAGGAGCAACTAAAGCATTCTGAGTGTGAGAAGGGGAAGAGCATGATCTAACTTAAGTTTTGGAAGAGCCATTCTGACTGAAGTAATAAGCAAGAGGACAGAAAGTGGGAGAGTTGAATGGGACTAAAACATATGTTCAGGGAATAACATGAACATTTCAGTAATGTTCACATTTCTGTAGTCTAGTTCAGGACTGGAAGTCCAGAAAGACTATATCCTTCTAGAGGACACAATCCATGGATATTCAACTTTTGTTCTTTAGCACTTAAGATAATGCTTGGTATGTAGCAGGCCCTCAATAAATGCTGAATGGTTAAATAAGCAAGCCATATCCTAAAAGACCGTAAGGCCTTTATTTCTCCACCACTCTGCCAACATAATTCCCATAAGCTAAAGTTTTGGTTCCAGCCCAACTCCTGAAGGAAATTTTCCTTCTCTAAATGAAAATTATACAAAGAATTACTTCGACATGATTCAAACAACAGAAGTCTCCCAAAAGGAGTTGTAAATTCATTAGGGAATCTTGGTACTGAAAAATTAAACCAAATCAACACCTCACATTACAGATGAGGAAAATGAGGACAAGAGGTTTATTCAAGATTAGTCAGTTAAACTACTATTAAAATAGCTTCAATAGAAGGCATCATAAATACTATGGATAGAAATGTCAAAGAAACAACAAAAAAAACCTACTTTGCCATGTTTTCCCTTTAAGGCATTACTTTGGTTGTCTTTTTCTGTCTTCTTGGTATCAGCTTTTGTTTGGTCTGCCTTAGCTCTGTTTTCCTCCGCAGGTGAGTTTTTCTCAGTTGTACTACTTGAGTTATATTCCCACTTCACAAATTTCTCTTCTATTATGCCCTTCAGCTGAAAGTCATCCATTCTTTTTGAGTCAAAGCCTTCAATCTACATAAAAAGGCATTTGGTATTATAAAAAAAAAATTATTATTTTTTTAAAAAGATGGACAGACAAATCAGAACTCCAGTTTAAACTGAACACAGTACTCTGCAAGAGCAAACTATATACGTACATACATGTGTACAAACTCATGCTTACCCAACTTCCTAGTAAACAAGGAAGAAGAGGGGGTTTTCTTTGTTGTAGAAAAAACATCACCATTAAAGCAAAACAGTAAGAAGGAATTCCGCCATCAGTTTGGGAATCAATATAGCACAACTGCAAAATGATGGGGGAAAAGTACAACCATTTATTTTAGCTTTCTTTAATTTTCTTCATTTCACAACAAAAGTAGCTCCCCCCACCATAATCATTGTAAAAAGCATAAAATATAATTATCTATAAATATAAAAGCCTAAGAGACCATTCGAACAATAACTATGATGCACATTGACCACAAGGGGGCAGACGCTCAATGCATAGGGATGGAAACATGGAACAGATTGATGAATCTCAGAGGAAAGAGGGGAGGGGGGAAGATGGGAAGAGATTAACCAAGATCTTATATGCATTCTAGAGGCCCAGTGCACGAATTCATGAACCGGTGGGGCCCCTTGGCCTGGCCTGTGGGGACCGGGTGGAAACCAGAAGTCTGACATCCCCGGAGGGGTCCAAATTGTGAAAGCGCACAGGCCAGGCCCAGAGACCCCACTGGTACACGAATCCGTGCACCAGGCCTCTAGTATAAATATATATATATATAAAATATATGATTTGAAATCTCACCCACCTGAAATAACTATTAACATATTGGTGATCATCTTTCCATTCATTTTTTATTGCATATAAAAACATGTATATTTTAGTTAAATGGAACCATATCATACAATGTGCTTTTATTGTAGACACCTTTTAAAAATATTTTATTTTGCTTCCACTTCTGCCTCATGTTAATAATCTTCTAAGTACTCCATGCCTTCTTCTATATTCAAATAACCATACACAAATACACATACATTTCTATTTTCTATAAAAAAAACGGAAGATTTTGATTTTTGTCATCTTTTTACCAAAATTTTTATTATCGACATCTCTCTGTATATTACTCTTCTCCCTTAACAATGCACCAAGAAATGTCCCTCTAAGTCATTAGTACAGATCTAACATTCTATCAAATGGTTAAATTATAGTCTATGATCTAGAGATGATTATTCAATAATCCCCCCACCCAAGGATATTCACACTTTGTTATCAGTTTTTGCTACGTTAAACAATATCGTAATATTTATCCTTATACAGATTTCCTAAGTACTAGTGCTTTTTTATGAGCTATATTCCCAGGAACATATTTGCTAGATTAAAAAATGTGATATATTTCAATTCTAACAAATAATTATAGGATTTCAAAAATTGTCAATGGCAAGCATGTCAAACTCAAAGGCTAACACAGGCCAAATAAGTAAGGTTTAAGTTTTAAAAAAAAAAGCTTCAATGTATTTTCATAAAAACGTTGTTTATTTTAATAAGAGACATGCTGAATAAAAAGGGCTAAAATAAATGAATAATCATTAACATAGAACATTTTAATAAAAATTAATATTTTTTCTTGAACATTAACTTACCAGACACTGAATTATTGCAGGAATTAATAAGTGTAACACAAATAAACCTATTTTTCTTGTTCTCTGAAAGCAAAATGTTTCCTGTTGTACACACCACAAAGACTAATGATGGGCAATCAGCTGTTAAAATATTCGCTACTGCGGAAACCAATTTGGCTCAGTAGATAGAGCATTGGCCTGCGGACTTAAAGGTCCTAGGTTCCATTCCTGTCATGGCATGTACCTTGGTTGTGGGCACATCCCCAGTAAGGGGTGTGCAAGAGGCAGCTGATTGATGATTCTCTCTCATCAATGTTTCTAACTCTATATCCCTCTCTCTTCCTCTCTGTAAAAAATCAATAAAATATATATTTTTAAAAATAAAGACGTTTCCTTTAAAAAAAAAAAAATTCGCTGCTAGTATTAGTGGAGAGAAATGGTACACCTGCGCTAAGAAGGGAAATGAATGCAACATGATTATAGTAATCAGTCATTAGTGAACATTGTATTTCATCCTATATAATAAAAGGTTAATATGCAAATCAACCAATCGGTGGAACAATTGATCACTATGACTACACTAATCACCAGGGAGCAGATGCTCAACATTCCAATGATCGGCAAACTCATTCATTAGTCAATAGAGACAAATATCAACAGTACAATAATTGAAATTTCGAGTCAAATTTTTTAAACTCAAACCTTCTACGCCACTTCTTCAAAACAGACTCACCCAGGCCATGGTATTTTGTGGAAGAGCCACACTCAAGGGGTCAAAGAGCCGCAATTGGCTCACGAACCGCGGTTTGCCGACCACTGGTCTATTCCTATGCCAATGGTATACACTTAACTAAATCAGTTTTGTAGTGGTAAAGTGGGTCCCCTTTGCTAGTCTCTTTCTGAATTCATTTGGCTATACTCAAAGATTCTTCCATACTAACTTTTAAGATCATTTTTGTCAACATTTTAAAAACTCCTGGTAATTAGAATGAAAATTACTGAATGTTTTAAAATTAATTTAATGCACTTTACACTTTAAGTATACCACCTCCTCTATTCAAGAACTTGGTATCTTTGCATTTTCCAAAAATTAAGGAGCTGTCATCAATTACTCACTTCCCCTCAACTCTCATATCAAGTCCTTCCTCCAAAACTTATCCCAAATCTGTTTACTTTGCTTCAAATCCACTCTAAATTTACTACAGTTAGGTATTCATAACTATTTTGTTCCTATGTATTCTGATTTCTGTTACAGATTAGGCACTCCTCTGTTCCACTCACCTTAGCCCAATAACGAAAGGCTAACACCAAGGGAATAAAGACAGGTTCCATTTTGCCAATAGCAGCAAGTAAATCAGTAGTGAGGCATGCCATATCATTTCCTGCACTCACTCTACAAAGTAAGCCACTGTGAATGAGAAAGGAAGAAATTTCACTGCATTAATACTTTCAAAAACATAATATTTCAAATCCTGTAGCTATCCCTTCCAGTCACTGTATTTTAATACTTTAGAAGGCATAATAAAAATAAATGTTTTAATAAACTTAGAGCTTACTGAAAACTATGCATCAGTTCCATCACTAGCGTTCCATATAAATTAAAGTTTTAAATTTGTTTAAATAAGTTTCATTTGTACTTCAGAAGTTTCAACTTTAAGTAAGTATTTAAGTTCATGAAAAATTAATTTCAAAAGCAGCATTATGAATCACCAAAATTTTATTTATGAGAGAAAAGACATCTTATCAATGTCAAATAATACAACATAACTTCTTAGTACATTCTTTTTGCTTTGCACAAATTAAAAAAAAAAAATTCTGAACTGATTAGCTGTATTTCTTGACTCTAATATTTTCCTATCTAAGCTTTCATTGATTTTATTGACATGCTATTTTCAGATAAGATATTAGAAAGAATTTATACATTAACCCACAAGTAATGCTTATATGAAAGTGAAAATAGGAACTACCATAAATGGGGTAATAGAATTGTAGAAGAGATATTTTGGTGGCAGGGAGAAGAATGTATCTGAGGTTGCCACACAGAGACAATTAGACACGATGTGATGGCAAAAATACCAGACATCAGAATACCTCCATTCCAATTCTGATTTTCCCCTAAATGATATGAATTTGGACAAATCACTTATTTGTCCTCCAGGTCTTAATTTTCCAATCTAGAAAAAAAGGAAATTGAACTAGATCTCCATAGATGCTTCTAGTTTGGAAAAAGGAAATATAGTAATCTTAAAATATAAGATATATAGGTTAATAATCAATAAAAGAACACTATTATTTCTGTATTGTTTCCATATCTCCCACATTGAACTAAAATAGTTATTTTAGTTTCCTTTTTCAAAAGTATTTTACTCTTTCTTAATCCTATAGATATGACTAGAAAAGCAAGATTAGTCTTCAATGACTCATACAATTTCAGTGAACTAAAAATTAAGAGTCTGATAGACTGTAAGCTCCTTGAGAAGAGAGACTATTTCTTATTTATGCTTGTGTCCCTATAGGAAAGCATTATTTACCATATAGTAAATGTTCAATATTGTTGGGTGAATAAACTTTAGAAAAAAATTAAAAGTTCTGCATCTGAGTATTTTATTTCTATCTGTTCTATATCTTGTTCACATGCTTTTAGTAAATAGGCTAATTTGAATAAGTAGAAACTAGCCTAGTCATATTAACCCAAGGAGAAATAAAAAAAAAAGCTTTTCTCTCTTACAGATGTTCACTGCATATTTGAATGTTGTTATCTTTAAAAATACTTTATTTTTTCTTCATTGTTACCAACCTTTTCCGATCTTTGCACACCACAACAGGAACTTTAGCGTGAAAATCAGATTCCACATCTACATATAATACTAATAAGGGGGGAAAACAAAGCAGGTAAGCCAATGTCAACATCTCTAAAATGCTTACTCTATGGTAAACATTAAGTAATAGTTTCCTTCTAAATATCACTCTCATTGTTTCTGTGGGATAACCCATTCTTCTCATTATGAGAATCAAACCCACAGGATCCTTTATCTCTCTTGGTTCTATTTGCTACATATCACAAACCATAGGCATGGTCCCAAAGAATGTCTGAAAGTTACAATCACCTTAAGAAAAAAAGGTTTTAATATCCCTAAGAGTTTGAATATAACCAATTAAGTAAATAATGTAGTCAAAGTTGTTAAACCTTCACAGATATAGCCAAGAGAAGGCACCACTTACTTTGAGGGCTATTTCCACAGGAAGCACAAAATGAGAACCTACAATGCTTTGAAAATTTGGTTCTTTAAAAAATATCTGTGGAAGTAAAAGGCTAACTCTGCTGGCTTCATTTCCCATAAACCTATGAAGTGTCTGTCCAATTAAAGCTCCTAAGGATGGACTACGGATGAAGCACATTTCCACTCTTAAGTCCATCTCTATATCTGCCATAAATGTCTAATCTAAATAAAAATAGATGCATTAGCCCTAGCTAGTTTGGCTCAGTGAATAGAGCGGCCGCCTGCGAACTGAAGGGTCCAAGGTTCAATTCTGGTCAAGGGCACATGCCCAGGTTGCGGGCTCGATCCCCAGTAGGGGGCGTGCAGGAGGCAGCAGATCAATGATTCTCTCTTATCATTGATGTTTCTATCTTTTTTCCTCTCCCTCCCTCTCTGAAACCAATAAAGATATATATATTTTTTTAATTAGATGCGTTATTTCATTTGCAATTTAAAGAAAATATCTTAGTAGTACTTTCTGGAATTATTAAGTTATTCAAAAACCATGTGCTAAAATCTCTATGTCAAGAGTTGAATTATACTTGGTGGATATAACAATGAATAAGATATAAAGAGCTCAATCAGGGGTTTGGAAAACAAATATTTAAACAATAAATCCTGTAGATGACAGGATAGAGGTCTTTAAAGAGAGGAGATGAAAAGAAAACAATCAATTTTACAATCAGACTGCATTCTGTAGACCTATGTTATACGACTCAAGATGATCTATTTGTGTATTTTAGTGGAAAAGACCTATTTAAAATTTTTTTGCTAGGTTAATACTCTCCAGTGAGTCTAAAGAGGTAAAAGCTCTGTGTTTACCTCCTATCTGTAATATGTTTTAAAGTTTTTGTGCAAGTAGAGATAAATATTTACTAAGAAAAAAATTATACTAAAATCCCTTTACAATAGCAATTTTCAACATTTTTCATCTCCTGACACACATAAATTATTAAAATTCCACACCACATTATTTTATATATATATATATACATATATATATATATATAATATTATATATTACATGTTTTGCCAAACTGACAAGAATACGTTTATTACATGTTTTGCCAAACTGACAAGAATACGTTTAATTTGATTAAGAAATAGTAATAGTAACAACCTACCCATTTTACAGATGAGAAAACCGAAGCATGAACATTAAATAATTCATCAAAAACATACAACCATCAAGTGGCAGAACTAAATTTTGTGCCTAGAAAGTCTGGCAGATCTTGAGCTCTCAAGCATTTATTTCATAACAAGAAAAGCAGTATAAAACAAAAACAAAATAATATTATAGATTGTATTACACGCTACAGCCTGGTTTGAGATAGTTATAATTTTTTTATTTTTTTAATTTTAAAAGTATTTTTACATATATAAATATCCTTTTTACATCACACACACACACAAAAAAAATCCAGACATATGAGGCACAAATGAAAAGCTTACTAAGTATAATTTTGGTTAGTGTAATATAAATGATTAAATTAGGCTGATATTGCTTTTAATTGTGGAAAAAACAATTTACCTAATGAATGCACAAAAATTTCCCCCAGGTCTCTCCCTAAGTCTTCTTTCATCAATAACCTTCCAAGGATAGATTTTGTCTTTCTCTTCTTTTACATTAGAAATGCTGGTAATATTCAAAGCTAACATTTTTAAATTATTCAAAAGGCAGATTTTACATATCAATTTTAAATATATTTTTGATCTTACAGACATAAATTTTCTAGTATACCTATTAAACAAATATAAACAATATATATATATTGTATTATAATATGCTAGGAATTTTAGTTTGTTTAGCTATATATAACCTCCACAGTGCATGTATCTTTGAAGAATTTTCTTTAGAAAGACAAATTAAAAAAGAAACTCACCACTTTTTTTTAGAATCCCAAGCACTTGTATCAGAAGATCTGGATGAGTCATCTAAAAAGAGTTTCAAATTAAATCAATATACTAATTTCAAAGTTTAAGTTGTAGAACTTCAGAGGGAATTAAATTTCATTAAACATTAAAATCATGCTCTCTATTATTTTAAAATAATGGAAACAGAAGAGTATTTTACTTTTATGTTAACACATCTTGTTCATAGAAATAGAATCTAATAAATCATATAGTGCTATGATTCCAGCAATACTCCTTGAAATAATCAGCTCTTAGGTGAGAAAGATTCTGGAATTTCACAGCAAAATAAATGGAAAAAAATTACTTTACCAAATAATTGTTAGGGAAGTTGTTGGATAAATTTAAGATGCACGGGTAACTAGCCACCTGGCCAACAAGCTTTGATTAAGACGCTGCTTTAAAGGACAAGCTTGTCGCCCAGCTGGCGTGGCTCAGTGGTCGAGCATCAGCCTACGGACCAGTTTGTGGCTCAGTCCCCAGCCAGGGCACAGGCCTGGGCTGCCAGCCTGATCCCCAGTGTGGCGACTTGCAGGAGGCAGCCGGTCAAGGCTTCTCTTTCATCACTGGTATTTCTATCTCTCTTCCTCTCTCCTCTCAAAATCAATAAAAATATATTAAAATAATAATAAATAACAAGCTTGTCAAAGGTTTGACTTAATGTGTATTTTACTGCTATTTAAAAGTATTTAGTAGTAATAATAATTTTTATGTAAATGACTATATACAGATTAGAAATTAAACATCAAATTTGCACCCAAATCAAACCTCCTTGAACATGACTTATTAAAAAAATTTAAAACACATAAAATTTCAGTTATTTTAAATGTTTGCTATGTCAATAGATAAGCAACATTAGCAGTGCTGAACAATATTGGTACTTTTGCAAATGATACTAAACACTACTTATTAAAAGTACCTATAATGTACCAGGCACTATACAGAAATACCTGAAATGTATAATCTTATGTAATATAAAAGTTATTATTCCTGTTTTGGAAATTAGAAAACTGAGGCTCAGACAAGACAAGTAATTAACTTGCTCATTGCAACTAAGATTTAAACACGGATTTTTGGTTTCTAAGTTCTTTCCACCTCCTATATTACTTCCATAAGCAGTAACAGTTCAACATGCTCAAATACAATCACTTTTCCTTTTTTTATGCATAAAAAATTAATTTATTGAAAGGACTGGTTAGGAAATAATAATACTAAGCACAATTCCAGAAACTATTTTTATACATATTTTGATATGGTTATGGTACTTCCAATTCAAAATTGAAATTTTGTGGTACTTTTTTTAATTAAAATTTGGAAAATAGAGGTTATGAGTTGCATTCAAATTCAGACAAGTGCTACAAAATACATAAAATAAATAAGGAAATGCATTTTAATTCTTTCCATGTAGAGACATTTTAAAATTAGCAATTTTTGATGGCATGATACAAAGATGAAAATATGTCATTTCCAGTCACAATCAATTCAAAAATGGGGAGTGGAACATTAACTTTGAAATCCTGTTAGACTTGTTCTAAGTTGTAAACTGGGTCACTAGATTAGGTAACAGGGTAGAACTCGCAGGTAGGATCAAACAGAGGCTCTTAGTACAGCAGAAGGGCTTGGATGGACATCTCTCTGGGGGTAGGTCATCACTCCCTGGGGAAGAAACATGGCTTTGGGCTGAGGAAGGAAGAATAGGGCCCAGTAGGAAAACATGGGAGTCTGAAGCAGCAGCTTGGGGTGCTGGTGCATCAAGGGCTGGAAGAGAGATAGGAGAAAGTATGGACTTTTGAGATTACTAAAATTTGGGACTTAGTGTTCAAAAAACAGCATCACATTGCACTTAGGAAAGATGGCCTCCTTACTATTGGGGGCTTCCGTTACTTCAGGCTGACGGACAGGCAGCACCGTAACAGACTGAACAGGAGGCAGGATGTTTGTGGAAGGACAGTGTAAGGGACAGGCTCAGAGTAAGGACAGATTAGAGGCTGCGGCTAAACACAGGGGTGAATTTTATCCTGGAATTCATCCTCTTTGCTGCTGTGTCTCACGTTCAAACTGCTCAGGTTTCTTTGCTGATGTGTGTAATAGATTCCTCACTGCTGAAAGGCTTTCTACAGTCTCACTGAATATGCCGAGATCTTCCTTCTCCCTCCCAGGAGCAAGGACCACAAGGCAGGCAAGGATGATAACCTTCAGTTACCAAGTCCAGTTTCATTGTGGCTTCTTCTGTAAATCCTTGGTTATAAGATTTCTATTCAGCTAGTCTTCAGTTGGTTATTCAAGTTGACTGTTCTATATTTTAGTTTTGATTCCAGTTTGGTCCTGGGAGGAGGTGAGTGTAACTTCCACCTATTTTACCTACCATCATCTTGGGTTCCCCCCCCCCCCTTTTTTTTTTAAGAAGAAATAGGTTCAGAAAACAACTTATAGCTAAAGAAGGGCCTTAGTGCTTAGCAGAGAGAGGAAGAGAGAATGCATACCTTGAAGGACCAAAAGGGAGGAGAGGTGTGCTCCAGGAGAGAAAGAGAACACACTGGAGAAAGAAGCGGGTGGGGAAAGGCAAGGGCCTGCTCCAGAAAGAGAGAAAGAGAGCTGACTTTCCTTTTTTTTTTTTTTTTTTAATGACTGCTTCCTCTTTTTTCTTTGACCTTTATTTACTTTACTTTTTACTTTTCTTTACTTTACTTCACTTTATTTTATTTTATTTTAAAGTCTGACACCTAATAGTAGTTTCCAAATGTTCCATAGTGATGGTAACTTCCATAAGGCAGAATTTTATAGTTCCTTGCACCGCCACTAAAAAGATAATCAAGGTGCCCGGCTAGCTCAGTCGGAAAAGCAGGAGACTCTTAAAAAAAGATAATCAATAAAAAAAACAAGTATTATACTAATTAAGAACCACATAGGAAACATTCTTTTCTAATTACTTACCTTGGGAGGAAATTTTATATCTATATTAACATCACTACTTTTCAGAGCAAACTTAGTCAGAGATGAGCCATACAACCTAAGTGAACATTCTGGAAAAAAAAAAAAAGCATGAAATAGAATGTAAATATGGGATCTTAAACAACAGTGATAGGAAAACTGCATATATCTCACTATGTCTTTCAATTCTAGTACAACAATTATAGAAGAATTATATCCTTTTTAATTGATCTATAAAATAAAAATGTTTCTCAGTTAGAGGGTTCAGGAACAAAGACAGAAGAGAGAAATTGCTCATAAAAGTTCAATGTTTAGCCCTTGCTGGTGTAGCTCAGTGGATACAGCATCGGCCTGTGGACTGAAGGGTCCCGGGTTCGATTCCTGTCAAGGGCACATGCCTGGGTTGTGGGCTCAATCCACAGTAGGGGCCAAGCAGGAGGCAGCCGATCAATGATTCTCATCACTGCTGTTTCTCTCTCTCCCTCCCTCTCCCTTCCTCTCTGACATCAATAAAAAAATTTTTTTAAAGTTCAATTTTTAAACAAAATTTTAGTAATAGTTCACTTAGGAATGACTATAATTATGTTTAACATTTAATATGTAACAGTAAAGAATGTACAATCCAGCTATAGCTACTGTCACAAATGGCATTTATTTATATATATTTACATAAGAGATAACACTTTAAATGGGGAAGGAATCGTAGTCAATGACAATGATCTTTAAAAATAAAATGTGGCCGAAACCGGTTTGGCTCAGTGGATAGAGCGTCGGCCTGCAGACTGAAGGGTCCCGGGTTCGATTCCGGTCAAGGGCATGTACCTTGGTTGCAGGCATGTCCCCAGTAGGGGGCGTGCAAGAGGCAGCTGATCGATGACTCTCATCAATGTTTCTATCTCTATCTCTTTCCCTTCCTCTCTGTAAAAAATCAATACAATATATTTAAAATAAATAAATTAAAAAAATAAAAATACAGCCGAAACCAGTTTGGCTCAGTGGTAGAGGGTCGGTCTGCAGACTGAAAGGTCCCAGGTTTGATTCCGGTCAAGGGCATGTACATTGGTTGCGGGCACATCCCCAGTAGGTGATGTGCAAGAGGCAGCTGGTCGACGTTTCTCTCTCATTGACGTTTCTAGCTCTCTATCTCTCTCCTTTCCTCCGTAAAAAATTAATAAAATATTTTTTTAAAAAAAATACAAATACAAAGTGAAGCTATTAATATTGCAAGCCTAAAACAAACAAAAAAATTCTGTGGCTTTCAAGAGTTCATAGAACAAGTTAATAAAAACAATAACATACTACAAGCAACTTTCTCAGACTATCAAATATTTGACTTCAAAAATCATAAGGCAAATTTTAGAAGGATCTTATCAGAGATCAAGTTGAAAAAACCATGACTGGAACTTATCAGGCAAGTTTAGTTTCTTAGAAAGTATAAGGTCAGCCCGGCTGGCATGGCTGAGTGGCTGAGCACCGACCTATGAACCAGGAGGTCACGGGTGGATTCCCAGCCAGGGCTCATGCAGGGGTTGCAGGCTCCATTCCCAGTTGGGTGTGCAGGAGGCAGCCAATCAAAGAATCTCTCTCATCACTGATACTTCTATCTTTCTCCCCCTCTCCCTTCCTCTCTGAAATCAATAAAAAATATTTTAAAATAATATTTACCCTAATTCAAGAGAAAGAGTTGTGTAATTTTTAGAAATAAGTATAAAATATATTTGTACCTGGTAAAAATGCTGTTATAACCTTTGACATTTCCTCCACAACCTCCTGACGAACTCTGAGGTCATCATCTGTTATTCCTTGTTCTTTTGCTAATTCAGTAACTGCAACACTTAAAGCTGCCAAGTGGGCAGGGGAAGGAGGTGGGAGAGAACGAAGTTCACTTTCTTCCTGTTTTTCCTGTTAGTGTAACATGTAACAACAATATATATTAAAAAAAATTACTCTTTTAATGAGAAATACTTTTTCAAGAGAAAAATATAAATACATTCAACTTCTATGTGCCAGACTTACACTGATGGCCAGATTATTACGATCTCTGAATCTGACCACTCGGTGTATATCCTATATAATACAAGGCTAATAAATAAATTGTCCCCTCGACTAGTTCGACCAACAGGCAGGCCAGCCAACTGCCCATGTCCTCTCCCCTCCCCCTGGCCAGGCTGGTCAGACCCCACCCATGCACGACGAAGTCATACACCGGGCCTATAATACACACACACACACACACACACACACACACACACACACGCACTGAGAGGCCAGATTATTATGTGTTTAGAGATCATAATAATCTGGCCACTCAGTATGTATTTAAGAGAAAAAGATAAATATAATCAACTTCTATGTGCCAGGTCTAAGGCTTGTAGGATATGGAAGAGAACAAAAGAGACAGAGATCCCTGCCTTTGTGAAGGAGATTTGGAAGACTAAGAGATACTGTGGGGGAGGTTTCTGTTAAACATTTAAAAATAAAATTTGTTATATTTTATTGTCTGCATAAATTCTGAAATGCTTCATTAAAGCCAGGATGGTTGTTTTAATTTTTTGTTGTTGCTAATCCTCATCTGAGGATATTTTTTCCATTGATTTGGTGCCAGGCCAACGCCCTAACCACTTAGCTACACCAGCCAGGGCATGTAATTTTGATGTGGTTGTGAGAGGATGCAAGTACCGCATTTATGTATGCCACCATCTTGACCTAAAATAGTTTAACTTCTTTTTTTAATTTATCTTTATTGTTCAAAGTACTACAGATGTGTCCTTGTTTTTTCCCACTGACCCTCTCTCCACCCCATACCCGCCCCTCCCAGGCCTTCACCACACTATTGTTATGAGTCAGTGGTTATAGTGTCCGCCCATACATCCAAAGGGCTTGATTCCCAGTCAAGGGCAGCAACGTACCTAGGTTGCAAGTTCAATCCCCAATGCGGGAGGCAATCAACTGATGTGTCTCTCTCACATCAATGTTTCTTTCTCTCTCTCCCCTCAATCCCCGATCCACTCTCTCTAAAAATCAATGGAAAAAATATCCTTAGGTAAAAATTAACAAAAATAATAATAATAATAATAATAATAATAAAATAAAATAATCATAGGCTTGTTAAATCTGAATGACTTCTTTTACTTCTAAGTTCTTGATTTTCTTCAATGTATCAATTTTTTTTAAGAAAAATGTATTGAGCACCTAGTATGTGTCATACGGTTTTAAGCAATGCAGAAACAAAAACAAAAAAGAAAATAACCTTTCAGAATATTAAATACTAAAATCTAGAAAAGGAGAGAAGGCAAACATGTGTTAGGTTTCTGACCAAGCACTGTGGGGGCAGAAAAGACATATCTAACACAGACTTGTTGGGAAGGTCAGGTGAAAGAGTATTTCACAGAGAGGATACACAAGCACAAACTTATAATAGATGAGAAGTTATATATTATTATAACTTTGAACAGAAAAAGATTAAATAGATAAAATACTAATACACTCTAAAAAGAAAAAAACACTCTGTTCATATCTAAGTCTATGAAATACTATAATAAAAATAACTGTAGAATTAAGAATTCTCCAAGTCTCTCGTTTATAAGGCCTTGCGTGGTCTGGACTTCTCCAACTTCATCTCACATCATTTTCCTCCTAGCTTTGTTTGTTCCACTAATACTACAATCTTTCAGTTACTCATATGCCATATCCTTTCCTGACTTAGAAATCTTTATTCATTCTGCTTTTTTGTATAAAATGCTCTCAGCTTGCCTCTCCACACCACTCACTTTTTGCCTTTTTAAACTATTACTCCGAGGTTCAATTCAAATGTTCACTTTCCCAGAAAAACTGCCCCTGACCTACACTAAGTAAAATATTCTTGTATACTTCTTTAGCACTACATTTCCCCCTTTAATAAAACTCATGATCCTTAAATCCTCATTCATTGGATGCCTTCACCAATGTCTTACAAACTCTGAGGGCAGAAACTACAACTATCTTCTTCATCACTCCTAGACATAAGCACATAAAACTCAATAAATATCTGTTGGACTAACTGCACGTGACAGTTTTAAACTTAGGAATCAATGTACTTTAAAATGAGCAAACTGGACTCTCAGAAGACTCTCAGAAGGTTCCCCTCCTGACTCAGGTAAGGAGGGCAATCACACCTTTCAACAATGTCATTTCAATTACTAATATAAGACTGAATAATACTGCATTTTTACTTTCAAAAATAGAAAGGATTTCATATAGTTTTACCATTCAAAAATAAATAAAACATTTTGTACTAAGAACTTACCAAAATGTTTTTCTTATGTCGTTTCTCTTTTATATGTTTATGAGCTCCCTGGATATTTTCAATGTGAATTAAGCAAAGTTTGCATAGATACCGGCAATTGGTATATTCTGGTGAGCGCTGAAAAGTTAAAAAATGACATTTTCAAAAAACAGAGAAGTAAATTTTTTATTATATATGTGAATGGCATAATTATGTAAATATAAGGAAAACATAAGCATTGTAGGAATGTTTTTAATAAACAAATCAGTACTTATAAACCCAAGATAGTTGTCCTTTTCAAAATAGTCATCATAGATCATATACTAATTTCAAGTAATACCATGAAAATACTAAATACGGACTGGTCAGTATGGCTCAGTGGTTGAGTGTCGACCCAGGAGGTCAGGGCACATGCCCAGGTTGTGGGCTCGATCCCCAGTAAGGGGTGTGCAGGAGACAGCGAATCAACGATTCTCTCTCATCATTGATGTTTTTTATCTCTTTCTGAAATCAACAAAAATATATTTTTAAAAGTACTAAATATATTTGGTACATATCTAATATAGACTTTCGAATCCAATGTGAAATGAGAAAGGTAGTATCATTACTAAGTCTTATTCCAATGCTACCCCCAAAATTGGTTTCAAACTTTCAGTCTTTCTTATTATCAAATAAGAGATTCAAAAAATAGAATATAAAAATAAATAAATAAATAAATAAATAAAAATAGAATCTACCCTCAAATAAGAGATTCAAAAGAATGACTTGCAAATATGGAAAACAATTTCAAAAGCTGAATTCCAAAAACACTCCAACTAATCACAATCTCATGGGAATAAATGGATAACCTCTTGAGGTTATTACTCTGAAGGAAACAACTGACATGTAAAAAGTATCAGTCATAGTACTTTAGTCATACTCCACATATATACTCTTGAAATAATAAAAAACATCGTAATTCCAAAGTACTTGTTATGTGCCAGGTTCCTTGCTAGGTGCTTCACATACAATGTGACATTTTAATTCCCTAACAATCCAATTTTAGACTGGCATTATCTTCATTTTATAGATGTGAAAACAAAAGCTCAAGTAGCTTGCAGCTTTCAGAAGAACACATTAAGTGGGAGATGCTGGATTTAAATTCATGTATTTCTGAATCCAAAGCCAACTCTCTACCCATAAGATTACACAATAAAAATTATAAAAATATTAAATATGTGCTGAATTTTAAAAGTTTCCATTGTCTTACACTGAAATTCCAGCAATGCTCAATTTTTATCTGACTGATCTTCAAAAGGCTACAACTCCTGACATAAAAATTCTCACTTCAGAATATTATGTATATGATTTCCTTTAAATGGGAATCCATCCCAAATATAGCAATAGTCTTGCTACAGACTAAAAAATAAACATAGCCATCATGTATTCAGTATCTACCAACCTTAAAATAACTCTATGAGGACTCCCCATTTTACTGACACAGCAACTATATCTCAAGGATTAAATAATTGCCCACTGCAACAAGTAAGTAAGAAAGTTCAGCTCAACATAATCATTCCAATTCTTTAATAAAAGAAATTCTTTCAAACCTGTCCTTATTGGAGTATGAATTAAGCCTCACAGAGACTTCTATTTCTTAAATTTCCTATCACAACTAATTCTTAATTCACCAACTATTTTTTTAAATATACTTTTTATTAATTTCAGAGAGAAAGGGAGAGAGATAAAAACATCAATGATAAGACAAAATCGCTGATTGGCTGCCTCCTGCACACCCCCAATGGGACCAAGTCCACAGCCCAGGCATGGGCCTTGACTGGAACAGACCCCTGACCTGGTTCACAGGTTGATGCTCACCCTCCGAGCAATGCCAGCCCGGCCACCATTTTTCTGAGCTTACACTATGTATCAAACACAGTACATAAACAAAAGAAACCAAAATTCCTGTCCTCATGAATGTACATCCAAGTGTAGGGAAACGTATTAAACAAATGTATAAATAAATAAATAGGAACATGGGAAGAAGTGTTACCTGCTTTTTAAAAATAGGGTTGTCACTTAAGACATTATTGATAAACTGGCTTAAAGAAAGTGAAGGATTAGTTGTGTGGATATTTGGAAAGAGACATTCCAAACAGAGGAAAATGTGAATGCTAAGGCCTTGAAGTAAGAATATGCCGAATATATTTGAAAAATTTAAAAAAAAATTTGGAAGATAATGGAGGCTAGATCATAAGCCCCCTGTAAGGACTCTGGCTTTTATTCTAACTGTAAGGGTGAGGCATTGAAGGTTTTTGAGCAAAGAACTGCAAGATCTAATCAATATTTTAAAGGAATCACTTGTCTTCTATATTAAGAATAGAAGCAGGAAGAACTTATTGTTGCAATAATAGAGAAGAGAGATGATGTTGCCTTGGCTCAAGGTTTAAGAATGGTGGAAGTGACTAAAAAAGTTAGATTTAGGAGTTGAAAGCATAAACACAGAATATCTAAATGCATGAATATTGATGAGGTCTCTGAAGAAGTCATGTAATCACTCATAATATGAATTTTCCAATTGTAAAATGTTAACAGACAAGGATACATCTGGACTCTTTTAGTAAGAAAAGCTTGAAAGAAACTGAATGGGGAGTCAGTAGGTTTGGGATGACATTTCAATTAACCTTGGATAATTCTCTAACACTGGAGCCTGCTTCTATATAGGTCCGTAAAATGAAATAAAAACTGCCCTATATCGCCGAAACCGGTTTGGCTCAGTGAATAGAGCATCGGCCTTTGGACTCAAGGGTCCCAGGTTCAATTCCAGTCAAGGGCATGTACCTTGGTTGCGGGCACACCCCCTGTAGGGGGTGTGCAAGAGGCAGCTGATCAATGTTTCTCTCTCATTGATGTTTCTAACTCTATCCCTCTCTCTTCCTCTCTGCAAAAAATCAATAAAAATATTTTTTTTTAAATTGCCCTATAGGGCATAATAAATAAATTCCACATTAGCTAAACTCTGTTCAGTGCTTACCACATACCAGCACTGTGCCAAGAACTTTACTTATATTACCTTATTTAATCCTTATGATAGCCCAATGAGCTAAGTGTCAATATTTTCATCAAATCTATTTTAATGATGATGAAATTGAGGCTTAAAGAGATTAAATAACTTATCCAGTGGTGTTAAATCACTAAGTGACAAAGCTAGATAGAACCAGTGACTCCAAAACCCATACACTTTAACCACTAAGCAAACTACCTCTAATTACTGACCAATTATGTACAATGTATTGTATCAGGCACAACAGTAAATAACATAAAAATGTTCTCACCATCAGGAAGCTTCTAGTTTCAGAGAGACAAATGAAAATTGTTTAAAAATTCCTTTATTATGGTTATATTTTATTTGATCACTAAACAAACACACTAATAACCCTTCTTAAAGTTTCTGCAGACCAACTAAAATAATAATTGCTGGGCATGGAGATTGTAAGTATTTCCTAGTCAATATTTAACATTTGCTATAGGGAATTTTACCTTTCTAATCTAATTGTTTGGATTTATTCCTTCTTTGGTACAGGTTAAAAGCTCAGCCAGTATTGCTCAATGGTTAAGTGTCAACCAACCCAGGCACAAAGAGGCCACCGTTGGATTCCTGGTCAGGGCACATGCCCAAGTTGTGGGCTCCATCCCCAGCAGGGTGTATGCAAGAGGCAGGGATCAATGATGTCTCTTATTGATGTTTCTCTCTCTCTCCCCCTTCCTTTCTAAAAATCAATAAAAACATATTTTTGAAAAATCACATCTTTACTCCTCAATTAGATAATCTATGAGTATAACTGTGAATAAAAGGACCTGATAAAATAAAAAAATAAGTCGGTAAGAATATTCTTAATGAGTGTCTAAAGCTGGCAGAGAAAGACGTTAATTAAGAGTACTGTATTGCCCCAGCTCAGTGGTCGTCAAACTGGGGCTCGAGAGCCACGTGCGGCTCTTTGGCCCCTTGAGTGTGGCTCTCCCACAAAATACCACGGCCTGGGGAGTCTATTTTGAAGAAGTGGCATTAGAAGAAATTTAAAAAATTTGGCTCTCAAAAGAAATTTTAATTGTTGTACTGTTGATATTTGGCTCTGCTGACTAATGAGTTTGCCGACCACTGCCCTAGCTGATCTGGCTCAATGGATGGAATGTCTGCCTCCCGACTCAAGTGTCCCAGATTCTATTCCAGTCACAGGCACCTGCCCCCGTTGCAGGGTTGTTCCCCAGTAGGGGGCGTGGAGGAGGCAGGGGATCTATGATTCTCATCATTGATGTTTCTCTCTCTCTTTCCCTCTCCCTTCCTCTCTGAAATCAATAAAAAATGTTTTTTTTTGTTTTGTTTTGTTTTTTAAGAGTATACTATATTGAAAACAAAAGGCTTTGGAGGGCTTGAGAAACAAAGGTGTCAGAAAGAAAAGGATTATAGACATCACTGCTGGTATTGGCACAATGATTTTCATCATTGCTGTTTAAACTCAACAACAAATAAAATGTTTTCATGCTCTAAAGCACATGTGTCAAACACAAGGACCGCGGGCCAAATCCGTCCCGCCAGGCCTTGCAATGTGGCCCGCACCGCGCTGTCATCACTGCACTCCGCTGCGTTTCCATCACAATGACAGTTTATGACTGTTCAGTAAACCATTTGGCCTGCGATTTAGACTGGATTTTAGATTTTGGCCCCTTCTCTGATTGAGTTCGACACCCCTACTCTAAAGCATTTCTTTCACCCCACACGATTCTTTCTTACTACCATCAAATATCCATTCCACCCCAACTTCTTCCTTCTCCCAAGAACTGATTTTCTCTTTTTTTTTTTTTTAACACGTTTTATTGATTTTTTTACAGAGAGGAAGGGAGAGGGATAGAGCGTCAGAAACATTGATGAGAGAGAGACATCGATCAGCTGCCTCTTGCACACCCCCTACTGGGGATGTGCCCACAACCAATGTACATGCCCTTGACTGGAATAGAACCTGGGACCTCTCAGTCCGCAGGCCAACGCTCTTATCCACTGAGCCAAACAGGTTTCGGCAAGAACTGATCTTTTCTGCTTTGTATCCTATGTATCCAGTCCCGTTTATTTTTCTTGAAAACACATTTTTCACATTTTCTTTACACATCCCATATAATTTACCTACACCACCCTTCCCCAACCCATCAGATCAACTCCTAATCACTCCTTCTGACTCAGTCCAAATGTCATCTTCTTATAAAACATTCCTCAATTTTATACTCTATATCACAACTCAAGTTGGCCACTCCTTTGTCCAAGATCCCGTTTGCAAACAATACTGTTATTATTACTATTATTATGGTTTGCTTATTATGTCTTTTTCTAATTAGTAAACTCCTAGAAGAGCAGTATTATGTTTTTTAAAATGTCACAGATATCCCATTTCAACTTTTTATCACCATATCATGGCATATGAAAGGCACTCGATGTTTATCTTGACAATGCAGAGCCAGAATAGCCACCAATTCTAGGCTTTGGAAAGAGAAAGACGAAAGACAGAGCTAAGTAAAACAGCAAATTGAAAAGAAAAAAAAATTCTACTAGAATCTGGTGAGACTAGCTGCACAGCCTACCTCTTTCCTACATTATGGACCTCTACTCCTTAAATTCTTCTTATTTTCATAGGGTGACTCCTCCGTCATAATTTTATTAATAAATAACTCAGAATTGCATTCTTCAATTTAGCTATGACTTAATTTTTCTAAACTATACAAAATCATACCATTTCTTTATTATTTATCAAGGATGACCTATTTCCTTGTATACATACTCACAATGCCCCAAGTATCAATTTGTGAACAAATTAGTTTACTATTCATTCCTGTAATACCTAGCAATATTTTTATTAAGAATGTGTATTTTTAGGTTAAAAAGTTAATTAGTACTCAGGAACAAGATACCAATGGCTAGAATAACTCCTGATAGATGGAGGAAGTCTAGAACCTCATGTAGTATTCCCTAATTCGTTTCTGTCACTTCAAATAAAGAATTAACTTTGACTGGACAGAAATGTGCCATTTTCACAAATAAATTCCCAATGCCTAGCTCATTACCTAGAACATAACAAGCACTCAGTATCTATTTATGAGTAAATAAATCAAGGGTCAGCAAACTTCTAACAGAAAGAGACAAAATAATATTATGGTAACTTTATGCTTTGGCAAAAAGGAGACATTTTGCCCTGGCCAGTGTTGCTCAGGGTCTCAGGTTTGATTCCCAGTCAAGGGCCCATACCCCGTGAAGCAACCAATCAATGTGTCTCTCTCACATTGATGTTTCTTTCACTCTATCTCTCCCCTTCCTTCTTTCCCTCCTACCCTCCCTCCCTCTCTTTTCTCTCTCTCTCTGAAAAGCAATGTAAAAAATATCCTCAGGTGATGATTTTTTTAAAAATGTATTTTTTTATGCTTTGTGGGTCATATATTCTTTGCAGCAACTCTCAACTCAACCTGCCATGGTAGCACAAAAGCAGCCATAGACAAATGGGCATGGTGGCGTTCCCAAAAAAACAAGGGGCTAAATGTATTTTGCCACCATTTAAAAAAAAACAAAACACACACACACACACACACACAAAATAAATAAATAAAAGGGTAGGCCACAGTTCATCAACCTCTGGGGATGAATAAATGAAGACCGAATCATAGATGTAAGATTTGCTAAACAAAGGAAGGGAAGAGAGAAAAGAGAGAAGTAGAAAGGAATGAAGAAAGTATGGAAAGATGAATGCTATTTATGCCTTAGAAATATAAGAAAAATAACAAGAGCTATACTTGGCAAAGTAAAGTTATGAAACACACATTTCCTTCAAATAACTAAAACAACAAAGTATACTTTTTCAAGTCGAAAGATGTGATCTCTTTCTAAACGTTCTTCTGCTTGTTTCAAACCTAGCCTCTGCTCAGGTGTCAATGTAGACTCATCTATCACAGTGGCATTTTCTAAATAGTCCATCTCTGAAGAAGTTTCTTTATTAGATTCGTCAGTCTTCATTTTACCTAGAAAAGGAAGCAATCCCTTAGTTGTCATCATTAGAACTGGTCAATTAAAAAAATTAATGCAAAACAGACATTCAATTTATACACACACAGAAAAAATATTCTTTCCTTAGTTTTACAAGTTGGCATACCTATGTAAAATGTAAGAGGTATAATATATCGCATAGAAATTCACAAAGAAAAATCTACTTCATGGTCAAATGCCTATCTTATCTTGTTCTTCCAACCTACCTATCAAAAGAGACAAATGTGACTGAGACTTAGTATATAAGACTAACATAACAAAACCATTTTGTGGAATCTTTGAAGTAAATATAATAAAAAGCTCTTTTAAATCCCAAAGATTAGTCACTGAACTAAAGTCACTTTAGCAACTGCAAGCACTATACACTTGCAGATAAAAGAACATGCATACTCCAGACCACAAACCTACACCAGGCTCCTCTTTCTCTGCTTTCACTAAACCCATGGATATACAGTATATTTCTTATTAGTCTCCTAACTAGATTGTAATATCTTTAAGGCATAGGTTATGTGATTTTATCTTTGCACTAGTAGCCCGGTGCACAAAATTCGTGCACATTAAAAGGGGATTAATTAGAGGAAATAATTTAATATTGCTATTTGCCCTTTCTCTATAATAGAAGTGTTAGAGATGAAAGAAAATTAGTAAAATGTATATGAAAACCTTCCTCCTGTCAGAGTCTAGGGCACACAACAGGACCCAGGATCAAGTCCCTGCCCACCCACATGCACCTCAAAATCGCTAAGACTCAGACCCTGCCAGCCCCCCTCCCTCATTGGGCTAGATCCAGACCTAGCCAGTTTCACCATTGTCAAGCCTCAGATCCCCTGTTCTGGCACCAGGATGGGGGGCATGGCCTGAGGTCCCCAGCCCAGAACAGGGTGGAGGCTGTGCCTTGAGGTCCTGTCAAGCCCCACCAGGTGGGGGACATGGCCTGAGATCCCGTCAAGCCCAACTGGATGGGGGGCATGGCCTGAGGTCCCCCATCAAGCCCCGCCAGCCGGGGGGGTGCAGCCTCGGGTCCCCCGGCCGAGTACTGGGAGGGAGGTGCAGTCTCAGGTCCCCTGTCAATTCTCCGCTAGGCAGGGGTGTGGCCTGAGTTCCTCCAACCCAGCACTGGGATTGCACCTTGAGGTCCCCCATCAAGCTCCGCTGGGTGGGGGGCATGGCCTGAGGTCTCCTGTCAAGCCCAGCCCGGCACGTGGTGCAGCCTCAGGTCCCCTGATCCGGTGCTGGGGCGGGAGGTGCTGTCTGAGGTCCCCCGTCAAGCCCTGTTGGGTGGGGGCGTGGCCTGAGGCCCCCTGGCAAGCCTCACAGGGGCAGAGGAGGATGAAGCCTCAGTACGCTGCTGATAGCTCCTTAAGGCTCCTTATGGGAAGTTGGCCTCAGCTGTGGGTGCATCCATCATTGTGATGGAGTATGCAAATTAACCCAACCAAGATGGCTGCAGTCATGGAGCTATCAGGAGGTTGGGTTTCCCCAGTAATGGTGGAAGCCGAGCTTTCCGCACATCCTGGCCAGGCTAGGCCTCCACTCAAGACTACAAAGTTTCAATTATAGAAGATAAATAAATCTCAACAAAAATGGCAGCAGCCACAGAGCTGGAGAGAGCAGGAGGCTTGAGTCATCCCCAGTGATGGAGAAAGCCAAGTTTTCCAGACACCCTGGCTGCCTAGGCCTCCATTCAAGGATACAAAGTTTCAATTACAGAAGATAAATAAATCCCAGATACCAGGGCCGCCATTTGGGTTGCTGGGAGGCGTGGCTGGCCTGCAAACCACCACAGGCCCCTCACCTAGGCCACCCCATGACCCGGAACCCCCACCCTGATCCGGGATACCCTTTAAGGCATATCAGCTGGTTCCCACCAGTGCACCAGTCCTCTAACCTATCTAATAAAACAGCAATATGCAAATTGACCATCATTCCAACACACAAGATAGCTGGCCCCATGTGGTCAAAGGTGGCTGCCCCCATGTAGACACAAGATGGCCACCACAAGATGAACAACAGGGGAGGGCAGTTGGGAGGGACCAGACCTGCAAGGGAGACAGTTGTGGGCAATCAGGTCAGCAGGGGAGGGCAGTTGGGAGGAACCAGGCCTGCAAGAGAGGGCAATTGGGGGTGATCAAGCCTGCAGGGAAGGGCAGTTAGAGGTGACCAGGCTGGCAGATGAGGGAAGTTGGGGCGACCGGGACTGCAAGGAAGGGCAGTTGGGGGGGGAGAGGGGCGACCCAGGCTTGCAGGGGAGGGCAGTTAGGGTGACAGGAGTGGTTAGGGGGTGATCAGGCTGGCAGACAGAAGCGGTTAGGGGCAATCAGGAAGGCAGGCAAGTGAGCAGTTGTGAGGCAGCAGTACTGGACTATGAGAGGAGTCCCAGATTTGGAGAGGGTGCAGGCTGAGCTGAGGGACACACACCCCTGTGCACGAATTTCGTGCACTGGGTCTCTAGTCCTATTAATAAAAGCCTTTGTGGTCGTCACACCCTCACACTGCAAGGAGTGATCACCAGGAGGCTGTGTGCACAGCAGGCGCATGCAGGTGGGCAGGGGCTTGACACCGCATGCACGGCGTGGAGGGGGGCCCACGGCTGTGTGCGCGGTCTGGGGGTGGGGGGGTCCCACGTCTCCACGCAGCACGGCGGCGGGACCCCAGGCTCCAGCCTACCTCTCTGGGACAATCCACAGAGGAGACCTGGATGGGTGGCGGGGCCCACCTCTTAGGTGTGATCAATCTAGGAGCTCCCACACTGTGAAAGGGCACATGCCAGGTTGGGGGACCCCCCCCCCCACGTGCACAATTTCATGCACCGGGCCTCTACTCACTAAATAAATGAAGATATAAAATGTGACGTATTTATATGATGGAGTATTATTCAGCTGTCTTAGTTTAGGTTGCCAAAACAAAATTCCAGACTGGTGGAATTAAACAACAAAAAAATTGTTTTCTCACAGTTCTAGAGGCAAAAAGGTCAAGATCACAGTCCGTGTCAGCAAGATTGGTGTTTGATAGAAATTCCCTCCTAGGATTGTAGGCAGCTACCTCATATGGCCTTCCCTTGGTGCATACACTGAAAAAGATCTTCCTCTTCTATAAGGCTTCATGATTCATCAGCTCAGGACCCCACCCTTACTGACCTCATTTAATCTTAACTACCTCATAAAAGCTCTTATCTCCAAATATAATTACATTGGGAGTCAGGTCCTCAACATAGGAGTTTTGAGAGGAACAAAGGCAGTTCATAGCATCAGCATTAAAAAGCAAAGAAGTACTGCTATATATTACTTGAATGAACTTTAAAACATGATGTTTAATGAATGAAGCCATACACACAAACAACATATAATATAGGATTCAATTTCTATGAAATACTTAAATAGGTAAATACATAGAAACAAAAAGCCAATTACTGGTCATCAAGGCTGCAACAAGGGGGAATTGGATTTCCTTTTGGAGTGATGAAAATTTCTGCAATTATAATATAATAGGTAGTGGTGATAGTTGTATAACACTGTAAATGTACTTAATTACACTAACCTGTACCTTTAAAATAGTTAAAATTGGCCTTAGCTGGTTTGGCTCAGTGGATAGAGCAACGGCCTACAGACTGAAGGGTCTTGGATTTGATTCCGATCAAGGGCACATGCCTGGGTTGCAGGTTCAATCCCAAGTAGGAGGCAGCCAATTAATGATCCTCTCTCATCATTGATGTTTCTATGTCTCTCTCCCCCTCCCTTCCTCTCTGAAATTAATAAGAATATATTAAAAAATAAAAGTTAAAATGGTAAATCTTATGTATTATACCATACACAAATAAGTTAAACAGAGTTAATACTGACTCAGTAATTTGACCTGCCTCTCGGTCCCTCCCCCCAGCCATCAGGCTCTGATTGCCACATGGCAAATGAGGAACCGAGGTGGGTGGCCGTGGGGGCAGGACTGGCAAGCAGCCTAACGGGCAACCTCTTGGTCCCTCCCCCCGGCCCACAGGTTTCGATCACCAAATGGCAAACAAGGAACTGGGGTGGATGGCAGGAAATGCAGGAGGTGCCAGACCAAGGCCCATACCCAGCTGGTTGCCCCATAACACACAGGATAACCTGCGGCAGGGGAAGAGCTAGCAAGTGGGCGGGACCAGCTGATCTCTTGGTCCCTCCCCCACCTGGCCATCAGGCTCCCATTGCCCAATGGCAAACTGGGAACCCAAGTTGGTGGGGGGGTGAGGGGGAAGGGCCAAGGCTGGCTGTTGGCAGCCAGGGAAAATGGCCCTGATCGCAGGCTAGACCTAGGGACTGTACCCGCAAATGATTTCGTGCGCTGGGCCTCTAGTTCATTAATAAAGTCCAAACTCTTTATAATGTCCTAAAAGACCCTTTATCTCCAATTCTTGTGTCTTTTCAGATACAACTTTTGCACTTTCCCCTTCAATTCGCTGTTCTAGTCACAATGAAGTCTCACATTTATATCACGCATTTTTTTCCACCCAAAGTCCAAATCTCTCAATTAAATCACATGCATTCTCAACTCAAGTTTCTGACACAAATAAATTACCACTTTATCTGTATTACGCCAATCTAACTAGAAGCTTTCCTGAGGTCTGGGGTTGTGATGGGGGAGAGGGAGAGAAGAGTTCTTTTTTGGTTGGTATTTTTGGTTTTACATTGTAAACACACGCTTGTCACGTAATAAAAACTCAATACATGCATGTTTTAGAAATAAATCAGCAATATATTACCAGGACTATTTAAAGAGTATGAGAGGAGGAGGGAGGGAATAGGGAAAGAGAGGGGGGAAAGGGAAGGGTAACCAGAGGGGAGGGAGGAAACATACTGAATATATTGACTACAGGAGTCATTAAATGTATATTTGCACAAGCGTTTTACCTACTATAATAAATGCAAAGTTATTTTCTTTTAGCTTAAAGAACCACATTATTAATGTTCTTTTGAATTTCAAAGTGGTTAAAATAAAAATGGAGTAATTTAAAGAATGTTAATATAGGAACCCCCCCCCAAAAAAAAAAGACTTGTGGGATAATCTAATTTGTACTTACTCAAATCATCCGATATGTCTTCAATTCCCGATGTACTATCATCAGAATCACCAGTATTATCTGTAGATGTTTGTTGCTTCTGAGATCGTGGTGAGTTTTCCGGAGCAGATTTTTCTCCCTCTACATCAACATTCACCTTTTCAAGAGAAGTACAAGAGTTTGAAATTTTTTTTCCAATCTGCTGTAATTCTGTTTGCCTTATGTTTTCTTTCAACTGTGAACTGGGTGCCTTCTCTGCTTCTGCTGGTGAACTAGGAACTTTTTCTGATTTCATCTGAGAACTAGGTGCTTTTTCTTTCTTCTGTGAACTAAGTGCCTTTTCTGCTATTGCTGCCTGTGAACTGGGTGTCTTTTCCGTTTTCACTAGTGAATTAGGTGACTTTGTCAATTTTTCTGCTTTTGCCTGTAAACTGGATGCTTTTTCTACTTTTGCCTGAGAAACAGGTACCTTTTCTGTCCTCACAGGTGAATTAGGTGACTTTTTTGCTTTGTAATGACTTTGATCTCGAAGGACTAACCCCAAATCTTTGGGGCCTGGAATACTGGCAACATTTACTTTACATGATTTAATGTCTGTCTTTTCTATACAAATATCATTTTGCTTATTTTTTTTACTACTATTCCTATTTGGGGAGCTGATTCCAATTTCTTTTATGGTTTTTTCATTTCTGGTTTTCAAAGTTTGATTGGTGATAACTTTAACTGTTTTGTTTTCTTCAGAAAGAGCCCAAGCATTCTTCTTTGGTTCATGATTTTCATTTGTAGAGGTCTTAGACTCTTCCATTATTTGAAAAGCTGCTTCTTTCCAATTGTGATATTATAAAATAGCAGGTATCCAGCAGTTTGAATTGCTTCAAATCCAGTTTAGACAAGCAACCAATCTGTTGAATTAGAAACAAAAGACCTGTTATTTAAAATGCAAAACTCACTTTGTAAAATTTAATGAGACATTAAAAACTTTTAAAATTTGTTCTCAAACTGTAATAATAGTAAAAAAAAAAAAAAATGTTTAAGCTCTGAAAACTATATGAGAAAGAATTAAACCCACTTAGTAAATAATAGCCAAATGTTCATAAAGGAGGTTCTAATGTAATTATGGCAAAAAGTCTCAAAACAAGGGAATTTTAAAAATAAAACATTATTACTCAAAAGAATTTCAACTAAAAGGAAAATGATTGTAATGTACCACGGTTAATAGAAAAGAGAATAAACAAAGAAAATACAAGAATCTCAATCTATATACAACATAGAAAATCTATACTAATAAATGGGTAATATGCTAATTAGACCAGATGTCCTTCCAGACAAAGCCATGGTGGTGGGGCCAAGGTAGAGGCAATTAGGGGAGTGCAGTTCGGGCTATCAGGCTAGTAGGGGAGAGCAATTAGGGGGGATCAGGCAGGCAGGCAGAGGTGGTTAGGGGCAATCTGGCAGGCAGGCAGAGATGGTTAGGGGCAATCAGGTAGGCAGGCAAAGGTGGTTAGGGGAGACCAGGCAGGAAGGTAGAGTTGTTAGGAGCAATCAGGCAGGCAGGCAGATGAGTGGTTAGGAGCCAGCAGTCCCAGATAGCAAGAGGTATGTCCAACTGTCAGTGTAGGCCTGATCCTGCAGGCATCGGGCCTAAATTGGCAGTTGGACATCCGCCAAGGGGTCCCATATTCAAGACAGTGCAGGCCAGACTGAGGGACACACACTCCCATGCACGAATTTCGTGCAATGGGCCTCTAATCAGTTTATAAAGCCTAAGTGGTAAGATCTTGTCCACATGTCTTTTCTATTAAAATGCTACATATTAACCTTCTAACTTGACTCTCTAAACATGGGGATAAAATTTCAAGATATTTTCTCCAACTCTGAAGTATAAAGAACTTTAAATTCTTAAAGGTAAAAAAAAAAAAATTAAATCTATATAAACTCAGAGTTAAAAAGTGACAGTAAAATTTTGTATATTATAATGATGGTATATGTCAGTATACATTTATCAAAATGCATAGAATATATTCCACTAAGAGTGAGACCCAATATAAACTATGGACTTTAGGTAATAATTATGTGTTACTGTATATTGCTGGCTGTAACAAATGTACTACTCTGTTGCAGGGATGTTGACAGTGGGGAAGCTTTACTTTGGGGAGAAAGGGAGTATTAAAGGTACGCTGTACTTTCTGTTCAGTTTTCCTGTGAAAGAAAAAGTGCTCTAAAAAATGTTTTTATAAAAACATGATAGTAAGACTAATATCAGAGTCCTGTATTTTGTTCTAAAATATAATAGAGACAATTTTGCATTTATCAGAGAATACAAACTTATATACTAATTTAAAAGACTGCATTTTGTTAAAATATTCCAATATTGGAACTATCTTGTATACTATATCATATGGAAATCAGGATTTTTGCTGTTCACTTTGCACTTTATGCCTTAAATTCAGACCTATGCCTCTAAACAAAGATTAACAACATAAGTAAAAATTGAAGTCAGCAATAACAAACTGAACGTATAGTACTTTTGATTTTACTTGGTTAATTTATTAAATTACATATTTGGGCAACAGAATACCTCTAGTAATATAAGTATACATGATATAAACACAAAAATATTTCCTAAAATAAAAAGCTCACAACACAGGTCTTTTAGTCCCAATTACCGTATTTTTCGGACCATAAGACGCTCCGGACCATAAGACGCACCAGTTTTTAGAGAAGGGAAATGAAGAAAAAAAGATTCTGAAACAAATAGTATCCTAAAATATTTTATGTGCATTAAAACCCAACATCACAGTCATAAACACATGTAATCAACCCTGTAAAGTAAACAGCAGCATTTAGAACCATTTTAGAGCCGGGCAAGCACACAGAGACCACAGAGAGCCGGGCAAGTAAAAAAACTTTTTTTTTAAAGTATATGTGTAGGCTATATTTGGACCATAAGACGCAGGGACTTTTTCCCCCCACTTCTGGGGGGAAAAAAGTGCGTCTTATATCCGAAAAATACGGTACCAATATTTATGCCAAAGCACATTTCAAAAATAAATAAATAAAAAATATACTTAACTAGTTATCTTCACTGAAACATCTATTTGACTTGGACCCAGTTTTTATAATTCCTATTTGTAATATAGTTCCCTACATTCTCTGTCTTAATCTGTCTAGATTATCATCCTTTATTTTTTTTTAAAAACTTACTAGTTTACCTAAACTATTTTATGAAGTAAAATTTAAGTCAAAACCATACTAGATTTCACCATTAATTTTTTGTTGAACTAATATTATTTTCCTATAAAAAGCTATAGCACTTTTATACAATAAATAACCTGGGTTTTGAACATTTGAATTTATTTAATTAATACATTTTCTTTCATTACTTTTTAAATTTTTATTTATTTATTTTTAAAGAGAAAGAGAAGAAGGGAGAGACGTTGGGGGAGGGAGTGAAAGAGAGAGAAATGTCGATATGTTATTCCACCTATTTATGCAATCACTGGTTGATCCTTTTACACTCCCAAGCAGAGACCGATACTGCAATCTTGATATTAGCAGGAGGAAACTAACCAACTGAGCAACCCTGCCAGGGCTCTTTCATTATTTTTGGTAAGCTGTTTTACTGTCAAACAGTTGTCAAATAAATATATATATATATATATATATATATATATATATACACACTTTTTTTTAAAAGAAATTATAATTCTTTTTTAAAAATATATTTTTTATTGATTTTTTACAGAGAGGAAGGGAGAGGGATAGAAAGTTAGAAACATCAATGAGAGAAAAACATCGATCAGCTGCCTCCTGCACATCTTCTACTGGGGATGTGCCCGCAACCAAGATACATGGCCTTGACCAGAATCGAACCTGGGACCTTTCAGTCCGCAGGCCGATTCTCTATCCACTGAGTCAAACGGGTTTTGGCAATTCTTTTTTTTTTTTTTTTTTTTTTTTTTAATATATTTTATTGATTTTTTACAGAGAGGAAGGGGGAGGGATAGAGAGTTAGAAACATCGATGTAAGAGAAACATTGGTCAGCTGCCTCCTGCACAACCCCTACCGGGGATGTGCCTGCAACCAAGGTACATGCCTTGACCGGAATCGAACCTGGGACCGACCCTTCAGTTCACAGGCCGATGCTCTGTCCTCTGAGCTATGCCTAAATTCTTATAAAAATTGCTGCAGGTTCCTAATTAAAAAAACAACAACAACGTACTATTTCTGAAAGATTAGTTTTACCTAATACAATAAATGAAATATTTTAAACTTCTAATACTATTCTACAATAAAGACTCTTTAATAATTTTATAGCTGTCTTCTGACTGACAAAGACCATAAATAATAAAGATTTACTACAGCAACACTGATCCACAATTCTGTTTAATAAATCTTTATGGACACTGCAGCTGGGAGGATAGGGAGATATGGGGGAGATAAGAGATCGACCGAAGGACTTGTATGCATGCATATAAGCAAAACCAATGGACGAAAAACTCTGGGGAGGGCATGTATAGGAGTGGGGGGTGGGGGGAAGCCCAATGGAAAGATATGAACACATATAATATAATACCTTAATAAAAAATCTTTATGGACACACTATTACCCCACTCAATAAAAAGAAAACTTTACATATCAAGATTACATATATAAATAAAAGCTACAAAGGTTTTTTAAAATTAACATATACTTAATATAAGTAAATGCTAGTAAGGAATACAAGATTCAGAAAATTGCCAGGTTTCATTTTAAGGGAATAATTTGTTTCATGTAACTAAAGTTACATTTACATTTTTAATAGGAAAAATGTGTTATTAAAAAGAAACCAAATTATATATTTATTTTCTAATCTTCCCCACCTTTTCTTATAAGAGTAGCAAATGCCCTATTGCCTCAAAAAGAAGTGTGATAACTTTATAGAAAAAATTTCTATACCCCGGTGAGGTAGCTTAGTTGGTTAGAGCATCATCCAATATACCAAGGTAGTAGGTTTGATCCCCCATCAGGGCACATACAGGAATAAACCAATGAATGCATAAGTAGAACAACAAACCTCTCTCTCTCTCTTCTCTCTTTCTCTCCCTCTCCCAAGAAATTTTTAAAGACACTTCTGAATTCTATAATTATACGGTAATATGCTAATTAGACCAGGTGGACCAAACATCTTCCAGACGTCCAACTTCCTTCCAGACAAAGCCACTGTGGCAGGGGCTGAGACAGAGACTGTTAGGGGTGATTAAGCTGGTGGGGGAGCAAGCAGTTAGGGGATGATCAGGCCGGCAGGGGAGGACTGTTGAGGGTTAGATTAAGCTGGTGCAGGGGAGCAAGCAGTTAGGGGGCGATCAGACCAGCAGGCGAGGCAGTGATGACAACTGATTACTGGGAGTGATGACCAGCAATCCGACATCCCTTGAGGGGTTCCAGATTGGAAAGGGTGCAGACTGGGCTGAAGGACACCACCTCTGTGCATGAATTTCATGCACTGGGCCTCTAGTCCTATATAATACAAGGCTAATATGTGCAAATTGTCCCCTTGAAAGTTTGACCGTCTGGGAGTTCGACTGCTTGCTGTAATGTGTGCAGACCACCAGAGGGCGGTGTGGAATGAAGGAAGGTTTTGACCAGCAGCTGGCAGTCGGGGGAAGGCAGGCTCCAATCACCAGCCAGGCCTAGGGATTCTACCCGTGCACGATTTTCAGGCACCAGGCCTCCAGTGTATTTAGAAAACTACCAAGTTTTTAGGACCAGACAGTAGCACGCATGATGATGAAGTTAGCATATGAACTGGGAATGTAAAATGATGTTACATTTGTGTACCAAGTAGAGTTTAGACTTTACGATAGAGAAGCCATACATCCTATACAATAAAAGCCTAATATGCTAAGTGTCTGGTTGTGA